ACGATCGCAGAACGAAAGCGTTACACTTGCGCTATTGTGGTCTTTCGTAGGTAATGTACACGTATATCTTGTATAAAATACTAAATAATTTAAGGTAAAATCTTATATAACATAAATAAAAATCCACTTCATATAAAAACATCCGAAAAAGGTAAAAAATCTATGTACTAATTCTATAAGTAATACTTACAGATCCTACTTATATCTAAAGTACATAGTCAAATAATTAACAAGATAATAGAGGTATGGTGTCAGTGATTTGAATTCCAATCACCAATTGCAATCCAAATGTTGCAATTAAATGTAGGTACCTACTTTAGACTTTAATGTATTATTTGTCCCTTTGTTTTATGTGGTTTTGTTTCTATGAAGCAGTTTTTAATACCTATTAGTTAGAAATGTTTTTATTTCCAACTTTTTATAAGCTAATCATATTTCTTAAAATAACCAAACACGAAATAAGTACCTACTGTTTGTAATTGAAAAGTTTGTTTTTATATATCCTAAACTGGGCATCTTCACCAAATGAATAATTGGGATGATCTCGCCAAAAACTGATAGAAACAAAAAGATAAAAATAGGTTACGCATCTCGGATTATACAATAAATGAGAATAAAATCTTCACAAAACAGCCGAAGGGATAATTTTACAACCTCTTACCGAAACCGAAATTATAGGTATTAGATAGATACGCTGGATTGGGAATTTACGATGCGAGAAATTTTCAAGGATGGTTCACGTTAGACCCTGTCGGCCGTAGCAGAGTTAACTAATCATCATCATCATCATCAGCCTATTAATGACCCCATTGCTGGGGCACAGGCCTTCCCTATGGATGAAATAGAGAGATTAGGCCATGACCCACCACGCAGGCCCAGTGCGGATTGGCGGGTGCTAACGACTGCAGATGCAGCCGGGAGAACGAGGAACTCGACATAGAAGATTTTTGGTCACCCATCCAATGACCGACCACTGCGAAAGTTGCTTAACTTCAACGATCGCAGCCGAACGAGCTAATCGTCTGCGCCATCGAACTTCTCTAGTTAACTAATATTAAATAATTTATTTTACATGGATTATGGACATAATCCATGTAAAATATAACATTCACGCTATTTATACGCTATATGCTCGGTTGTCATGCAGTAACCGACTGACGACCGAGCAACAAATGAAACAACGCTCGGAAAAAACTTGGTCCCGCCTCGGCTCGGCCACGGCCCGTTGCATGAATACAGCGCCGGCACGGTGCCGCCGGGCAATCGTAGTGATACCTCAGACAAAACAATAAACGTTTTTGCTCGGACGAGTACACTTACCCTATTTACTTTATCTGAATGATTAGACTGCATCACGGCGCAATGGTACCTACCTAATTGCTCGTTCGATGCACTTCTTTGTAATTTTTTTTCGTCACATCGTTTAGCCCAAAAAATACTTGGCTTTTTCAAAGAAAAAATATGATTCCTTAAGTTCTCCTCGCAGATAACATTTCTCCAAGTTCTTATTTTTTCCCAAAATAAGGATAAACACTCCCAATCTAGAAACCCTAAGTACCACAGAGTAGGCAAGTATTCACTCTTTAATATTGCTTCATAATTTCTCATACAGTAAAATAACAAAGTTATGTAAAGTTTTCATATTTCAAAGATGATGAAGAACAACAAAGATTTACTTAAAATAAGTCAAAATCACTGAATAATAAGTAATTATTGCTAATTTGAGTAAACCGATAATTACCGGTTCAATGCTTTTACATAATCTGTGAATTTAATTTAGATGCTCGTTTACAGCTGTCAACTGTTCTCTTAATTTAGTTAGTTAGCAATCAGAATACCAATTCTCTAACCCTAATCTAAAATTAGCACTCTAATTTTAAGTTTAGGTTTAGAGAATGTAACGCCAGAATTGGTCCCAGTGTAGTTAAAGCAGGGTGGCCATAGTGGCCGCAGGCAACCTGCTTAAACTACACTGTATATTTCTCGCGCTTATTTTCTGAGTCTGAATCTGATTCTGAACCTCCGTGCACTGTGGCCGTACCCTTAGGTGCACTGTGGCCGTAACCTCCGTGCACTGTGGCCGTACCCTTAGGGTACCCTTAGGGTGCGGCCAGAGTGCACTCCTGATTCAGATTTAGATTCAGACTCAGAAAACAAAGCGCGAGAAAAAGCAAGCAACCTGCTTAGACTACACTGTTTATTTCTCGCGCTTGTTTTCGAAATCTGAATCTGAGTCTGAATCTGAGTGCACTCTGGCCGCACCCTTAGGGTACAGCCAGAGTGCACTCAGATTCAGATTCAGACTCAGAAAACAAGCGCGAGAAATATACAGTGTAGTTTAAGCAGGTTGCCTGCGGCCACTATGGCCACCCTGCTTTAACTACACTGTTTATTTCTCGCGCTTGTTTTCGGAATCTGAATCTGAATCTGAGTGCACTCTGGCCGTACCCTTACAGTGCTTACTTAGTGCTAGGCTAATTGGTGTGAGTGTTGGAAATATTTATTTATTAATATTATTTGTTTATTCATGTAGTTTTCATGTTCAGAGAGATATTTGTAGCAAAACAAGAAAAAGTAACTAAGAAGTATTTTTTTAACAAGTTAGAATAATATCAGCCATTATGTTCGAAATCAGAATTTTGTACTAATTTGCAGTTTGATTTGAGCGCCAATCTTCACAAAATTGCAAGAATTTTTGCTAGTCGATGCAGAATTAAAATCTATCTCGTATGGAATAGGTAATTCACTATGACCCCGAGTATAAAAAATATAGAGAAGCAGTAACAAACAGTTCCGTAGTTCGTCGAATAAGCGACACAAAACATGGCCGTCTTGGATGCGCGCGGCCATTTAACCGAGGCGCTTTTGAGCATACAAAAACCAACCACTTGCGGCTCGAGCCTCGAGGCATGGGCGAGGCACGTCCTGACTTGCGTGCGAGAATTGCCTCACGCGGCTGTCTCTGGCTGATCAGTTTATAGGCCCAAGTTTTGCGTCGTGTCGTATCATGCGCTAATACGCAGCGTAAGTTGTGTTGCGTGTGATTCAACCCTAAAATAAAAATAGTCCCAATGGAAGGCTCTGCGCTTTTAGTTGTTGTTTTGAGGTGATATGATGATAATGAAAATACATTTTTAAACAAAACCTCCCAAAAAAACTACTGCACTTTTTAATGTATGCTCTCCTAAAGACCCTGACTAATTGCCTCTATAAAGGAAATTAGAGATTTCCCCAAGTAAGACGCCAGCCCGCAGATCGCGTCCTGCTTCCTAACCGAGACCCCAGATCGCCTATTCGCCTCTATAATTTTAGGTTTCGGAATTAGTTTCACTGTCTAACAAAATTCCAAATAAGTATATAGAAATAGCCAATAAGATGTTTGCAAGTTTTAAATTATTTTCAACTTGATGTAGTTTAGAAGAGTTAATTTTAATTGTTCATGTTCATTATAAATTGCTAATTTGGTGTTAGAACTTATTGTTTACTTATGTTAGGTTCGTAAGGGATTTTAAATAACTAAAGTTATCGCCAACTAAGTCGCAGGCGACCGCTAGTTACAAAATAAGAATAAATAAATAATTCCTCCAAATCCGATCAGCCGTGTTTGCGTGATTAAATAACAAACATACAAACGTTCACATTAATAATATTAATTAAGAAACTAATTATCGACGCGGGAACAGGAAGTGTCATTGTGGTGCACACGTGGTCTTAATTTAAACTTATTTTTCCTGTTATATTTAGGAATTATTTTTAACTTAGATTAAATAAAAAGAACAATTTTTGAGTTAATCTCGGTTTTTTAACGTAATTTCGTTAGACTAATATTGTAAGCTTTTAGCACATGTGGTTTGACATTAACTTATTTTTCAAGTTTCCTAAACTTTAGAAGGGAAAGATAAGAGTTTATGTAAAAGGCGGCGAAACACTGTTGTCAAGGGTTAGATTAGAAGTCGAGGTAGATATTTCAAACAAAGTTGGTTTACACGTAATGCAGTACAACTTTTGTTATACATTATATTGTTCACGTGGTGTTTTTCGTGATATTTTCAAATTATTGTTTACGTGGCATTACCTGTTAAACTTAAAAGCAGTTGGTGGAGTACCTACCGTAATTTTTTTCTTTAAGTGAGATTTTAATCTTTACGTGGTGTTTAAATATATCATTCACAGGATATTTAAAAAGTTATTTATCGCGTGGCAATTTAACTTATTGTTTGCATTACAAGGTAAGTTTAATGTTGCATTTGCCATGTTTTGTCGTTGTATTTTTCCAGTCATTTTAAAGATTCACCTGATATCGTTACTATGGGTAATAATATCTTAAACTTAGTGCTCACGTGGTATTTATAAGCTTTAAGCGAGAATCAATAGATAAATGGGAAAACACATGATAATACCTAAGATTAAGCTCAATTTGTTGTTGATATGTTTAACGTTAAAATAAAAGTTGGAATGGATGATTAGGTTTTTGTATGGATATTGAGTTTATTCTTCCTTGTGTGTAATTTTTTACTGAACACGAAACGCTAAAGTTAAAGCAATGTATTTTATAGTATCACATAATGCAAATGGTTGATACGATATTAATAGCAGCAAGTATTAAATGAATTATAACAATTTCGATAAAGCAAAATGTTAAAATAACCATAATATTTATGTTAGTAATTTTAAAAGAGACGGTTTAAAAAGTGGTAGTCGGTTTCCGGTAGTGTTTAAACATATTAATTTGAAATCTTATTTTATGTAATAACATGTATAGATACATCTTTTTAATTTATTATTAATTATGTTTTGATTTAAAAGATAAAAGGTAAATAAAGTTTCAATATCGTTCTCAAAAAGCGTGGCATTTTTAAGTCCCCTCCTAAAACTTGAGCGCCACGACAAAATCGTACTCATTCATTTGTCCGCATAAATACGTAGCACTGTATGCGTTCGCCTTTAGTTCGTGCTTGGTTCTCTATGGGAACGGTCGCCCACAGAGTAATAAAATGCCTTTTCGCTTTCATAGAGCGTGCGTGACTCGGGATAATTCTGTGGTGATTGTCAGTGTCAAGTTTCTTTCATACTCAGTGAATTTGCGTTTTTTACCTCAAAGATTAGATGTGGTCTCAGAAATAAAAACACAACAATGACGATAACCACTAAAATGGAGGTAGACTCCGTGAAAGGAGAAGGATTTAGACCGTACTACATAACCAAGATCGAAGAATTGCAGCTGATTGTGGCAGAGAAGTCTCAAAATCTACGACGTCTGCAGGCCCAGCGTAATGAACTCAACGCTAAAGTTAGGATGCTTCGTGAAGAACTCCAACTTCTTCAAGAGCAAGGCTCCTACGTCGGCGAAGTAGTCAAGCCGATGGACAAGAAGAAAGTTCTTGTTAAAGTACACCCTGAAGGTAAGTTCGTCGTAGATCTTGACAAAAATGTGGACATCAACGATGTTACGGCCAACTGCCGCGTCGCACTCCGCAATGAAAGCTATACACTGCATAAAATTCTACCAAACAAAGTAGATCCATTGGTCTCGCTTATGATGGTTGAAAAAGTTCCTGACTCCACATACGAAATGGTTGGCGGCTTGGATAAGCAGATTAAGGAAATCAAGGAGGTGATCGAGTTGCCTGTCAAACATCCCGAGTTATTTGATGCTTTGGGTATAGCACAACCTAAGGGAGTATTACTTTATGGCCCTCCTGGTACAGGAAAAACTTTGCTGGCCAGAGCTGTCGCTCATCATACAGAGTGTACTTTCATCCGTGTGTCAGGCTCCGAGTTGGTGCAAAAATTCATTGGTGAAGGCAGCCGTATGGTACGAGAACTCTTTGTGATGGCTCGAGAGCATGCGCCCTCCATTATTTTCATGGACGAAATCGACTCTATTGGTTCCTCAAGAATTGAATCAGGTAGTGGTGGTGATTCTGAGGTCCAGAGAACTATGTTGGAGCTGTTGAACCAGCTTGATGGATTTGAAGCAACAAAGAACATTAAAGTCATAATGGCCACCAATCGAATTGACATTCTCGACCCTGCTTTGCTGAGGCCTGGTCGTATCGACAGGAAGATCGAATTCCCTCCACCAAATGAGGAAGCTCGTCTTGACATCTTAAAGATCCATTCTCGAAAGATGAACTTGACAAGAGGAATAAATCTCCGTAAGATTGCAGAGTTGATGCCAGGTGCATCAGGTGCTGAGGTGAAAGGTGTTTGCACAGAAGCTGGAATGTATGCTTTGAGAGAGCGCAGAGTCCATGTCACCCAGGAAGACTTTGAGATGGCTGTAGCCAAGGTGATGCAGAAGGACTCAGAGAAAAATATGTCCATCAAGAAGCTTTGGAAGTAACTTTTTCTTTGCATGTCATTCTTTTATTAGTTCTAATATAACAACTTTGTCTTATAATCTACATTGTTGTTTTACTGATTAGCTTTTGGACTAAAACATTTGTGAAATAGAAATACTAGGTTGGAAGTCTGATTAAATGCAAACTAATAATGGTTTAAGATCTTTAATCAATAATAAAAAATAAACAACGGCTAACTTAATTAGTAAATAGATGAATTTTAAAACTTACTTAGTTTATTTTACTGAGAAAAAAAATTGTACATTAAGTAATGGACAGTTACAGTTTGTCTAAATTAGGTATTTATAAAGAACAGTAATTAATCTCAATTAAGCTAGTCCTTATAAGCCCCTTTAACTTGATATACCAATAAATCATAAAAACAGAGATGAGGAATAAACTGCAAAGCATTTAATTAAAATAAAATGAAAAACTACAGAGATTAGGAAGAAATTACAAATTAAAAATTATATAATCAAAATAAATTGAAAGTAGGACTTGAATAAATAAATTTTATTACAACTTTTTAGTATGAACAGCTTGGAGTTTGTGTAATTGTCTTTTTAAAATGAAACTCCAATTATTGATAGTTTCATTCACAAATCTAATCTGAGCAGCATTTTTGTAGACATACTGAAAAATTGCATTTCTGCTTTCAAATATTCTAAGTAAAAGCAATATACAATAGAAATATTAGTACAGTAGATTGCCAATTATCCGAAATAATTGGGACGGGGGTCAATTCGGATAATCGAAAATACAGGTAATCGGACATAGACTGTTAATAAAGAAAAACGAACTGTCACACATAGAATAAACTTTAAGGTTTAACAAACATAGTTCTACAATACTAGATACAGTAATAAGTGTACATAGTACAGCTTTCAACCATAACAGTTGAAATATCTGGACTCGAGTGAGTTCCAACTTGTTAGAACATAACAAAAACTGACTTGGTTTTATTTTTTTATATTACGCTAAGGACCAATTCGGATAATTGGCGATTCGGTAAATCGTCGTTCTACTGTACTATCTATAATATATCTATGGTTTCACCAATGAAAATGCAAAGAAAATAGGTATCAACAGAAACTACAAATATAAAACAATAAACTTCAAGTATATATATACTTGCTGGAAATTGGAATTTTTACTCAGTAAACTTATTTCAATACATAGTTTGTTTGGGGCTTGCACATGTGCAAAATAGGTCGTTTGACGAAAATTTCCGTTCTGTCGTGCGACTTTCAGACATGGTATTTTCTGAATATAATAAAACCACGTACTGTGTAGGTATTCCCCTTCCGGTTAATCAAACCGGCAGCTTGACTTTACCCCTCTGCCACTTAACATTTCAATCAAACTATTTTTTATTGATTATTTATTTAACATTTATATAGGTTCCTACAGGATCTTATAATCAATGTGCGCGCGGCACCCTTAGGCCCGAGGCAACATTTTAAACAAACATTTATCTTCTAAACAACCGTTTAAGCATTTTTTTGTGTTCACCACGTGCTAACCGGCGGTTATATCCCTTAGGGCCGAGTTCACCAACATTTTAAACAAGCGTTTATCTCGTAAACACCCGTTTAAGCATTTTTTTGTGTTCACCACGTGTTAACCAGCGGTTATATCCCTTAAACGGCTGATCAACATAACCGAGCTCGAAACCATCGTTTAACTGTCGGTCAGACATGATTGACGTTTGCTATGTATCGGTTGCTACAACAATTTTATGTTATATCGACTTTTAAAAATTTTGTGTTGTGCTAAGTTGTCAGTTGTAAGTAAAATGCAGTCAGTGTTTTATGTTATGATTGATAACTATCAAGACTACTACCTAAATCTTCTTGAGAGTCCATAAAGAAAAATTAGAAAGGGGAAGAATAAGACAGCAGCGAAATTTGGATAGTAACTAACAGTGTGGATAGTACCAGAAAAGCATTAATTTCAAATTATATTAAATATTAAAAAAACAAGTTTTTTAAATTCTACTGGTATATTTTCTTTATACATATAAAGATGCCATAAACATTATAAATTAAAGTCAATAGAACTAATCATACAGAACGTGAGTCCTTAAATATAACAAAGAATAAAACAAACAAAATTACTAAAAGAATTCAAGGATTTTATTACATTAGAAAAGTATATCTAACTAGAAAACTTAAATAATTTAAACACGTATATAACAAATTCATAATTTATTATTACCTACCCTAACATATTTTATTCAACGAAAGTAAAACAAGAGCATAATGATTCCCGAAAGTAAAACAATTTTGGGGCTCATAGATCAATGATCTCAAAAAAAATAAAAAAAAGGTAATGAATAAATAGGGCAACTTACCTAACCTTTAGGTTACCAGTTGTATTTTTTGGTGATCAATTACAATTTTTTTTGGAGATCATTCATACATTTTCCATAATTTATTAATTATTTAATAAAACTACTTTTATCGGGTTTAAATTACCTTTGAAATACAAATAAAAATTATTGTTCTTCTAAAATACTTATTCTAATACGAGATTCTTTCTCTGCATTTTCTTGCAATATTTTTAACCATTTTTATTTTCTCTCTTGTGAGAGTATCACCCAATATCTTGTTTAGGTCTTCTTCATTTCGGCCAGTCCTCTTCGTTAAGCTTGGAAGGTCTTAATTCTTCTGAAACAGACGTTTTTAAATTATTTGGAGTCCATGTACTCGAGGTTTCACCTTCCTGTAAAAAGCAATAATTACTATAAAAACTGAAAAGTACGCACTACATTATCACATTAGTTAAATACTATTTGAACTCACATTATTTTCATTTAATATGCTCAATGATTCCTCAACTTCAACATCCTCTTTATTATTCGGTTGTCTGACCTCGGCCATGGACAAAAATGTTATTTCAATATTTTCCTGGAATACATTATACAATATACTGAATATTAATTAAACGTCAGTAAACATTTTTTGTCTTTACTAAAAATACGCCACCTGAAATATAAAAAGCACACATTGCAGAGTCAAAGAACAGGCACGAAATATATTACGTGAACAAAAAGTAGGATGTAATAAAATAACTTATATCAAATCGATTTCTGTTCCTCAAATAATAAATCACCACGTGAGTTTTAAAAGTACATACCAGTCAAATAAACTTCTTTTTTTCTGGCGGCCCGATCTTTCTCGGTCTGTTTTTTAATATTTTCCCAACAACACTTTAATACCGTATGTGTTCGATGGCAATATGTGGTGATGGTGTTAAATTCTTCAGAAAGAGGAATCCATCCCTTCATTTTTAATGAGTTCGTGGTAGCATGCAGTGCGCTTATTTTCAACCATGTCCCGGTATTTTAAAACCAACTCCGAAAGAATACGTTTCTCGTCACTAGAAAAAAATATTGTTTGCTTTATGGCATCCTAATTCCATTTTAAATTAAAAATATCTTTTAGCTTACGAACCGGCTTACTTCACAATCACAAAACACAACACAAATGAATATATTTTACTTTGACATTGACAGCAAACGATTTTATCCGACCGAAATTAAAACTACTAGTATTTTAACTTTGTTAACACATTGTCATACTTTTCAAGTTAGTAGCATTCTACTTTAAACTACTAAATTAAGATGTTACTGTGTAGCATGTCGACTCAATGAGATACTACGACTTTGCAAATGAGCCACATTATACCATTCGTTCATTCACTCTAAACGGCTGGCGATCGGTTGATTTGTGAATCGTGGTTAAAATTTTCGTTGTGAACAGTAATTTTTTAACCGGCTCTTTAAACATTGTTTACGAATTAACCGGGTGATTAATTGAACGGAGGTTAAACAACAGTTGATGAACTTGGGCCTTAAACGGCTGATAAACCTTAATCGAGCTCGAAACCATCGTTTAACTATCGGTCAGACATTATTGACGTTTACTGTGTATCGGTTGCTACAACAATATTAGGTTATATCGACTTTTAAAAAAATTGTGTTGTGCTAAGTTTAAATGCAGTCAGTGTTTTATGATATGATTGATAACTATCAAGACTACTACCTAAATCTTCTTGAGAATCCAGATGAAATATAAAGAAAAATTAAAAAGGGGAAGAATAAGACAGCAGCGTTTGCATAGTACCTAATAGTAACCCATCAAGGGATTTCTACCCTACCAGCCCCCCTAGCCTTAGCATGAGTAACAAAACGCGATATGATAAAGCGGTTTATCGACATTAACTGTCAAACTACAATGGAGTTTGACAGTTGAGTCACAGCGGTGACACTCTGTACGTGAGAGTTCCAGCGTCAGTGACCTTGAGCAGGAGCGTGTATGCGCTAGGGTTGAACTTGGAATTTAGACTTGTGCCAGTGAATATTTATGCATAGTAAGTTATTAAATGTAAACTTATTCAAGGATACTGGGGTAAATAATGAAGGATAGGTTTCATTATATAATCAATTTTTAATCTTTTAATGTAGGTACTATAACAAATTGCTAACTTTTATATATTTTCTCCTTTTTCGATTCGTTTTATAATTCTTATTATTATCTAAATAATAATAAGATTGCGTAACGTAGTCAGTCTGTGCGTGCAATGCAGTGCAACGCTATTATTTTACTATTTCGCTACTGCCAGCCTTCGGTCGAGGCAGTCGGCGACTGCCCTCTCCACGCCCCGCGCGCCGCGCAACGCCCCCGCGCACCTCCAGACACCCACACATAGCCGCGGGCGATTTTACGAGCACACATGCTTAAGTGTCGCTTCTTTTCGCGTAGTGTATATATTCTGTGGTTGAGTGTCGATAAATCGCTTTATCATATCGCGTTTTGTTAGTCATGCTAGAAGTCAGGCAGAAGAGCATTAATTTCAAAATATTCTGATAGTCTGGTGTTAATATTAAAATAACAAGAATTTTTAAATTCTACTGGTATAATTATTTTCCTTATACATATAAAGATGCCATAAAAATTATAAATTAAAGTTAATAGAACTAATCATACAGAACGTGAGTCCTTATAAATATAACAAAGAATAAAACAAACAAAATTAGTAAAAGAATTCAAGGATTTTATTGCATTAGAAAAGTATAGCTAACTAGGAAACTTAAATAATTTAAACACATATATAACAAATTCATAATTTACTATTAAATAACCTACCCTAACATATTTTATTCAACGAAAGTAAAACAAGAGCAAAATGATTCCCGAAAGTAAAACAATTTGAGGCTCATAGATATCATTTTTTTTAAAAAAGGTAATGAATAAATAGGGTAACTTGCCTAACCTTAAGGTTACCAGTTGTATGTTTTTGGTGATCAATTACAATTTTTCTGAAGATCATTCAAACATTTTCCATAATTTATTAATTATTTAATAAAACTACCTACTTTTAACGGGTTCAAATTACCTTTTAAGACAAAAATAAAAATTATTGTTCTTCTAAAATACTAATTCTAATAAGAGATTCTTTCTCTGCATTTTCTTGCAATATTTTTAACAATTTTAATTTTCTCTCTTGTGAGAGTATCACCCAAAATCTTGTTTAGGTCTCCTTCATTTCAGCCAGTCCTCTTCGTTAAGCTTGGAAGGTCTTAATTCTTCTGAAACAGGCGTTTTTAAATTATTTGGAGGCCATGTAACTCCAGGTTTCACCTTCCTGTAAAAAGCAATAATTACTATAAAAAACTGAAAAGTACGCACTTCATTATCATATTAGTTAAAATAGTATTTGAACTCACATTATTTTCATTTAATATGCCTTATATATTTGAGGTACTGGCTTGGCACAATGATTCCTCAACTTCAACATCATCTTTATTATTCGGTTGTCTGACCTAGGCCATGGATAAAAATGTTATTTCAATATTTTCCTGGAATGCATTGTATACTGAATATTGATTAAACGTCAGTAAACATTTTTTGTCTTTACTAAAAATACGTCACCTGAAATATAAAAAAGCACACATTGCAGAAACAAAGAACAGGCACGAAATATATTATGTGAACAAAAAGCAGGATGTAATAAAATAACTTATATCAAATCGATTTCTTTTCCTCAAAAAATAAATCACCACGTGAGTTTTAAAAGTACATACCAGTCAAATAAACTCTTTTTTTCTGGCTGCCCGATCTTTCTTGGTCTGTCTTTTAATATTTTCCAAACAACACTTACAATACCGTATGTGTTCGATGGCAATATGTGCTGATGGTGTTAAATTCTTTAGAAAGACGAATCCATCCTTTTATCTTTATTGACTTCATGGTAGGTAAATAAAAAGTACTAAAATACTTTTTATTTGGTCTGAGACCATGTCCCGGTATTTTAAAACCAACTCCGAAAGAATACGTTTCTCGTCACTAGAAAAATTTATTGTTCGCTTTTTTGACCTCCCAATTCCATTACAAATAAAAAATATGTTTAACACTTTAATTTCCAAAACTGAAATTAGAGTTTTCTGCTGGTGGCCCATATCTTGTTTTTTAATTAATTAACTCCCAAGTACAGCATACTATTTGCGGGTGTGTTTATACTTTTAGTATATATTTATTATATTTTACATAATATGGTTATGGTGATGGGGCCATCACGCGTGGTCGCGTGATTTATTCTTCAGGGAGTGTAAAATGTAAGCAGCGTAAAATAATAAAAAATCTGTTTCGTGACATGTATTTTGGAAAGCATGATTTATATAATCCCTTCCAATAATCTGTAAATCGTAAATAATTTTTTCATTGCCAGTGTGTAACAGCAGGCCCAGAAATGTTTTGAACTCTTCAACGGTTAACTGTTCCATCTTGAAAAACGTTCATGAGCTTGCACAAAATCATCCTCATCAGAGTTTTCTAAAGCTTCAAGAATTTCCGCGACGCAGCGCTGCTTTAGTTAGACACTGGAGCATATGCGCGAGAAGGACGGTACGGCCTCCTAGTGAGGCACGCCCGTATCGGACAGAAGAGCTGCAGAGGGCCGCTCGTGCGTAGAATGGGCAGGCAATGCCGGAAGGGCCTTGCTGTAAGGGGCTTAACGGGGTGCGATCGCCGTTTACGCTAACTAACGGGGAAGCTTGTTTGAGAGCTAAAGCGTGTGTGGATGCTGGCCCGCGCCGATCAACGCTAAGTTTGATCGCCGCGTTAGAGACTCGTGAGGCCCAAGCCGGCAGAGAATCGGTTCCGAAACCGGCGCGATTCTCACTTACCACTAGATCAGCACCCGCACAGGCCAACCTAAGCGAAGCCTACTCGGTGGGGTTAAACTGCAACATGGTTGGTAATTCAAAACTGTTAGCGTTTGTTCCACCGAAGTCTCGCCGCACGGGCGGTTAGAGAAGCGAGTTGATAGTATAGACTATGCTAAGTCTAAGTTGAAAAAGCGGTGTCGCACTAAGTGTGCCTGCGTCCGCCACGCGTCACAGCGTTGAAAGGCTCGCACGCGTCCATTGGGCGCTGTTACGAGTTGTTAGCCGGCAATTTAATGACGTCGCCAGGAGAGGAGTGATTGGGGTGGTTTTTGGGATTGGGATGAGTGGCGTTTTATGGAGTGGTTTCGGTCCGAGCTGCCGTCGCGGTCGCGGTCGCTCGGGATCCGGGGGGCAGCCGGGGCGCTCAGGCGCGGAAGGCCGGAGTTGAGCCTGGGCGGACAGTAGGGCCTCGAGGTCGCGTGTAATTTTGTTGGGAGCATCGCATAGGACGTTCCGTGGTCTGCGGGGCTTGTAAATAGACTGGGGAGGGGCGTACGCCGCCGCCTCTCTGATTAGCAGATTGGAGTGTTTTTCCGCGGCTTGGAAAAACCTCTCGGAGCACTCTTTTAGGTGTGTTTGGATTGTGGAGAGTTTTAGGTCCCTGTGGAGGTCCGCGTTGCGGACGAACCATGGGGTGGCTATGCGGCAGAAGCGATTTTGAAGAACTTGGAGTTTGTTCAATACCGCTTCGTCCGCGTGTGCAAATACAGGTGATGAGTAAGTGAGTACCGGGCGTATGCAAACATTATAAAGCGTTCGCTTGTTACGGAGAGACATTTTACTGTTTTTTCCGATCATCGGGTGAAGGCGGCTCATGTAAAAACGCGCGTTCGCGACTACGCGGGTGGCGTGAGGATGGAAGGTGATTTTTTTGTCTAGTGTTATCCCTAGATATTTGACTGTGCGGTGCCACGGTATTGCGATGCCTTGCATTCGCAGCGACCGCGCACCGTATTGTATGGTTTTGGAGCGGCGCTTGGGGTCGAAGCAAATAGCCGAACTTTTATCCGGGTTTACGTCGATCCTCCAATCGCGGAACCAATTCCCAAGAGTAGTGACTGCCGGTTGGAACCTGACTATGATTTGGTTTGTGCTGGCTCCTCTAGAGTAGAGGGCCGTGTCGTCCGCGAAGAGGGCGAGCTCGACACCCTTGGTCTTAGGGATGTCATTGGTGTACGCTGTGTATAGGAGGGGGGAGAGGGCGGACCCCTGCGGTACACCGGCTCGGAGTGGGCGGGGTGTAGATAAAGTACCTTCGTATCTATAACGGAAGGTACGATTTGATAGGAAAGAGGCTATTAACCTAACTAGTCGGTCGGGTAATTCTAATTTGTATAATTTAAAGATAAGGCCGTCGTGCCAAACCTTATCGAAGGCTTTGGCGACGTCGAAGAAGACTGCGATGATTTTATATTTATTAAATTGGAATCCGCTTAGGGCATGCTCCACTATGCGGTGGACTTGCTGTGGGCAGGAGTGTTTGGCTCTGAAGCCGAATTGATTGTGGATGATGATAGGATTGGATGGTGACAGGAGGTGCTTTCTGAGTCTAGTCAGTACTGTTTTTTCGAATAGTTTTCCCATCGCCTTGAGGAGGCGGTGGCTACTCGGGAGGTGCGCGGGTTTACCGGGTTTAGGGATGCCTATTACGATGGCTTCTTTCCAGGCGGCTGGGAAGTAGCACAGATCGAAGCATGCATTGAATAAGAGGGCAAGCAAGGTTAGCACTTGGGTGGGAAAGTGCTTTAGCGCTTTATTTGAGATGCCGTCGGCGCCCGGGGCCTTGCGTTGCTTAAAGTTCCTAATGATTAGTTTTATTTCATCGTTCGACACGGGTTCGAGAGGAACGTCGGTGAGTGGGAGGGCGGTCCGTCGGTGGACCTCCTCTTCTACTTTGCCGATGTGGTGTGGGTCAGCCGTTTGTGTGCTGGGTGTGCATTGATCGGCTATACTATCCGCGAAGCATTCGGCTTTCTCGTCGTCATCGAAGGCGACGGTACCGTCGGGGCGAGTGAGCGGAGGGATGTGTGTGGTGGCGTCGTAACGGAGCGCTTTCGCGATTTTGTAGTATGCTAGGTGTGACGGGGTGATGTCCGCCACGAGTTTCTCCCAACGGGAGTGTCTCAAGTCGGCTAACTGTGTTTTCACTTGTCGCTGATTCGCGGTGGCCCTGTATTCGGGGGTGGGGTAGAGTTTCGCTCTCCGGAGAGCGGCGTTTTTGGCTTGGATTAGGGTCCGGGTGGCCAGCGGCAGTTTGCGCTTTGGCGGCGCAACCTCCCGCGAGTTTTCCTTAACCTTCTCGTTCACCAAAGTCGTGAGTGTGTTAATGGCTCCGTCTATCTTTTCCGTGCTGTCAAGGCAATCCGGTGAGACAGGGAGCGGGGAATCGGGGGAGTCTAGTGCGGTCTCGAGAGCGGAGCGGTATCCGTCCCAGTTGGTGAATAGCCTCTTAGGGGGTGCGGGGGCGTCTAGTGGGTCTTGGGGACCTAAAACTAGGGACACCGGTCTGTGGTCGGACCCCAGGTCGTCGAGCGTTTCGATCGAGCCGAGGCGCAGCGACACATTTTTAAAAAGCGCGCAGTCCAGGACGTCGGGTCGGTTTTGTACATTGTCCGGGTAGTGGGTGGGCGCGTAGGGACAGATGACATCATAGCCAAGCTCCTCGGTGATGTGTAGTAATCTGCGGCCAGCGGTGGTGGTGGTTTCGCATGTCCAGTCTGTGTGTTTGGAGTTAAAATCACCGAACATTATGATTGAGTTACGTAGTGGTGCGGGTGTGTACCTGCTCTAAATGTATACTGAGGCGATGATTAAGGACTGGTGTCCTGTCATCGCCAGCCTACAGATGGTGGCTTCCATGTTTGTAAGCGGGGGTGTGGGAATAGGCGTGCAGTGGAGATCGCGCCTATAGTAGATTGCGGTGCCGCCGCGCATATGCACCGTCGTTCCGGATTAACTTGTACTTAGGGATCGACAGCCCCCTCATTTGAGTTGGTTTGAGCCAAGTCTCCTGGAGGAGCAGAAAGTCGGGTTCCCTATCTTGCAAAAATATTTTTAACTCGTTTAGGTTTGGTTTAAAACTGCGCGTTTTGAAGGACACCAGTGAGGCGCCTTTTGGTTTGATGCGCCCGGTGCTTGGTTGTGTAATGTTTATTGTGTTATTGGCCGGCGCTGTCTTTGTTCAAATAACAATGGTGTTTATTTGAGCTAACATCGCTTGTTTTAGATGAGGTGAATGAGTGTTTTTGTTCGTGTTCGGGTTTGTCGGAGTCATAAACTCGATTTGTACAATGCTATTATTCGCTATGCTATTTATTTTATGACTGCGCGCCCGGAACAGCCGGCGGCGCAGGGCTCATTCAAGGTGCGGGTTTTTACAACCGTACAGCTTTTTGGCTTTGAATATCTTATTGTAGGATATTGCTGTAACATTTTAAACAATGGTTGGGCAATTACAATTGTGCATTTCGCGTGGGAACGTTAGTCTAATGGCCAGGGCTGCCATTGAGCGGCATTGTCCGGTGATTCTATAGATGAAGATAGAAAAGCAATCGGTGCGCCTTGAATGGGCCGAGAGCCGGCCTGCGCAGTAGATAATGGTGCGTGTGGTTTATTTCCTGTAGCTATGTTGTAAGCTTTACAGAGAATCTAACAGATGTGCGTATTGGCTTAAAGCTATTAGTCGGTATTTTTTGTCCGTCGCTTGTCTCAAAAGCGCGGCCAAAGCTGTGATATCTCTGAAATTGATATCGCGGATGGTGTCATACACTAGCTTAGTATCTTCCTCTAGTGATTGCGTGTTGTGTTTTGGGCCACGGGGTGGGACCGTGGTGTTTTGCCTAGGGCCCCACGATGGCGTGGGAGCCGTGGTGTGTGCAGGGCTAGCTTTACGGAGTGAGGGGAAGTTTGCCGCGGTGGCGGCCGGTGCCTGTTTTCGCGGTGTTTGAGCGGGCCGCGTGTTAATTTTGTTGTTGTTTGGCCGTGGGGCCTTTGGGCAGCCTCTGTAGTTGGCTGGGTGACCGGTTTGGCCACACAGCACACAGGCGGGTGGAGTCGGAGCGTCTCTGGTGCGAGTGCACTCCTTAGTTGCGTGAGGTTCCAGGCACTTAACGCACCTGGGAGGGGCCGAGCAGTTGGCAGCGGCGTGCCCGTAGAGCTGGCAGCGGTGGCACTATCCGGGGGTGCCGCGGCGGTGTGGGGACTCTACCTTGAGCCTGGATATGTTACATACCGTGAGATCTGTTTTAAAGATGTCTCTGGCGGACGGGGCGGTTGAGGATAAGATCACGAGCGCGAGCGGGTATTGCTTGCCCGTTCGGCTGTGCATCTTGTGGACCGCCTCTACCGGGAATCCCTGGGCGAGGAGGTCCGCTTGGATGTCCTCATTAAGGAGTTCATGGGGAACTCCTCTGAGGACGGCTCTTACCTTGCGCTCTTCTGGGAGAGCGTACGTGTGGTAAGGGAACTTTGACACGGTGAGAAGCCTGGTCAGTTTCCTGAACTCCGCGACGGTGGGAGTGGTGATTTTGATTGACTCACCCAAGTTGGATGCCTGGGTGTAGGTGATTCTCTGCTCGTTGCAGAGGTCGGCTACTCTCTTCCATGCGGTTTTGTCCCTGAGGAAGATCGGTGGCGGGGGCTTGAATGTCTAGGGACATCTGCGCCGGGGGCTGGCTCCGCGAGGAGACGGTGGTGGGCTGACTCACCAGAGATGGGGAGCTGCGCTTGTTGCGCCTCTTTTTCTTCCCCTTGACCAGGGTGAATGAAGCGCTGTCGTCGTCGGCGGAGGCCGACACCATCGTGGACTCAGAGGACCCCGAGTCGGAGACGGACCGTTCGGAGGCGGTCCTCTTGGACGGGCCTTGATGGCCCTGTTGGGAGACCGAGGGGCTCGCGGGGGAGTCCGGGATTGGTTTCCTAAAGATGGTTGTAAGGAGGGCGGCCTCCTTTTCGGTGACGGGGTATCCCTTAGATTTGGCGGCGGTTTCCAATTTCAATTCCTTTTTTAATACATCTACTATGCATTTATACGTTGAACATAAATTCTCAACATCTACAAATGTAAGTGAAGCTAATTTGTAGCAGTACCTATTTAATGGCAAAACTTCGTTATTTATATAATTTTTCAAGAATATTTCACTATATTCTCTAGTATCAAAATCAGGATTTATATTTAATACTTATTAATTTTGCTTTTTATTCTATCGCGGTTAAGCTGTTTGTTCATAGTATACAAGCGTGTGTCATACTCATTTAAGTGCTATAAAATCAAACGTGGTTGCATACTAATGAAATAGCGGCTAGATTCCTACGCGGTTAACCACCAGTGCATGACTAAGGGCAGTGATTGGTGACCAGCAAAACAATGATATTCTTTTAGCCTTACCATTCCCCAAGGGTATCAGTTTCATGTAGCAGTGGAATTGATAATCAGTTAAAATAAAACATAAATACACAACTAATTATGCATTGATTTAATTAATATAAAATAAGATTTGTTATCTAAAACCCAATTAGTATCATGTTCGGTTAGTAAAAATAAATTGTTCAGAAGCAATTCTCCTTTAGTTGTTAAATGAAATTGGGTTTTTTTTACAAACTGCAATGCATTGAGGAAACATACTTAATTAGTTTTCTCTTAACCCAATTAATTCTTATCTATATTGCCAGAAACTGCTACTTGAAAAAGGCATACAAAGACTACAATAGGTACCATTTCGGATGCTTTTGTAGCTCGGTAAAGCCATCGACGACGTTATTTAAAAATAAAATCCTCAAATTAATTTTATTTGGTGTTTCTATAACTGATTACGATTCAAATAAACGGAAGTTGAGCAAAGAATATAAATTGGGTACAATAAGCAAAAGTAGCAAATTCGGCATCATTATTATAAATACACACATAATTACTACAAAAAAAACACACAAAAAATACTAATTTAAGAATGATATGACGCAGTATTATACATTGTGATTAAAAGTAAAATATATATATATTTATTTATTGTGGTGGGTAATTAAAGTTTGTCGTATGTTTTTCATGGCATGTCATGTCATTCGGCTTAAAAATTTAAAAATATACATTGATTAAGATCTGCGTGATTAAGTAATAAAAAAAAAATGCATATTATTGTCCCATATCTTAATTGGACAATATTACAATTTAGAAAGAATTCATTATATCGGTACTTTAAATTAATTTCATTATTATTTATCATTTAAAATAATTTGCATTATAAAAATCAACATTATTCATTGCATTCTCTGTAGAAACAAATTATTATAAAAACAATCATTCCTGCGTGGTGATAAAATCAAACTTTGTTAGATATTAAATTCTTAAAATTAAACTAGCCAGATATTTGCTACCTGAAAAATATTTCTTCTTTATTATAATTATCTACTTACTAACCTTGCCTTGTGTTCTACAAAAAGACCTTAAAACTCAGGTAAGTAAGAAAATTACTCACTTAAAAATCCATGTGTACATTCAACTTTTAAAAAATATAGGTACCTCAAAATTAAACTTTTTGAAATAGCAAATCGGCCTCTTAAAAGCTAAACACGAAAAACAATTTTAGATACAAAATTGTAAAAAAATAAAAATTTCCAATTATTATTGGATTTACAATTTAATATTTGCCTTTATAAATGTATAAATTTAATATTTTTTGTCTGGCACGATATTGGTCGTGTCCCTGACGTCCAAGTCCGACTCTGTGTCCGACAGGTCGTCCTCGTTTTCTTGACGCGGGACGTCGATTCTCAGCCCTTCGGTGCCCTGTTAATTCAAACATCAAAAATTTCATTACTAATAATTTTCAAATAATAAAGTTTTATTTAAAAAAAAAACTTAAGTATGAAACGCATTTTTCTGTTTTCAAAATAATCATGTATTTCATTTCACTACATAATGTTTTTTAATTCCTCGATTCCAGAAATATTAAAACAAAAATTTAAATAGCAAATCGGCCTCTTTAAAGCTTTACCTCTAAAACAATTTTGGATACAAAATTGTAATAAATATTTTTTTCCAATTATTATTGGATTTACAATTTAATGTTTGTCTTTATAAATTTAATATTTTTTGTATGGCACGAAGTTAGTCGTGTCCCTGACGTCCAAGTCTGACTCTGTGTCCGACAGATCGTCCTCGTTATCTTGACGCGGGACGTCGATTCTTAGCCTTTCGGTGCCCTGTTAATTCAAATACTTTTCAAAAAATAACTTTCATATAATAAGTTTCATTTATTCATCTAATCTCATTTATTAAAAATCGAATATTTTCCGATTAATGTTCGTTAAATGTACATATTTTAATTTTACAAGACTTTTTTCGATTACCCGATTTGTATCTACAGTTTCAAATTTTATTACTGCGTATTCAGACAAGAGTTATTTTTGTTCGCTAAATGTGATGTATGAAACGCATTTTTCTGTTTTGAAAATAATCATATATTTCATTTCACTTTTACTAATTCCTCGATTTCCACAATGTTAAAAACATTTTGAAATAGCAAATCGGCCTCTTAAAAGCTTAACACGAAAAACTATATTGAACACAAAATTGTAAAATATCAAATTTTCCAATTATTACTGGATTTACAATTTTATGTTTGTCTTCACGATATTGGTCGTGTCCCTGACGTCCAAGTCCGACTCTGTGTCCGACAGGTCGTCCTCGTTTTCTTGACGTTAATTCAAACATCAAAAATTTCATCCCCAAAAATATTCATATAATAAAGTCTCATTTAAAAAATCTAATATTTTCAAAGTGATTATTTAATAAATAATCGTAACTTGTCTGTATTTATAATTCTATTTTAAATTATTAGTCCAAAAGCATCCTAAAAGAGATCGCTTTAAACTATAAGTCTATTATTGGATTTACAATTTAATGTTAGGCTTTATAAATGTTTGTCTAAATAAAATATTATAGGTCTGGCACGATTTTGGTCGTGTTCCTGACGTCCAAGTCCGACTCTGTGTCCGACAGGTCGTCCTCGTTTTCTTGACGCGGGAAGTCGATTCTCAGAGCTTCGGTTCCCTGATAATTCAAACATCAAAAATTTCATTACTAATAATTTTCATATAATTAAGTATTATTCAAAAAAGGTGACGTATGTAACGTATTTTCTGTTTTCAAAATAATCATGTATTTCATTTCACTACATAATGTTTTTAAATTCCTCGATTTTAGATATGTTAAAACAAAAATGAAAATAGCAAATCGGCCTCTTTAAAGCTTTACCCCTAAAACAATTTTGGATACAAAATTTAAAAAAATATTTTTTTCCAATTATTATTGGATTTACAATTTAATGTTTGTCTTCATAAATTTAATATTTTTTGTCTGGCACGATGTTGGTCGTGTCCCTGACGTCCAAGTCCGACTCTGTGTCCGACAGATCGTCCTCGTTTTCTTGACGCGAGACGTCGATTCTTAACCCTGTTAATTTAAAATACTTATCAAAAAATAACTTTCATATAAAAAGTTTCATTTATTCATCTAATCTCATTTATTAAAAATCGAATATTTTCGGATTAATGTTCGTTAAATGTACATATTTTAATTTTACAAGACTTTTTTCGATTACTCGTTTTGTATCTACAGTTTCAACTTTTATTACTGCGTATTCAGACAAGAGTTATTTTTGTTCGCTAAATGTGATGTATGAAACGCATTTTTCTGTTTTGAAAATAAAAATGTATTTCATTTCACTTTTACTAATTCCTCGATTTCGACAATGTTAAAAACTTTTTGAAATAGCAAATCGGCCTCTTAAAAGCTTAACACGAAAAACTATATTGAATACAAAATTGTAAAAAATCTAATTTTCCTATTATTACTGGATTTTCAGTTTTATGTTTGTCTTTATAAATGTTTATATCTGTATAAATATTATAGGTTTGGCACGATATTGGTCGTGTCCCTGACGTCCAAGTCCGACTCTGTGTCTGACAGGTCGTCCTCGTTTTTTGACGTTAATTCACACATCAAAAATTTCATTCTCAAAAATATTTATATAATAAAGTCTCATTGAAAAAAAATCTAATATTTTCAAAGTGATTATTTAATTAATAATCGTACTTGTCTGTATTTATAATTCTATTTTAAATTATTAGTCCAAAAGCATCCTAAAAGAGATTGCTTTAAACTATAAGTCTATTATTGGATTTACAATTTAATGTTTGGCTTTATAAATGTTTGTCTAAATAAAATATTATAGGTCTGGCACGATTTTGGTCGTGTTCCTGACGTCCAAGTCCGACTCTGTGTCCGACAGGTCGTCCTCATTTTCTTGACGCGGGAAGTCGATTCTCAGCGCTTCGGTTCCCTGATAATTCAAACATCAAAAATTTTATTACTAATAATTTTCATATAATTAAGAATTATTCAAAAAAGGTGACGTATGTAACCCATTTTTCTGTTTTCAAAATAATCATATATTTCATTTCACTACATAATGTTTTTTAATTCCTCGATTTCAGAAATATTAAAACAAAAATTAAAATAGCAAATCGGCCTCTTTAAAGCTTTACCCCTAAAACGATTTTGGATGGAAAATTGTAAAAAATATTTTCTACAATTATTATCGGATTCACAATTTAATGTTTGTCTTTATAAATTTAATATTTTTTGTATGGCACGAAGTTAGTCGTGTCCCTGACGTCCAAGTCTGACTCTGTGTCCGACAGATCGTCCTCGTTTTCTTGACGCGAGACGTCGATTCTTAACCCTGTTAATTTAAAATACTTATCAAAAAATAACTTTCATATAAAAAGTTTCATTTATTCATCTAATCTCATTTATTAAAAATCGAATATTTTCCGATTAATGTTCGTTAAATGTACATATTTTAATTTTACAAGACTTTTTTCGATTACTCGTTTTGTATCTACAGTTTCAACTTTTATTACTGCGTATTCAGACAAGAGTTATTTTTGTTCGCTAAATGTGATGTATGAAACGCATTTTTCTGTTTTGAAAATAATCATGTATTTCATTTCACTTTTACTAATTCCTCGATTTCCACAATGTTAAATACTTTTTGAAATAGCAAATCGGCCTCTTAAAAGCTTAACACGAAAAACTATATTGAATACAAAATTGTAAAAAAATTAATTTTCCAATTATTACTGGATTTTCAATTTTATGTTTGTCTTTATAAATGAATAAAAGAAATAAATAAAATATTATTTGTCTGGCACGATTATGGTCGTGTCCCTGACGTTCAAGTCCGACTCTGTGTCCGTCAGGTCGTCCTCGTTTTTTGACGTTAATTCAAACATCAAAAATGTCATTCCCACTAACATTCATATAATTAAGGCTCATTTAAAAAAAATCTAACATTCTCAAAGTAATTATTTAATAAATAATCGTAACTTGTCTGTATTTATAATTCTATTTTAAATTATTAGTCCAAAAGCATCCTAAAAGAGATCGCTTTAAACTATTTCTAGAACTATAAGTTTATAAAATTTTAGTCTTTCGTCATTAACAATTTAAAAATAAAAGAATGTGAAACAATCTCATAGCTAATAAGAAATTACTTCCAGTTTTCATTTATAATTTTAAGTAATGAGAATACTTTGTTTAAAGACTGCTTATGTATTACTTCAGTAAATTAAATGATCGTTTGTTTATATCATGTCTATTTAGAATAAGGGAAAATTTAAGTGTTATTATCTCCGATAATGTATGAATCGTATTTTTCTTATTCCAAAGCATGTTATTCAAATGTACAAGATACCTTCTTTTCCATAACCGATTTCAACTTTGTCAACTTTTATTATTGTGAATTCAGTGCAAGTCACTCAAAAATGTATTTAAGTTCGTAAAATGTATTTTAATTATAATTTTAAGTAATGAGAATACTTTGTTTAAAGACTGCTTATGTATTACTTCAGTAAATTAAATGATCGTTTGTTTATATCATGTCTATTTAGAATAAGGGAAAATTTAAGTATTATTATCTCCGATAATGTATGAATCGTATTTTTCTTATTCCAAAGCATGTTATTCAAATGTACAAGATACCTTCTTTTCCATAACCGATTTCAACTTTGTCAACTTTTATTATTGTGAATTCAGTGCAAGTCACTCAAAAATGTATTTAAGTTCGTAAAATGTATTTTAATTCCACAAGACTTTTTTTAAATTCCTCGATTTCGACAATGTCAACATTTGTTACCTATTATGAATTCAGATCATGTGAGATGATTTATGTTCGATAAATGTAATGTATGAAACGCACTTTTCTTATTCCAAAATAAATCATGTTTGTATGTAGATTTTTTAATTTTTCAATTCTTCAATTTCAACAATTTCAACTTTATTAACTGTGATTTCAGATCTATTTATTCATGTTTGATAAATGTTATTTCAAAATTAAATAATATATTTCTTTATCAACTCCGTGATTTCAATAATATCAACTGTTGTAATTTTTAAAATTTTAAATATATAGATTTTATAAATGTAATAATAAATCTTTCATTTTCGACGATATTTCCCTGGGATCGATTTCATCATAAGCCTATTCATGTCCTTACTGCTGGAATACAAACCTTCACTATGTACAGAATAAGTAGATTGGGCGACGACCACCACTAGGGTCTAGTGCGAATTGCTGGATGCTAACGACTGCAAATGCAGCCGGGACCAACGGCTTAACGTGCATTGTGGAGTGGAGCTCGAGATAATAAATTTTTGGTCACCCATCCTAAGGCCCCCCTGCGATAGTCTCTTATCATCCAAGATCGCGGACTTGCATATTAAATGTAAAAAGGGAGCCAGGGACGTACTAGTGGCGAAGTAGGCGATTCTGTAAAATATAATCTCACTTCCGATTTCGGTAGCTACCATTTTAGACATAATTTTGAATGGAATACGCCATTACACGCCAAAATGGCGCTATGTCTGTAAAAGCAGCCAGTATTTTAGATATTTGACATTCGTCAGAAATTCGAATAAATCAGATCATAAGTGAGATTGCATATTACAGAATACCTATACTAATGGTAAGGGGCCACCATAGCCTACAGTAGACTTTTTATGTTCTGTGGCTCCTATAGATGCTTCAGATCAGAGTATCACTCTTGTGGCTTGTAAAGGCAGTGCCGTCTTTGACCTCTTGGAGCCCCTGGGCATATTAGGATAATGGGGCCCCTATGACTTCCGTTTGATGATTTAACAGGAACTAGGGACTCTGTATTTGATCTGAGGGGCCCCCTATCGATCGCGGGGCCCTGGGCACTTGCCCAAAGTGCGCACTGGGAAAGACGGGTCTGTGTAAGGGCTTTTTTATGCATAATAGGCAATTCGTTTGACCACAATCTTGCCTGATGGAAAGCGATGATGAGGTCTAGGATGGTACACGCCTGCCTAGATGCCTATTCACTCTGGGCTTGAAGATGTCCAGATTATATGGTCCGGGAAAACAGACCTCGACAGATTTTGCTTTAGACAAAACAAAATCATACTCGACAGACAGACTTTGTGATATAACAAGGTACCATTTTGTTGGTGTTGTGTTTGTAAGGTCTTCTCTAAGTGTCGCCGCACACGAGCCACACGCCACAGCCACAAACGCCGCCACGAGAAGCTAGAAGCGGCTACTAAAGAGGCTGATGCGCGCGACAGCGGCCGACTAAGGTAAGGGAGAGAGGGGTGGGGAATCGCGCGAGTGACGTATGGCGGCGTTTTGTATCGGCGCATTAAGTGGCCGGTGAGGGCCACAAGAAGAGAGCAACGACGATTTGTAGCGTGTGGTGGCCACCGGCGTACCGTGTGTGGCGAGTCCATATAAAATGTATGAAAACTACAAGATATATGCCGGTGTTCTCCAATTAGTTCTCCAATTCGAGGTAAATATTCGCTGCTCCACCTCTCTTATGGTCATACTCAATAACGTCAATCAAAGGATAAAAAATACTATTTTATTTCGCATCTTCTGCTATCCTCGCGGATTTTTTTCTAGGGGGTAATTTTTTTCTTTAGATTTAAAACATCTAGCAGTCATATGCTTAAAATAAAAATAATAATCAACTATTATTAAGTTTGAGTTTGTAAGTTCAACAGTATAAGACGAGCATAGAGCAACGTGGCCGACGGACGCGGCAGGAGGGGAGTAGCCATAGAGACTGTATAGTTTGTACACACCTTTAATGAGAATTAGTTATGTAGTTGGAGTGCTGGAGAAAAAGATCAGAGAGATAACTTCCGAGTTATATTGTAAACAAAGTTACAAACATTTGACAGCTTAAGAATGGCTAGAAGTATTTCGACGCGGCCGTCAGAGCCGCGGTAACATAATTGGTCAGTGCATTCGCCCGGATAGCGAAGGGTGCGGGTTCGAGTCCCGTCTGCTGCATGGCCCGCGTGGATTTTTTTCTAGTTATATTTTCTTTAGATTTAAACATCAAGCAAATTTTTATGTACAAGTAAGTGTCACCGCACACGGGCCACACACCACAGCCACAAACGCCGCCACGAGAAGCTAGAAGCGGCTACTAAAGTGACTGAAGCGCGCGACAGCGGCCCTAAGGGGTGGGGAATCGCGCGAGTGACGTATGGCGGCGTTTTGTATCGGCGCATTAAGTGGCCGGTGAGGGCCACAAGAAGAGAGCAACGACGATTTGTAGCGTGTGGCGGCCACCAGCGTACTGTGTGTGGCGAGTTCAAATAAAATGTATGAAAACTCTAAGAGATATGCCGGTGGCGGCGTTTTGTGGTTGTGGTCGGTGGCCCGTGTGCGGCGACACTAACATACACTCGCGCGACTTGACTCAGTCTAGAGAAATATCCGAAGCGCAACTAGTTTTGTTCGAGTGCTGGCACAACAGCGGGGTGAAATCGACAGAGGGGAACTCTGTGAATGCCTACTCCCCTCCTGGCCGCGTCGGCTGCGTTGCTTTATGAAGACAAGTTAAGACAACACTCTATTTTAAATGCCATGTTATTAAATTACATAATTCGATACTCACAATGGGACGCTTGTCTCCTCTGATCTGCATCCAAGCGTCGCGAACGTATTGCAGTGGATTCACGAACTCGTGACTTTCAGACCTGGTGGATGCAATGAAATAATGCATTTAATATTAATCATCATTATCATCAGAGTATTTTGTAGTAAAGGAGACCCGGCACTTTTCATAGAAAAAATGCTAAACTTGTATACAGTTGAATTTGGTCTCAAAATAAAGCCAAAATTATTTGTTACATAAAACTACTTTTGCCTCATTTTAAGTGAATCGTGGAAAGAAGTTATATAATGATTAATATTTTTTTAATATGGAAACCCTAAATCTTCAAGAGACAGAATTTTACTTCAAAATATTACTCAAGTGACTGTAAAAACCATGATTCCTTTGCTTTTTCTAAATAAAAAACCAAATGCCAATTTGACAATCCTAATATACAAACAAAAAAAATATTCGCATTTCGCATCCGCTCCCGCGTACTGTGATTGTGAATGTTCTCTGCTGTGATTGCCTTTTTATCCGTTATTTCTCTTGACGACCCGGCTACATATAGAGGTTAAATTGACAAACCTACGTATTTGACATTGACTAGCTAGCTGCTGATGACAAATATTGCCAGACTACGTTACCCAATTATGAAACACAGATAAAAAATTAAAAAAGTATACAACTTTGGCACATAATGCCGGGTGTCCTTTAATGTCCCCATTGTTGGGTTACAGGAAGCTTTGCCAGGCGTCCGGATAACAGGATCTCTCCCTGTCCAGCGTGGTACGTGCCATGCTGAGCAACGACAGATCCTGGAAGGCGGTGGCCTCTTTCTGCGAGAACGTTATCTCGCAGAAAGAGGACTCGGAGAAGGTCCGCGAGGAACAAGCCCACGCGGTCTCCCTCCGACACAGGAGAGAGGGAGCAAGGAGGCGGCGAGCTCGAGTCTGCCCTTAGCCCCTCAGCGGGCCTTCTATGACTGCCCGGGAGAGGTGCACTATAGCATCAACGCGATGGGGTAATGGGACAATAGGGATGATGACTAATTTTTTTTCTTCATTTATCAGGTAGATTATCAAAAAGTATTGGACACTTATTTTTTTCTTTTTTCACATTATATAAACATTGCAGAGATATATTGATTTGAAATGTCGCATGACGTCACGTTTGAGTACACTTATAAGTGAAAATTCACTCGAAAGTGGCGTCACGAACACCTACTCCCAAACTTTGACGCGCTATAACTTTGTCATTTTTTGGTTGATTGCCCAAAGAAAAAATACGTGTCCATTATTTTTTGATCATCTAACTGACGGACTAAATAGAATTTCGTTTACTGTACCCCGTCATCACCCCTATTGGACATGACGCGCGGTGACTCCCAATCCGGGGAACCGTAGATAAGTTCAATACAATCAGTGCGGGGTATATAAAAAAAGGCGTCCGGATAAAGCCGGGCATTGGCTTTTTGATTGCATGTCCGGCTGATAGAAACGGTATCCGGCATGTCCGACTTTTGTTGTATTTAATATTTAACATATAATGCTTCTATTCATCACACAAACATCTCCCCCACCGGGATTCGAACCCGGGCACTCTCGAGTCGGCGACGTCATGAAACCGGCGTACAAACCACTTGGCCACGGAGGTCGTCGTATAGTCGGAGTTTTAGAAGAAGAGCGCTCCTTCATTCCGGTCTATGTTAAATAATAAGACAGCAAGAAGTAAAATTCATCAAAAGATATATCAGCCAAGCTTACTAATATTATAAAATGGTACTTAGTAACGCTTTCATGTTTATATAAATGAATGATTTGAGTTCTATTGCTACTTTGTATCATTGATTAAACTAGAAGAAGAAATCTTAAGAAAATATTACTAGAAAAAATCTCACGCGGACCAGGTAGCAGACCGGACTCGAACCAGCACCCTTCGCTATCCGGGCGAATGTACTGACCACTAAGCTACTGCGCCCTTGAAGGCCGTGTCGAATTCTTTCTAGCCTTTCTTTGAGATTTTTTTCTCGTAATATTTCTTTAGATTTAAACATCGAGCAGTTACTTACATGCTTAAAAAATAAAAATTATCACTAGAAGAAGAAAGCATATAAGAAATAAGTTTGTATTGAAAACTATTGTTACTCACGTGTCGGCAGGTGTCGGAATGTCAAGCATAGAGGAGGCAGCAGCAGCGTCTTCACCCCTGTGCTGGTAGCGGACCCTGGGATATCAATTAAATATAATAACATTAAAAAGTCAAAAAAAATGCTGGAAAAATATCCACTCGGTCCAAGACTCCAGGCGTCAGACAGTATTCAAACCTGCATCTTCTAAACCTGGCGCAATACTTGAAGAAATTCGACACGGCTGCTAAGTTTTCGGCAGGATAATTGGTTAGTGCTTCCGTCCGGATATCGGAAGATACAGGTTCGAATCTCAATAAGAAATTTTCCTTTATTTTAAACTTGACGTCTCTTCACATACAAGGAGAAAAAACCAGCCTTGCCCCCCTAGCATGAGCACGGCGATATGATATATTACTCGTTTTTATCACGCTCGAGTGACAAATTAATAAATAAATAAATATTTCCAACACTCAGACCAATGGAGAAGTATACGCAAAGCTCGACATAGATGGCGCTGCAAACGCTTGACCCAAACCACAGCCAAATATGGGGCCATCCATAAATTACGTCACACTTTAAGGGGTAGGGAGGGGATCGACGAAATGTGACATCGTGTGACAAGGGGTGGGAGGGGTTCTAAATTTCGTGACGTCACATTTCAAAATATATTAAAATCTAAGTGTTGAAACTATTACTTTACGAAAGCATTAACAACCCAAAAGAGAACAAAGTGGTGCTATGCCTGTTAAAAATAATTTAAAGGAGTGGGATCAATGTCCATGGACTCAAGATTATTAAGTTTGTATCTTTAATTTAATTATAATGCTATTAATATTTTATGTTTTGTTAATTTCTTTAATTAACATAGTCAATCACTATTTGTTCGGTAATTTCTTTAATAAATATAATTAATCGTTTTTTTTTGTTTTGTTAATTGTTTGATTTGATTATAATAATAATGAAAAAACCATTTAAATGGAAATAAAACTGATTACAGAACCGCTGTTTTCATTCAATGATTTCTAAATGTAAATTTGCAAAATATGTGACGTCACACTAGGGAGGGGGGGAGTCTTACAAATGTGACCAGCTGTGACAAGGACGGGGGGAGGGGCAAAAAAGACATGAAATTCGTGTGACGTAATTTATGGATGACCCCTATTGCCGCTGTCAAATTAAAAACCTTTTTTTTTGTTGTTAAAAATATTAAATAAGTGGTGAAAACGTATTCAACATGGTCTGTAATACAGTTGAAAAGGAGAGGAGTATCTGTGCAAGGCATAAAAGCTGTTCTAGTAGAAAGGTACCCTTTCTATTATCTGTATACTAGAGTATTTTTCTGTATACTAGAATGCTCATTCTCGGTACATAGATGCATTTTCCATGATTTTTTTAATATTTATGGATCTGGGTAACTTTTAGCGGACTCATTAGTTAAGATTGGGGTTTTTTACAGACTTGAGACATATGACCGCAATTTTAATTTTGGTGCAGTTTTTTCTGATCAAAACGAAGACATCCAGATGCAATTACCTGCGCCAGATACATACAAAGATGTAAACAGCAGCTAGTTTACCCCCCCCCCCCCCCTTGCAAAGCAACATTTAAAATTATATTTTAGTCGGTAAGCATGCAGTTTTCTCACAACAACCAGGAACTGCACAACTCGGCATTTGTATGTTGTTTAATAATAACTTTACAAATGAATATAAGCTAATAGGTATGTATTTGATCGAAGTTTTGGGTCAAGCGATTACAGCGGCCCTAGTGGGCAAATTTTGCAGAATTCTTGTCCATTAGCCTAGCCCCAAAGTAAGCACTATAAGGCTTGTGTTATGGGATACTAGGGTAACGGATAGAATATATATACTGTACATATATAACTTGAATTACATATTAAACATCTATAACTGGAGTACAAATGCTCGTATTCATCACGCAAACATCTGCCCCCACCGGGATTCGAACCCGAGACCTCTCGAGTCAGCGACACCATGAAGCCCCGGCATACAAACCACTCGACCACGGAGGTCGTCATTACTATGGAGTTTGACAGTTAGACACGTTAAAAACGTGATTTAACGTAAATTGAGGTGCTCATGATACGGGGACTTGTCTAGTTCCTTGCAGGTTCTTCTCAGTATAATATCTCTCGCCGCAGATTTGCGAACCTATGGCGTTTTCTTTTTAGTTTCTCGACCTTCATAAATACTTTTAACAGCCTCAACTGAATAAATGTTATTGAAGTTTGGCGATCTCACCTACGTTCATACACCGAGCCCATCTGGTAGCAGAGACGACTGCCTCTTGCTAGCAGCTTCTCCGCGACTTTATTGGTAGTGCTGAACGCCAAAAAGTTGGAGAAGTCCCCTTTTTCTGCCTCCCGATTTTTATGACAGTAGGTAGCTACTTGCCTGAAGTCTAGATAATCTGTTTCGTCCTGTGTTTGTAGCCTGACACCGGGTTGCCCCTTCAACAGGTCTTATATAACACACAGGACGTGGTATGTCTAATGTTTTCATGACCCATCTGCCTGAAACCGGGTTTCCCCTTCACCAGGTCTTAAGACGGTTGCGTCGGTCTGTCTGTGACAATTGTCGGGTTGTCTGTCACCGGGTTTCCCCTTCAACAGGTCTTACTACCGTTGCGTCTGTCTGTATGACACATTTCGGTTTGCCTGACACCGGGTTTTCCCTTTAACAGGTCTTAGATGGTTGCGTCTATCTGTCTGTCACATTTGTCGGTTTGCCTGATACCGAGTTGCCCCTTCAACAGGTCTTACAACACAGAGAGTGGTAGGTCTAATGTCGTAGTGCACCGTCGGCCTGAAACCGGGTTTCCCCTTCACCAGGTCTTATTGCCGTTGCGTCTGTCTGTATGACACATTTCGGTTTGCCTGACACCGGTTTTTCCCTTTAACAGGTCTTAGATGGTTGCGTCTATCTGTCTGTCACATTTGTCGGTTTGCCTGAGACCGAGTTGCCCCTTCAACAGGTCTTACATCACAGAGAGTGGTAGGTCTAATGTCGTAGTGCACCGTCGGCCTGAAACCGGGTTTCCCCTTCACCAGGTAATCCGACGGTTACGTCTGTCTGTCAGATTTGTCGGGTTGTCTGTCACCGGGTTTCCCCTTCAACAGGTCTTACTACCGTTGCGTCTGTCTGTATGACACATTTCGGTTTGCCTGACACCGGGTTTTCCCTCTAACAGGTCTTAGATGGTTGCGTCTATCTATCTGTCACATTTTTCAACATGGTCTTACAACACAGAGAGTGGTAGGTCTAATGTCGTAGTGCACCGTCGGCCTGAAACCGGGTTTCCCCTTCACCAGGTAATCCGAAGGTTGCGTCTGTCTGTCTGTCTGTACTATTTCTCGGTTTGCCTGTCACCGTGTTTCCCATTCACCAGGTCATTCGATTGATGCGTCTGTCTGTCTGTCTGTAACATTTGCCGATTTGCCTGACGCCGGGAGACCTATTTCACCAAGCCGACATAAATGTCGGGGGTATTTATTGACTATGATATATCAAATTTCTCTTTAAACGCAAAATCAGTGATATCAAAAGAGAAAGTTATTTGTTCTCTATAAAATCTCCTGTCTAAGATAAGAATTCATCTTAGAAGCTTTCGCGGAGAGTCAAGTGGCCGGTGCGGGCCACAAGAAGCAAGCAACGACGATTTGTAGCGTGTGGCGGCCACCGGCGTACTGTGTGTGGCGAGTCCATATAAAATGTATGAAAACTACAACAAATATGCCGGTGGCGGCGTTTTGTGGTTGTGGTCGGTGGCCCGTGTGCGGCGACACTAACAAAGAAATTTCATATCAAGAATTACAGACAATTTGACAATGACGTCTACTTAAAAAAATGCCTTGTTTAACAACACAATTGTCGTTGAAGTAGGATATGGACAATTGTAACAAAATTACTGGCATATTTATGTCATAATATTTCGTATGTTTCGCACATATATATATATATACAGGGTTACAGGGAAAGTCGTACTGAATATTAAAGAACGTTATTATTCAGGTCATTTCTGATGGATTTGGTCCTATAATATGGTGTCCAAAACTTAACCGTTATGGAGATATTAAGCAACTTTCGCAGTGGTCGGTCATTGGATGGGTGACCAAAAATTACTATCTCGAGCTCCTCCGTGCTTCGGAAGGCACGTTAAGCCGTTGGCATCTGCAGTCGTTAGCACCCACCAATCCGCACTGGGCTCGCGTGGTGGGTCATGGCCCAATCTCCCTATTCCATCAATAGGGAAGGCCTGTGCCTCAGCAGTGGGGACATTAATAGGCTGGTGATGATGATGATGATGCTTTTCTGGTTTTATTTATGTATTTTTGCTATTTTGACCTCAAACTAATAATGTACCCTCTGCTACCATAACTGTTATTTGGTCAATGTTTTGCCAATTTAATAGCAAGTGTTATACCTTTTTGAATAGCTAAAGAGACGTAGAAGTTTTTAAAATTATTTGCAGAATAAGTTCCATACATGTTTTTTTTAGGAAAGCGCTTCAAAGTTAACAACACTTGGTGAAAATTCTTTAGTTATAACCGTTGTCGAGCAGTTTTTTTAAGCCGTTAGTAGTAAGTTCAGTTTTTATTCATTATTTTTATTGCTTGACATGTCTTCTAACTAGATTGATTAAAACATCGGACCTTTGGAGCTCTAATTCCAAAAAAATCTACAGTAACCCAAAAAATATAGGATTTTTTTAAAAAATCTTTAATATCCAATATCTCCATAACGGTTAAGTTTTGGACACCATATTATAGGACCAAATCCATCAGATATGACCTGAATAATAACGTCCTTCAATATTCAGTACGACTTTCCCTGTAACCCTGTATATATTATGTTGACTTGGTGAAATAGGGCCCAGGTCCTACAGAACACAGGCCGTGGTAGGTCTAATGTCGTCGTGCACCGTCGGTCTGAAACCGGGTTACCCCTTCACCAGGCCATTCGACGGTTGCGTCTGTCAGATTTGTCGATTTGCCTGACACCGTTTTTCCCCTTCAACAGATCTTACGAGTATATGAGTCTTGTAGGATCTTTCTTATTCCATGTCCACGAGTAAGTTAAAATTCATCCTCACCAGTCCCACCCCATCACGGAGCCATAACTGAAATGCCGATATCAAATCATGGCACAAGCAGTGAGGATATAAAACTGTGTGTAAGTCGCGACACGAAATTCTAGCGCTGACCGTTATTGCTCAGAAGTAAAAATTAAGCTGCCTTGAGGGTAGGGTTAGCATCCGATTTTTTTTTAATTAGATGGCATAAGAGTAAAATTACTTATTAAGTTATATCAAATAAGTCAAATAATCTTTATTAATTTCTCAATAATTTAAAGCAAAATATAAATCATCTTTAAAAATCAACAACGAGCCCCACCCTCGCGATGCGAGCGTCTGCTACCACGCGTATAATATATCACTGTAACTAAGTGGGTGATGTTTGCATTTTGTGACTAAAATGTCGGGACTTTTATCGAAATGTCCTGCTTTTTGTCAGGATTTGGGGGAAACGAGGTGCGCGGGTGGGCGTGCGTTGCGCCGATTGGCTCTCCAGTCGTGCCCATGCGCAATTATCCCCTCCGCGTTTTGTTTAGCGCTAGAGTTACGTGCCGCGATCTGTATCGACTATACGCAGCTGCCGCGCGAGCAATGTTTGACCGCGGCAAACCTATTAATTTGGCTCGCGAACCAATAGGGAAAATGCATGTAATTTTTTTTTATATAATCTTTTTAATTTTTGAATAACTTTTTTGAGCAAGAAATTAATTATTGAAAAATGGATAAAAAAATGTAGGGGTGCAACAATACGGCTATTATGATACAAATATGAATGACGAATACATCGTATTGGCCCAATATAATTACGAATTACGATACGAATGAATTACGATTTTTGTTTTATAGCATTGAATTGAATTTATTTGCTTGTATCACTTTGCCAGCTTTGTTTATCAATATTAAGACTTTGTAAAAAAACTTCGCATTGTTAACGAATTTTATTGTAGTATTTATTGATTTTTAATAATTAATATTTGTTTTTTGTTTATGTTTCTGAGTTAAAACTGTCAAGGTCAAACAAAAGGGATGGGTGTGTTCAGACATTGATGCGTTATGCATTTCGTTTCCTCCGAAACTGTAGTAACTGCTGTAAAATTATTAATATACTAGCAAGAATGAATAGTACATATCGTATTGTAAGGCTTACGATAAACGATTATCGTATTGGTATCGTGGCATACCCAAAAAAGTGAAGAAATGAAACGCGACAGAGTGGACAAGCTCGAGAGTTTGTCGATGGTGTTTGTAAAATGGCCCTTATATCGTGTGCAATAAGACTCACTCCATGTAGGGGGTGGCGAGGGCCCAGCGCGGGCGCAGCACCTGGTAGTAGACGAAGATGGCGAGGTAGAGGGTCAGCAGCACGACGATGGCCGTGATCATGCCGAACATTACCGAGTGCGCGCGACGGTACTGCTCTGATGTCCAGCCGTTGAACAACGGAAGCTGCGGCAGACAAGGGAGAGAGCATATGAAAACATGCTGAAAATGTGAATCTTGCTTGGTTAGTCTTTTATGGCCAATTTATATTTATATTTTAACAAATTCATAAAAAATAGGACAAGTGCAAGTGTTAACGCCATCTATCCTACGACGAGAGAAGCTGCCATCGGTATCCATTCGTTACTAAAGTAGAACTTTTTATTAGCTGCAGTAGTTTTGTGGGTTACCGCTTTTTGAAGAAAAATAAATAGGGATGTAGCTAAGTGAGTAAGTGAATCATTCAATAAATGAATGATCAGTTTGGTTTTGTTTAAGAGATTTAATATTAAGTTGTAATGATTTTTTATTCTATTATTATTACTATAGTAAAGGATTGATCTTTTTCATTGGAAGTATCGGGACGTACATACAAAATTAAACAAAAAGTCATAACAATGTTATTTATTAATCAAATATTTTCGGAATCACTATCTCTGTCGCTTTCGGTCACAATAATGACAAACCTGTCTGTCATTTCATCAATAATATGATCGAGGTGGCACATTTTGTCTTCCTCTTTTATAGTGTTAGACACACAGTCACTCCACTTAACCGGTGTCACTTTGTTGATTCCTTCTTGGAATAAAGTTTTCACTTCTTGCATTTTATATGTTATAATAATGTTTGCGACGTGCCCCTTTACCTGAGCCCAAACCAACTCGATGGCACGGTAATAATATCATACAGTATTCTATCTTCATACAAACGGTCGGAAAGCGAGTCATACCTACGCCACTCGAGTTCGATGTGCTCTCGGCGTGCACCCAGTCGCGAATGCGCCGCCGCGCCGCGCCGCAACGACGACCGAACGGTCTGAATTGTTTTTTATGCAGTTAGCCGTGCTTAAACGTGCGTTTTGTATTGTAAATATTTGATTTAATTAAGTAGATACCTACATAATTTAGTTTGGAAAAGAACAAACGACGATCAATATCGTACAACAGCACAATTGCTGTTTTTGGTTGCTTGAATTCTTCAATAACACACCCAGAGATATCATTTTTTAAATTACCTGAAATATTGGAAAGGTGTCCTTACCTTTATAGAATATTTTTTATATACCTATCTACTAGTACGTAATTTGTTTCTAATATTTAGGTTTTTCCATCGGGCAAAATATCTGGAATAATATATAAATAAGTGGTTAGGATGATAAAAGAGACAATCGAGTAATCTACCTACACTCGCGTTAAAAACAAAACTAAATAAAATACTGTAGGCGGGCGGCCCTACCGCGTGGTAACCCAGCGCTCGGCTGTAGGCATTTATTTTCAAGAACAGGGCGGAGTCACAATACTGTGTGGATAATATTACCGTGTCGATGGGGTTCAATTCACAGTGATAAGGGGGCAGTCTTAAAAGCCTGATACCTTTTTATGCAGCAATCTCGTCCACGGCATATTTTTCAGTTATCTTTGAGAGTGGTCTTCACTATATTTGGTTAAAATTCCACATGGGATGGGAGAAAACATATTATACCTAACGTATAATAAAAAGATTAGTGATGACAGATAAACTAACCTTTGCGATGGTGGGTACTTCATTTCTATGAAAGAACTGATGTACAAAGCGGTGAATGTGAAATCATCAAGTTTTTCTTTAAATGTAAGTTTTGGGCCAGGTTTTTCGGGAGGTTTTGGTGATTTACAGTCGTTCTTCTTGTGCTCCTTTAAAACAAAATAAACAGTGCGGACGGATATTCCCAAGACTTCAGCCACCTTGTTGATGCATTCACTTGTTTTTGGAACTTTAATATTTGAATCTGTAGATTTCACCTCAAACACATATTTGTAAACGTTTCTGACTCAAAGTTTCTCGGTGGCACTTAGAGCTACACGTGGCCTTTTTTTTCTTAGGAGATAGAAATGTATCTCCATCTTGTGATATGCTCAACTGAGCATCAACTCATCATCATCATCATCATCACGATTAAGAAAAAGTAGGTAACGAAAAACAAACATAACGTAACAAAAATTTAATGATAACTAAAACAACTCGCAGTGGGCAAAGCAAAGTTATTCGTGCACTCAAAACAGAAGTTAGAAGCCGAATGAGCGAATGACAAATGGTGGACAAGCCTCATCGTAGCACCGTAACTAAAAACCAGTACCAACTTGAGATTTTATACAGCCTTTTATTTATATGAATAATAAAAAGAATTAAGTATGATCATTATGAGTTAGTTATGGAACGATTAGATTTTCTGTGAACCTAATCACATCCCTATTGAAATTAGGCGGTCAACATTATTTTACGGAATGACATTTTGAAACGTCATTTTACTGCAGCTAATAAAAAGTCGAAGTATACATTCACTCATTTTGATTTATATACATTCACTCTCCCTCTTGCAATTCGAATTCAAAATGACAACGTACGCACATAATTTCAATAAGATCTGTATTTTACTATGAATAATATTCTACAATCTGAATATCCGATTTTTATTGAGAAATCCACTTAAAGAAGACACTAAGCTATCGAACAGCAAGTCTGATTCACCCACCAAGAGTTCCGTACTTTGTACTCAGAATATTACCGAACGAACAAAGATTTGCTTTCTTTTTTTAATGTTCAAAACAATGTTGCGTTGATTCTATTGATGACTGAGCATGGGAGCATTCTTTCTCCGAGTCCAGTCAAATATCGTTCTACAAGCTTGTTCGCTTGCTTGTTTCTATTTACCGAGCGAGCAAATGTTTGCTCGTTCAGAACTGTTCCCGGTTTATGTGAAACGCCGCATTATAGTAAAATTGTGTGAATATTTCCCAATATTTAGATCAACGAAAAGTACGCCTTAAAAATGTCTGTTGTTTCCCGCCACTAGCGATGGACTCGTCGTCGCACACGTACTGGGGGCTATAATGACGACATTATATAGTATCATACCTGTTGTATCTCAAACAGCGGACATTTCCCGCCACTAGCGATGGACCCGTCGTCGTACACGTACTGGGGTCTATAATTATCACATTATATAGTGTCTTACCTGTTGTTTCTCAAACAGCGGACATTTCCCGCCACTAGCGATGGACCCGTCGTCGTACACGTACTGGGGTCTATAATTATCACATTATATAGTGTCTTACCTGTTGTTTCTCAAACAGCGGACATTTCCCGCCACTAGCGATGGACCCGTCGTCGTACACGTACTGGGGTCTATAATTATCACATTATATAGTGTCTTACCTGTTGTTTCTCAAACAGCGGACATTTCCCGCCACTAGCGATGTACCCGTCGTCGTACACGTACTGGGGTCTATAATTATCACATTATATAGTGTTTTATCTGTTGTTTCTCAAACAGCGGACATTTCCCGCCACTAGCGATGGACCCGTCATCGTACACGTACTGGGGTCTATAATTATCACATTATATAGTGTCTTACCTGTTGTTTCTCAAACAGCGGACATTTCCCGCCACTAGCGATGGACCCGTCGTCGTACACGTACTGGGGTCTATAATGTCGACATTATATAGTGTCATACCTGTTGTTTCTCAAACAGCGGACATTTCCCGCCACTAGCGATGGATCCATCGTCGCACACGCACTGCGGTCCGTTTTGTTCGAGCACGCATACGTTGTCGCACTCGAAGCTTTCGCACGAATTGTGCACGTCGTCGCGCTGTACGCTCTCATGCCTAAGCAAATAAATACATCCTAGTCATATTTTTTTAAGCATTTACCAACTAGGTGATTATCAAAAAAAAAAAATAGTTAAAATTTCTTTTAGATTCGGATGTAATCTAAAAGAAATTGTAACTAGCACGAATAAGTTTAGCTAGCACGGTGCATATGCAGATTGCATGCCTGGCGCCCGTTTTATGGTCGTAACAGATATACCAACTTGGAAAGGCAACGTCACCGTATCCACTATCAACTCAAGACGTAAACGAGGTCACTTACGTCTCTCCGTAGCCTAGATTACATCTCTCTAAAACCTAGCTTACATAGATATGATATGATATGGATCGATGTAAGCTAGGCTACGGAAAGACGTAAAGATAGACGTAATCTAGGCTACGGAAAGACGAAAAGATAGATGTAACCTAGGCTTACGGAGAGACGTAAGCTAGGCTACGGACAGACGTAAGCTAGGCTACGGAGATAAGTAATCTTGGCTACGGAGAGACGTTAGCTAGGCTACGGAGAGACGTAATCTAGGCTACGGAGATACATAATCTAGGCTAAGGAGAGACGTAAGCTAGGCTACGGAGATACATAATCTAGGCTACGGAGAGACGTAAGCTGGACTACGGAGAGACGTAATCTAGGCTACGGAGAGACGTAAGCTAAGCTACGGAGATACATAATCTAGGCTACGGAGAGACGTAAGCTAGGCTACGGAGATACGTAAGCTAGGCTGCGGAGATGCGTAAGCTAGGCTACCGAGAGACGTAAGCTAAGCTACGGAGAGACGTAAGCTAGGCTACGGAGAGACGTAATCTAGGCTACGGAGAGACGAAAGCTAGGCCGATCCGAACGTATAAGCAGCTCCGCTTATCCGTTTACGTTACATGCTTACGTTAGATGGACGTCTGTTTGACGGCAAAGCGAAAGGCGACTTGGTGTCGATCTCATTCTGAGTTGATATGTGTTTTATCCCCGGTTGCATCTACAGTCACCCACCAATCCTCACTGGTCTTGGTTGCATCTACAGTTACCCACTAATCCGCACTGGGCCCGCGTGGCGAGTCATGCCCCCTTCTCCCTATTCCATTCATAGGAAAGGCCTGTGCCTTAGCAGTGTGGACATTAATAGGCTGATGATGTGTTTTATCACGCTTATCTTATACAAGGTTGGTGCCTCCATCGACTTTCTTAATCAATTTTGAGCTGTGCTACACTCTGGTGTGTTCATATAAGTCGTCAGTTACGTACGTTAATAGAAAAAAATATATACCTAAATATTAAAATAAAAATTTAATAAAATTAGCTTGAAAAATAAGCTCAATGTTGTTTGGTCTTCCTAACGCTGGTTTTACCCCATTAAACGAAGTATATAACTTTCTTTGTCCGTACCTCAACACAAACGTGTCTGCAGCTACGTCTCTGTGGATGAATGGCTCGCATTGTTTCTTGCCGAAGAGGGAGCATCGGTTCAAATACAATGAGTTAGTGGTTAGGAAGTAGATCGAATCTTCGAACAACACCAAGTCGCGGAGTCCTTGGAATTCCGTGTGATTGTACACTATGAGTTTCCTGAAACGGAAGGATGAATTAGTATTAACCTATACGGGGAAAAGGAATTATAATCTTTGTGTGAATTGCAAAAATGCTGGATTGTTAATAGAAAAGGGTTACTCAGTAAGTTATAATTTTAGAACTCAAAAGTAAAAGTAAAGTAAAAAGTATTTTTATTAACATAAATGCATACAATTAAAAAACGATGAAACGGTCCCAGTAAATAATTGTAAAATACTTGTGTTGGGCCTGTTTCGCTCCAAAACCTTTGTAGCCAGTTAACAAAAATATTTAAATGAAAAAGAAAAAAAATATATATTAATTGCACAATTTAAAACAAGACAATCATCTTTATGTGAGTAGGTAGTCCCCACATTTAGTACATGAGAAGTGTGTGAGCATGATTTGTTGAGAGTGTGGTGTGAGTATGTGTATCGTGAGAATGGGTGCGGCCAGAGTGCACTCAGATTCAGATTCAGATTCAGAATCAGAAAACAAAGCGCGAGAAAAAGCAGGCAACCTGCTTAGACTACACTGTTTATTTCTCGCGCTTGTTTTCAGAATCTGAATCTGAATCTGAGTGCACTCTGGCCGCACCCTATGTGTATCGTGAGTATGTGTATCGTGAGTATGTGTGAGAGTGTAGTGTACTTAAGTATATTTTATTATGTGTATTTAGGAAGTTTTTATCCGTAAAGTATCCGTTGGATACAGGTTTTCGATGCACTTGATGCGGAAAGGCTACACAAATTATAATGCATTATAAACGTCTGCTGGTTCTCGGGCTGTTTTGTTGGCGTAGATGCAATATATAGGTTGGAATCAATTAGGCTAATAGTTTTCTGATGACAGCCTGCTCAATCAGAGCTGCAAACTGGATGTACCGCATGACGCTTTAATATCTGTCATCTATTTGTCTCTAAATTGCTAATAAGATACAAACCCATATACAGTTTTTAGCGTAGCGTAAGTATAGTCTATTTGCTGCGTAACGCCATAATATGACGACCTCCGTGGCCGAGTGGTTTGTACGCCAGGTTTCATGGTATCGCCGACTCGAGGAGTCGCGGGATCGAATCCCGGTGGGGGCAGATGTTTGTGTGACAAATATGTACGAGCATTAATACTCCAGTCATGGATGTTTAATGTGTATTTCTATATAAATATACTTATATATGTATTCTGTCCCTTACCCTAGCATCCCATGACACAAGCCTTACAGTGCTTACTTTGGGGATAGGCTAGTTGGTGTGAGTGTTGTAAATATTTATTTATTATTATAAGGAGAATTGCAAAACAGCCGGCAAGAAGCGATGGCGCAAGTGTTTAGCGCGTTGGATCTTGATATTGTTTGGTTGACCACAAAACTCTATTTTGTCGGGCTTCTCCGGGCTTCGAAAAGCACGTTAAGCTATTGGTGATGATGATAAAAGGTAGGAATCAGCCACTTACTCGTGTTCCCCGTCGAGGTCCATGGCGGTGATGCGCGTGGGATACGTCTTTGCGATATACAAGCACATATCTAAGGTTGATGAAGATCATGAAAGGACAGGAAGAAGCTACTAACTGGTGTTCCTCTTCGAGGTACATAGCGATGATGCGCACAAGATGCATCTCAGCGACGTGCAGGTACAGAGCTAAGGCTGATGATGAAAGGCAGGAAGAAGCGACTAACTGGTGTTCTCCGTCGAGGTCCATAGCGGTGATGCGCGCGGGATGCGTCTCAGAGACGTACAGGCACAGAGCTAAATCTGATGATGAAAGGCAGGAAGAAGCGACTAACTGGTGTTCTCCGTCGAGGTCCATAGCGGTGATGCGCGCGGGATGCGTCTCAGAGACGTACAGGCACAGAGCTAAATCTGATGATGAAAGGCAGGAAGAAGCGACTAACTGGTGTTCTCCGTCGAGGTCCATAGCGGTGATGCGCGCGGGATGCGTCTCAGAGACGTACAGGCACAGAGCTAAATCTGATGATGAAAGGCAGGAAGAAGCGACTAACTGGTGTTCTCCGTCGAGGTCCATAGCGGTGATGCGTGCGGGATGCGTCTCAGCGACGTACAGGCACAGAGCTAAGGCTGATGATGAAAGGCAGAAAGAAGCGACTAACTGGTGTTCCCCTTCGAGGTCCATAGCGGTGATACGCGCAAGATGCATCTCAGCAACGTACATGCGCAGAGCTAAGGCTGATGATGAAAGGTTGGAAGAAGTGACTAACTGGTGTTCCCCGTCGAGGTCCATGGCGGTGATGCGCGCAAGATGCATCTCAGCGACGTACAGGCACAGAGCTAAGGCTGATGATGAAAGTCAGTAAAAAGCGACTAACTGGTGTTCCCCGTCGAGGTCCATAGCGGTGATGCGCGCGGGATGCGTCTCAGCGACGTAGAGGCGCGGGATGAAGGCATGCGCGGCTACAGAGACCCCCCCTTCGGCCCCCCCTGCGGCTGCCAGGTCGGCTGCGTGTCTCCCTCCCAGGCCTCCGGACCAGACTACTGCGCGACCCCTCGACCAGACTACGTAGAACATTCGCCCCCAAGCTGGTTCCAACACGAGTGATGTCACCTGCACCCACAGACATACAAAGGCGGTCAATCGTCAGTAGAGATCGGATAATCGGATGCATATTTATTAGAGATGCAACGCATAGTCGTTTGGCCGGATACCGGATACCGGATATACGGCCTGATCACCGGCCGAATAGTCGGCCGGCCAAACGATACGTACATTTTCATTTAGCGGCGGGCGCGTCGTGCAGATTTCAACCTGTTACGTACCTATTGTAGGTTTGCGCGGGCCGTTTTCTAGGCAAGTAACGAGTTTTATTAGGTCAGTGTACGAAACCGCCTATTTTTTTTTTATGTTTAATGTGTATACTTGTGTATACGTAATTGTGAACTCGTACTTCATTCTTTGTTTATTTTATTTGTCTAAAATAATGGCACATAACGATCTCCGTTGTGGAACTATTTTCAAATAGAAAAAGACGATGCAGAAGACGCAGAGAAGTGTGTTTAATTTGCAAATTAAAATTATCTCGTAGTGGCGTAGCGAAGAAGGCAGGGACTTTATCTATGAAAGCCCATGTGCAAAGGAAGCATCCCGACAAATTCTCCGAAATTTACGGTGGTCCATCTTCAACTTCATGCGGCGGAAGCAGAACTTGCCGTTAGTTAATTATGAATATTATACTCTCTTTTTATTTATTTCGTAACACTTATTTTATTTGATTAAGAATTAAAATATGATACGCTACGATTGGTTGAATGGATACTCATGCTAATCATAGGATTTCTTTACTACTTTAAATGAGGCTTTTTAATAAGTTTAAATTGTACGTTAAAGGTAATAATAAACGAAATACTAATAAACGAATATTGATAATTTGTTGTTGTTTCCTTGTATACTAACCATTTTTCAAATGTTAAATACCAAACAATCACTATTCGGTGTCGGGCCGGATAGCTAGCAACAATTCGGTATCCGGCCGGTTAGTAAAATAATGGCCGGATAGGCCGGATACCAGATAGCAACCGGATATCCGTTGCATTTCTAATATTTACTTAAAGTTATTTTTTGCCTAACAAATTATGGATTCTTAGGATATTTTATTAGTCTTAAACCTCACCATGTATCACCAAGGAGGAGGAGGATATTAAAAAAGCCAAAAAAATAAAAGTAAATAAAAAAAATGGGTGCGTGTACTTATGTAGGCGCGTGAGAAGTTATCCTTCTTTGGCATCGTTTAAAATTAGTTTTTAATTGCATGCAAATAATTAATTACAATAAATTAATAAAAAGTCTGGAAAAGGACACAGTCAATAAAGTTCAGTTTTAATTTGAAAAAATAAATAAATAATCAAAATATTCAATTAAAATCGCTACTGAATATAATTTATTAGAACATATGTGATTTGCACTTGTATGAAACTCAAACACGTATTCCGAATATACAAACTAGAAACATGTGGATAAATATTATAAACTAGCGGCCCGCCCTCGCTTCGCTTCGGTGTAGAGCTGAAGTGTAGACTACAGTTTTTGTTCTCAGGCTTGTATTATACACAATGACATTCATCTATGATTCTTCTTATACCTGCATGCAAAGTCTCAGCCCGATCGGTTTAAAATTGATAAAGTTTCATACAAACTTTCATTCCTTATTTTATCCCCTTGGGATTTTCTTTATATTTTTTTCCGTAAGAACCTTGTACAGAGTATTAGAAAACTACAAAAAAAAAACAGCCAAATCGGTCAAGCCGTTTTCATGTTATGTCGTGACAACGGAAAACGGGTTTCATTTTTATATATATAGATATGAAAACGTTGCAAAAAAGTTTGTTGCACGTGTTTCCCGCGCTAGGACCGCGAGTGGCCGCGCATGTGTACGGTGCGGCGGGCGACGCGGTAATGGCAGCGCGGTACATGAAGTTGGTCGCTAAAGCGACCAACTTCATGGTGTTAAAATTTAGTGTTACATGATGCGCGCGCATCTTAAAATTTCACTCTCATCAATTTTTCACAACGCGCCTAAAGAAGTATAACTTCAAAAACATCACGTGATTGATTAACGGCCCCTAAGAAGTTATTCATTCAAAAAAACTCCTTTAACAGCTACAATTTATAACCTTACCTTGCCATTGGCTGGTAACTTCTGAAGCTTGGCACATCTCTTCTTCCCTACGTTACAAACCCTGATGCAGCTCGCTCCAGGGGTGCTGTCCACGAAGTAAACGTTACCCGTGATCCAATCCACAGCCACCTATAATAAAACTTATTTATTTAAACCGTTAATTTATGTTTTGTTGTTGTCGTTAAGATAATTAAGATAGATCAAAAAACACACTATTCGGAGAGTGATTTTAATGAAATCATACCGTTCATAACAAATGTTAAAAAAAAAGTACGAGGCGATACAACCGAATGGCGCGATTACAATTATTCGTTAGCACGAATACGAGCGCCAATGGAATTCGGGTAACCGACTCCTTTAAAAGTCTGAATCGGCGATGAAATTCTTCTGAATTCCACTGGGTATAATGATCGGGTCTCGGTTTGACGATTCTCACTTTTCTTTCAGTTGGATTTAAATATTCATTCATTATGCCCTCTTCTTCGATTGCCAAGTCATCAACGGAATCGAAAATATCCATGATTATCGCTCTTCGTTAATTAAAGTAACTGACCTAACGTAATTGTTAAAATAACCTCAAACAAAATCACCGTCAATGTCAAACTATTCGTCGAATAACGCGGTTATCTGATGGTTGAAGAAGATAATTTTTCAAAAGTTATATTAAAACTAAGGCTCTCCCAGCCTTAGAAAGAGTTTTGAAGAGAACCTTGCACTTACTCCCTTTCATATACTTGTTCATTTTGTTTTGAAAATTGTTTCTTGCTATTTCGGGACTTATCTTTGCACTTATTGTTAGTAAATTCGTTGATTGTCTATTATTACATATTTGACATTATGTGATGGAAGTTGACCTCAACACATGTTTGCAAGTTTGATGTCAACTTTCAATTGGACGACACTGTATGAAATAAAACAGGGAGAAAAAAGCAGCCCTTGCTGAGTTTCTTGCCGGTTCTTCTCAGTACAAGGTCTCCCGCCGTAGTTTTGCGAACCGATGGCGTAGCTTTTCGACATTCACAAGTGCTTGTAACAGCCTAGACTGAATAAACGATAGTGAATTTTTTGAATTTTTGATATTTGAAGCGGCAGATAGATTTATCCCTCAGTTAGCAGAGTTATTCGACAGTTAAGTCTTATCCAACTGTTGAAAAACTCGAAACCTTGCTATCTATCGAATAAAAGCTATCTATCTGTTTATCTGAAGATTGAACAATCGGCCCTAAGTATAAAAGAACGGAGTCGAATATTCGGGTAGATTTCCTTCTGTTAACCCGATACCGTCTTCCAGTGTAAATATTGCTTCGGATGCCTAAATTCGAGTAATATCTATCGTGCACCCGAATACGAGCTAATGACCAAATGCAATTGCAACATAAGGCAACAATTAATTAACACAACGATTTCTCAACATACTCTTTTCTTTCTCTACGAGATAACGTGCATGTTCTTTCAAACCAAGTCCTAGAAAGTTATGTTACTGTTTGCATTGATCGGCCGAAAATAAGACATACCTTTGTTGGTTTCCCAATGTTAGTTACGACGGTGTTGCTCTTCGAAGCGTTGACTTCAATTAATTTTCCAGCTTCCGTCAGGGTCACGTAGAGTTTATTCTTTCTACATAATAAAAAAAAACATGACTACCATTCAAATATTTTTATTGCAAAAAAATATTATCGTTATCTGTCGAAGCATTTCTTTCAAGTTAACAAAATTAGAAATGCAATTTATTATAAAAAAATTTCGTCCAAGTTTGCCGAAGTGTTTAACCTTAATATAATTACTTTTGAAACAGTATTGTGTATTCTTGTACAGTTTAAATAAGATCAAAATTTCGAAGGTTACATAAAAACAAACAAACTTCACAGTCTTCCTTTCCATATAATGTTGGGTTACCAACTTTGTCCTACGTACCTGATATCGAGGGCAATATCAGCTATAGAAACACCTTTGGTCTCATTATAGACGAGAGTGGTCTGTCCGTCTATAGCCACAGACCAGACTGTGTTCCGCGACACGTACACTATGGACATGTCGCCTTTGCTGGCTTTGCACGAGCGTCGATCGGGTCTGAAAAGTTGAATAGGCGATAACTCAGGTGGCCTGTTGTGAAAACTAATCATATAACCTTTAACCTTCATTTAAAAAAATATATATACTCGTATATATAAAATCAGTATTAACCTTTCACAAATTTGATAAGCTCTTGTTTTGGAACTTGAAAAATTATCACCATAATATGAATTTTCACTTTAGTTACACACTGTAAATTTCAAAAAAGTAGCGAACAGGCCGGCTGACCCTCATAGAACAAGTGGTCACCGCTGGTCCTTATCCCTGGAAGACATCTACAGTTACCTAAGCGAATATCCATGGTAACACAAGCACAATCCAGGCACATTGCGACACTTGTGGGAACAGACTCCTTGAGCGCATTCGTCTACGCAGGACAAGTGGCCAGTGCTTGTCCTAAACCCAGGAAGACATTTATAGTTACCTGAGCAAGTATCCTTGATAAAGGATCACAATAATGATACTTTGTGATAGTTGTGGGAACAGACTCCGTGGGTACTTTCTCCCAGATCCTTGCAGGACACATAGGTTCTTTGTATTTGATGTTTGATGGTGTTTAAATGAACGGACATTGAAACGAATAAGCCTTGATAAGTATGAATTACCTGAGCGAGTATCCATGATAGCAGGAACACAAGATCCAGGCACATTGTGACACTTATGAGAAAAAAGTCCGTGAGCGCATTCGTCCAGATCTTCGCGAGACAAGTGATCAGCGCTGGTCCTTAAACCCGGAGGACATAATACAGGAACGACTCAGGCACATTGTGGGAACAGACTCCATGATCACATTCGTCCAAATCTTCACAGGACAAGTGGTCAGCCCTGTTCAAGAAAGCTTGGGGGAGTCTATAGTTACCTGAGCGAATATCCATGATAGCAGGAACACAGGAACGATCCAGGCACATTGTGGAAAAAGACTCCATAATCGCATTTGTCCAAATCTTCACAGGACAAGTGGTCAGCCCTGTTCAAGAAAGCTTGGGGGAGTCTATAGTTACCTGAGCGAATATCCATGATAGCAGGAACACAGGAACGATCCAGGCACATTGTGGAAAAAGACTCCATAATCGCATTTGTCCAAATCTTCACAGGACAAGTGGTCAGCCCTGTTCAAGAAAGCTTGGGGGAGTCTATAGTTACCTGAGCGAATATCCATGATAGCAGGAACACAGGAACGATCCAGGCACATTGTGGAAAAAGACTCCATAATCGCATTTGTCCAAATCTTCACAGGACAAGTGGTCAGCCCTGTTCATGAAAGTTTGGGGGAGTCTATAGTTACCTGAGCGAATATCCATGATAGCAGGAACACAGGAACGACCCAGGCACATTGTGGGAACAGACTCCATGTTCACATTCGTCCAAATCTTCACAGGACAAGTGGTCAGCCCTGTTCAAGAAAGCTTGGGGGAGTCTATAGTTACCTGAGCGAATATCCATGATAGCAGGAACACAGGAACGATCCAGGCACATTGTGGAAAAAGACTCCATAATCGCATTTGTCCAAATCTTCACAGGACAAGTGGTCAGCCCTGTTCAAGAAAGCTTGGGGGAGTCTATAGTTACCTGAGCGAATATCCATGATAGCAGGAACACAGGAACGATCCAGGCACATTGTGGAAAAAGACTCCATAATCGCATTTGTCCAAATCTTCACAGGACAAGTGGTCAGCCCTGTTCATGAAAGTTTGGGGGATTCTATAGTTACCTGAGCGAATATCCATGATAGCAGGAACACAGGAACGACCCAGGCACATTGTGACACTTGTGAGAACAGACTCCGTGAGCGCATTCGTCCAGATCTTCGCAAGACAAGTGGTCAGCACTAGTCCTGAGTCCTGGGGGACATCTACAGTGCGCGCCTTGAGGCGTTGCCTGACAGGAGTACGCACAACTGTTGTTTTGACACGCCGTATCTGGATAAACAAAAAAATAGGAATGTATCAAATTTGGCAGGCAATTAATACTAACGTGTGTCACTCTGTCGGTTACGTCTTAAAGCCTAAAATTTAGATGCAATTTGATATAAAGATAGTTTCGAGTCTCGCGAAAGGACATAGATAATTTTTTATCTCACGAATCATCCTTTATGAACCAATGAAACCACGCAGCAGATGTCGAGAAAGACACTGAGAAAGGATGATAATTATATCGGCCGTATCAATGGAATTAAGATATCAGCAATGTAATTTAGTGTATTATTATTTTGAAATCTGACGTAAATGGGCCACATACGATTCAAGAAGGGTCTAAAATTAGGGAATCAAATAAAAATATAGTTCAGTAACGATGGAGGAGCTCGATGGCGCAAGTGGTGCGTTCGGCTGCGATCGTTGAAGTTAAGCAACTATCGCAGTGGTCGATCATTGGATGGGTGGCCAAAAATCTTCTATCTCGAGTTCCTCCGTGCTTCGGAAGGCACGTTAAGCCGTTGGTCCCGGCTGCATCTACAGTCGTTAGCACCTGTCAATCCGCACTGGGCCCGCGTGGTGGGTCATGGCCCAATCTCAGTATTCCATATATAGGGAAGGCCTGTGCCCCAGCAGTGAGGACATTAATAGGTTGATAATGAAAATAATGAACGATGCCTTTGTATGGCTCCTGCTGCTGCTCACAGCTCTTGCAGCCTCCTTCATAAACTGCCGCCCCGGGCTATGGCCCCTTTTGGCCCTAGGGTATATACGCCCCTGATTTCTGATAACATGTGCTCGAGGACAGAATGTTTTGTGTTGCTAATCGTTTCTATATTTAAGCGAAGTTATCTAGTCTGAATAATTTATGAATGAACTCTGCTGCAAACTCAAAAACGAGTCGGGTGGAAATATCATCAAGATATGCTTAAACCCATTTACCCGACAGAGAATATGAACGGAAATCAGAACCGGGTCACAATCTTACAGTTGTAGTAGGCAGTAATAATTGCTAACGTGGAGTCACCAGGATGCCACAAAACCCGTTCCGGCAGGCGAGGAAGCACTGTTGGGTTTTTACTGGGTAGTCCCCCCCCCCTTCGTCCCGAGCAGCCGCTGAGCCACTTTGGCTGAGCGGGTGGGCGGGATTTGCGGAAGGAGGAGTCCCACATAATATAGAATTTTTGCGCATTTATTTCTTTCTTTTTCTCGACCAAACTGTAATTTTCATTTTTCAGCTCCACTTTTATATTTTCTAGCAGACATATTGTAAAATAAGATATTTTTCTGAAAATAAACAAAGAACTGGATAGAAATTTTAATTTTAATACCTACTTTGTAATGAGTGTAGCAATTCACAAATTAACATTAAATATAATACGAGTTCGATTCATTTAGTTTTGAAATTGAAATAAAAATAAAAAAGTCATGTTTTATAATTCTTTTTACTTACCTACTGCCTTTTAAAAGCAGAAAGTCTAGTTATACTGAATACTTTCCATTTTAGTAAATTAAAAGAAAGGTCCGGTCCTTATAACTTTTAAGCTATCTATCATTTAGTAAACTAAACACACGCACTTAACACATTTCCAAAAATAAAAAAATAGGGTCGGGCGATAAGCGGAGGGAAGTCAATAATAGACAGTACACGGAATACACCGACCGAAAACAAGCGACTGGGAATTCCCCGTTCCGTTTGATAGATTTCGTTTGCACACGGGTTGATTGATCGCAGTGTTGCCAACCTTATGATCGGATTTTTTTTAATTCTAGATAATTTATATTACTGACAATATCGTCTATTGGTTTCAGTTCGGTTGGGGGCCCTCTGTATTCGCGGGGCCCTGGGCTGCAGCCCAAAAAGCCTTTAAGTAGATCCGCCGACTAAGGCACAGGAAGCGTCGTGGCACTCCGCTGGTTGGTACATCGTTAGTAGGTTATCATGTCGCTCACTGCACATCCCGCGCACATCGGAACCGTCGAAGCAGTACGGAACTCGATGCATTGTCCACTGGGGCACAGGAAGCGTCGTGGCACTCCGCTGGTGGGAACATCGCGAATGGGTTATGTCACTCACTGCACAGCCCGTGCTCATCGGAGCCGTCGAAGCAGTGCGGCACTTGGTCGCACACGTCCCGCCACTCGATGCATTGTCCGCTGCCGCACAGGAAGCCCTCGTGGCACTCCGCCGATGGGTACAGGCTTGGTGGGTATAGCCGGGACGTCATGTTCACTGAGGGAATGAAAATTATGAGCATCTGGCAAAGTTTACCCAAGTTTGAACGACTTCCATGGCCGAGTGGTTTGTACGCCGGGTTTCAAGGTGTCACCTACTCAACAGGTCCCGGATTCGAATCCCGATGGGGCAGATGTTTGTGTGATGAATACGAGCATTTGTGCTCCAGTCATGGATATTTAATATGTATTTTATATAAATCACACTAATATTATAATGGCAAAAGTTTGTGAGTGTGTATGTTTGTTAGTTCTTCATGCCTAAACGGTTGGAGCGATTTTAATAAAATTTGATGTGGAGTTAGCTGCCACCCTAGATTAACACATAGACTACGTTTTACTGCGGGAAAATATCTTATTCCCATGGGAAAATCGATAAAAAATAATTTCGTTTAAGTAGGTACATATTTTTTGACATTCATGTCAAAGCTATTGTGATAGATTAATATTTCATACATATTTCTAGGATAAGGACATTGTTGTCATTTTTTGTGTTTCTAATTATGACTCGCAAACGTATACCAAATCTTTCACAGAGCTCACAAAGAGCTCCACCCATGAAAATTCCAAGATAGCAAGAATCTAGTTATGATACTGAACAGCGCAGACGTGACCAAGCAACACGTCAGGCAGAAGTCAGAACTGGAGAAACTTCTGCACAAGCTGATACTCAGCGTCAGGAAAATGCTATCCGCATAGCTTATCAGCGTGCACCAGAGAAGTAAATACACAATTTTATTTCCCTAAGAAGCCACGGGTAACACCGCGGGGCACACCTAGTATACTTATATATGTATTCTATCCGTTACCCTAGTATCCCATAACACAAGTCTTACAGTGCTTTTTTTGGGGCTAGGCTAATTGGTGTGTGTTGGAAATATTTATTTAATTCCGAGTCATACTAGCAAAGGAAGGCAATCTGTGTACTTCATCTTAGTACAATATACGGCGTAGGATACAGAGTTCACCTTCGCAAGCAAAACTAGTCGAAACATTCATGTACATATGGAGTGGTGATCCAATTATAAATATTCGCACACATTTTTTGCAAAAATCCGGAGTCTACATATTTATTACGGGGTTACGTTTGTCACGTCATGCCTTGGGTACAAACAGGACGACACAGCATCAGCCAAAAAACATATTTAGAATATCATACATGCATAATGGTAGCGGCGAAGAGGACTGACTGATCTTGGTTGGGTATTGCAGATATAAGGAGTACACCTCCGAACTTCACTTGCGCGATGTAGGCTTCCATACTATTTGAGAGCAGCGCCAGTAGCGCCATCTCTTGCCGAGGCAGGTGATTACTTCCTCCATATTAGTTGTATGTGGGGCGTGTAGATGTCGCCACCACATGTTATCACACTAATATTATAAAGGCAAAAGTTTGCGAGTGTATGAGCATGTATGTTTGTTAGTTCTTCACGTCTAAACGGCTGCGAGCGATTTTAATAAAATTTGGTATGGAGTTAGCTGACACCCTGGATGAACACATAGGCTACGTTTTAATAACCCGCGGGTGACAACGCGGGGCACAGCTATTACTCAAATAATTTCACATCAACACTACATCATACCTTTAGCGCAAGCTTCAGGGGCCTCGTCAGACCCATCCTGACAGTCCTTGATCCCGTTGCAGAGTACACGCAGGGGCACACACATGTATTCCTGTTTGCATTCAAACATATTGTGTGGGGCACAGCGTCTATCGCACCCGCTTTCGTCCGTGCCTCCGGGGCAGTCTGTCTTCATGTTGCATCTATGTGAAATACTTTTTCTTAATTTTCAACTAAAGACCCAGAGTTTTCAATTGTTATTATAAGTATTATGTTAAGTATTAGTCGATCGAAAAGAAATGTAACCTTGACCCAAAATAGCATGAACAACAAAATTGTTTCAAATGTGTGGAACGAAAGTATATATACTCTATGTGTCGCCACACACGGTCCACACGCCACAGCCACAAACGCCGCCACGAGAAGCTAGAAGCGGCTACTAAAGTGGCTGAAGCGCGCGACAGCGACCGACTAAGGTAAGGGAGAGAGGGGTGGGGAATCGCGCGAGTGACGCGTGGCGGCGTTTTGTATCGGCGCATTAGTGGCCGGTGCGGGCCACAAGAAGCGAGCAACGACGATTTGTAGCGTGTGGCGGCCACCGGCGTACCATGCGTGGCGAGTCCATATAAAATGTATGAAAACTACAAGAAATATGCCGGTGGCGGCGTTTTGTGGTTGTGGTCGGTGGCCCGTGTGCGGCGACACTAAGATGCTATATCCAACCATACATACACGGGCAAAGTAGGTACAATAAAATTAAGCTCGACACATTCTATTAGGTACTTACTTACTTATGAAGTAAAACATTAGAAATATTTTTTAATAAATTTTATTAAACTTTATTTAAATGATGAGTATATTTTTAAGTAGCTATTCGGATAAATTAAAGTCCTAAGATTTCATTCAATGAGAAAAAAACAGTGAAAATCAGAACTATAAAAGATGGCATGAAAACCAGCTCTACTCTCAGTGCTACGTGTATCTACGTGCTACGTGTATCTACGTGCTACGTGTATCTACGTGCTACGTGTATCTACGTGCTACTTTCGTAGCTTGATCTAGATGGATCAAGCTACGATCGTAATTTGAACCATCAGCATGCTACGAAGCAGACAAAATGCAACTCCCTGCTGGTATTACTTTGACATGCTTAAATCTTTAAACCAGGAAATTATGTATTTTACTAAAAATTAGACTTGCAACGAATAGTATATTCGGCAGTATACCGAATATTCGGCGAGGCCTCTGACCGAATAGCCGAATATTAGGCAAAAGTATTCGGCTGGATTTTAGCGCTAAAAACTTTTACAGACGTGATTGTTTCGCGCTCCTTTGTTTTGTTCTAATTTGCCGTCCTCAAGCTAAAATGCGGCTAAATGACAAAACTAACTTTTGAGATATGGCCAAAAACGGCGAGTAAACTTTAAATTATTGCTATCATAATCATAATCATAATCAAAATCATTTATTCAGTTTAGGCTGTTACAAGCACATATGAATGTCTAGAAGCTACGCCATCGGTTCGTAAATCTACGGCGGGAGACCTTGTACTGAGAAGAACCGGCAAGAAACTCAGCAAGGGCTGTTTTTTTCTCCCTGTTTTATTATTTACAGAGTCGTCAAATTGAAAAATGACTTCAGAGATGATTCATGAAGTCACTTTTCATTACATAATTATTAAATGTACATTAATTGTTTACCTGCATTTTGATTGCTGTGTCATACAGTATAAATACAAATAGTGTTATTTATATTCAGTGTGACTAAACATTAACTTCAATATTAAGGAAGTTAGGGCAGACTCATCTCCGCTGGCAGCACCCGTTCACGAGCATGACGCATGAACCAGCCATCGCTTCGCTCAACCATATTTTAGGGAACGTAACGACCCGCCTCACACTATTATGTAACCATTCATCACATGACTGAATGGATTAAAAACTGTTAACTTGTATAATACAGAAAATGATTAAATTATGTACCTGTTTTATGTACCAATAACTTCTTAATAAATGATTATAAGAGAAATGAGAACCAAAGTATATTATTAAAGTATTCGGTATTCGGCCGTATAATATGTAGATATTCGGTATTCGGCCGAATATAAAAAAAAAAACAGCCGAATAGGCCGAATTCGGAATAGTAACCGAATATTCGTTGCAAGTCTACTAAAAATAGATTTATGTTGAAAGACAGAAATGAAATGGCTTGTTAGTAAATAAGTTAACCCAATAATACTATTAATTTATTATTACTATCTTGATTTATTTAATAACGTCCTCACGGAAGAACGGTTTAACCTAACGATAATAAAAACCAGCCACCTCGGCAAATCATTATATTGCAGTAACTATAACCATCAAAATTTGCTGTACCATGCTGTAAAATCCGAAGTTAATAGACACCAAAGTATTATGAAGGTGCCAAGCGATTTATATGTATTTGCAATAAAAACACTTTGTTATTTTCAGAAACCAACTCCATGTCCATTCAAACCACAGAACACAAAAAGAGATTAAAGTACGGGAACCGATGTCACCTACATTAGTACTAAATCATCATTATCATCAGCCTATTAATGTCCCCAACTGCTGGGGCACAGGCCGACCCTATGGATGGACTAAGGAGTATGGGCCATCACCCATGGCGGGTGTTAACGACTGCAGATGCAACCGGGATCAACGGGCTTAACGTGCCTTTCGAAGCACGGAGGAACTCGAGATAGAAGATTTTTGGTCACCCATCCAATGACCGACCACTGCGAAAGTTGCTTAACTTCAACGATCGCAGCCGAACGCGCTAACCACCGGCGCCATCGAGCTCCTCGACTCGACTCTTCGATTACTACTGCACTTCCACCTAATAGATGATAGCTAATCAAAACGACGCGACATCAAACAATCGATTGTTCGAACCTATCAGCGCTCACAGCCGAGAGCACCGACGCCATCAGAACCAAGTTTTGGTCAAGTTTTGAGCAGTTGCTCACACATAACTGTGGCGTGCCTGCCCAGCCCACTTCATACCACTTTCTGTGTACTGTGTTTCAAACCATCAATTCCCATAATTTCCAAACCCTACAGGGTTTATTTTACACAACATTTAGCGGTTGAAATGATATAAATTTATTAATTTCATACCCAATTTTCTCACATTCCAAACTCTCACCTTGTCCAAAACATGATTTGATTAATGAATGTGGGGCCTGATTCTGGCATGATTTTCTCAACCTTAACAAAATGCCACAATAGCCTCTCCTCCTTTTCAATATGTTTATCATTAAGAGAATCGTTAAGAAGGTATTTTATTTTTTAAGCATTTAACTGCTAGATGTTTTAATCTAAAGCTTAGCTGCCTCGCAGCTCAAGGCTAGAGAAAAATTCGACACGGCCGTCAGGACCAGTCATTGGTCAGTGCATTCACCCGGACAGCGAAGGTTGCGGGTTCGAGTCCCGTCTGCTGCCTGGTCCGCGTGGAATTTTTTTCTAGTATACTTTGCTTTAGATAAGAGAATCGTGTCAGAATAGGCGTTTAAATTGTTCAACATAAAGTTAACCAAACTAGTTTTAACGGATTAATGCACGAAACTTTATTTATTGACGTTTCGCAGCCTTTTCAGGTCTGCATCTTCAGAATACAGATTTTTTATTTAATTTTGTCGAGCAACCTTTGAAAGACGAAATTAAATGAAAAATCAGAGAAAAAAAAGTTTCGTGTATTAACCCGTTAAACCTAGTTTTATTTAATGAGTGATGTGCGTGAAAACCTAAGAAACAAATATAATTAACCATCCCAATTAAATGCCAATGAAGTAAAAATCAGACCGTGCAGAGGGTGGTAAGCAAATGGTCTTGTTAAGCTCGCAAGCAATTTCTCCTTCGGGGCAATGATGTTCAGGCTCCTGTGCGATAGGTAAAAGAAGCAAGCTGAGGGGTGAGAGCACTGTGTAATTTTGAATCACTGTGTAATTTTGCTGGTCTTTTTTACATTCACGAAAGTTCCGTCGCGACAGTGATAATGCTCGCGAGTGTTTTCTTCGTTTTGAAACATAATCATAATCAAAATTATTTATTCAGTTTAGGCTGTTACAAGCACATATGAATGTCTAGAAGCTACGCCATCGGTTCGTAAATCTACGGCGGGAGACCTTGTACTGAGAAGAACCGGCAAGCAACTCAGCAAGGGTTGTTTTTTTCTCCCTGCGGGTGCTGACGACTGCAGAAACAGCCGGGACCAACGGCTTAACGTGCCTTCCATAGCACGGAGGAGCTCGAGATAGTAAATTTTCGGTCACCCATTAAATGACAGACCACTGCGAAAGTTGCTTGACTTCAACGATCACAGCCGAACGTGCTAGTCACTTGCGCAATCGAGCTCCTCCTCGCTCTTCAACTTTATAAAAGGCTTTAATATTTCTCTCAGGATGCCAACTTGCGCCCACCATAATTAAATTTGGATACATTTTGTCAAGTAAATAATTTAGTGCGAATATTACTTTGCGTATGTATTGTAGCACAACTACTTATAAGTAAATATTCGAAATAAAATCTTCGCGAAATCGTTACGAAAGCAGAAGACCGTCGCAAAAGAAGCAAAACCACACGAACAGTTCAATAACGTCGTGGCGGCTGCATTTTCACTTAGATACTTTAGTAAATGTAAAAACGATTTTAGAAAAAGCACTCTACAAAGCTGAAGCAAGTTATTGTTTTAAACTTTCATGGTCACTAACATTATAGTAATATAAGTTATTTACGGAATTGTTACTATGTACAAGGTACCTACATGGTAACAATAACGTAAATAACTTACCTATATTACAAGGTACAAGGTACATGGTAACAATCCCGTAAATAACTTATATTACTTATACAACTTATATTACCAAAGCAAGTTATTTGCTAAATAAAACTAGTTTTTACGGGTTAATGCACGAAAACTTTATTTATTTATTGACGAATAATTATTCTGACGATGCAGACCTGAAAAGGCTGCGTCAGAATAATTATTCTGACGATGCAGACCTGAAAAGGCTGCGAAACGTCAATAAATAAATAAAGTTTTCGTGCATTAACCCGTAAAAACTAGTTTTATTTAATGAGTGATGTGCGTGAAAACCTAAGAAACAAATAAGTTATTTGCTGTTATAGGAGGCCAGATACTGAATTAAATTAGCAAATGGTAGAAAACTTTTTAGTGTATCTACTTAATATAAGCACATACCTCATCGAACAGGTCTATGGGTGATTGGCAGCCATCTTCGTCGCTAGAATCGAAGCAGTCTTGATTGCCGTCGCAACGCTTGCTCATCTCGACGCATTCCTTGCTGTGACATTGGAAGAAACCCAAGCGACATGTCCTGCCGACTACATCGGACAACATATTTGCATCAGTTTGTTATAATAAATATAAGCAGGGTGTTACAAAAATACAAATAAAGCTCAAAGGGCGTTGAAGTACATCATATATAAGGAATCTTCTCTAATTTTCTTAAAATATTTGCATGTAGTTTAAACTTTTTATAAAAACAGTTATTTTTAATGATTAATAAAAATATCGATCATTTTAAGACACGTCACTAGTTCGAGAATCATTAAAAATAACTGTTTTTATAAAAAGTTAACAGTTCATGTAAATATTATAAGAAAATTAGAGAAGAATCCTTATATGATGTACTTCAACGACCTTCAAGCTTTATTTGTATTTTTGTAACACCCTGTATATATATAATTAATTAATTGCTATTTCTTATTTTTTGGGCTTCTAGTTTCTTTGAACACATCACAAGTTATCGAAAAAATGAGGACATAGGAACACACAATGAGTAAAATTATATTTTATGTACGGAAATAATGTCCTTCGTAATAAAAATCAAGGAGCAATCAGTCGAGAACGTTTGTATGGAAAAATCATCGCCTACCCTCTTAAAGGCTTGAAAGTAGAGGGTGGAAGTTTGTATGCGAAACCAAAATTTTCCACGCAGACGAAGTTGCGAGCTTTCAATAGATCCTATTTATATTCTAAATGTGAAAGGTTGAATGAATGAATGATTGAATGATTTATTTTCTCTCACAAAGTCACAAAGTAACATTATAATTAATTAAACGGGTATTGAATGACAAAATCAGTAAAAACAATGCAGTTCTTTGTGAGAGCGTACAAGAGATTGCACAAGGTTACAAAACCTGTGTTACGACCCCCAGGCTCAAATCCTCTTAAAGCCCGTTTGCTAGAGATTCTTATGCATAGTACATTTTTTTTTCGTGATCTACCCTAGATTATGGGCGAGAGTACATGTAAGTGAATGTTACATTAAATGTTACAGAACCACAGTGAATTTAATAACAAAGCAAAAGAAAGTTACCGCCATTTATCAGTTAATGCGGGTTCACAGGATAACGCTTATATGTCTATATATTTTAAATACTAGCAAGTGTGTGTGTTCGTGTGTGTGTGTGTGTGTGTGTGTGTGTGAGGTTGTATGTTTGTTACACATCACGCATAAACTACTGAACGGATTTAGATGAAGGTTCATAAGCAAAGAGTTTATGATCTGGATTGATACACAGGACACTTTTTATCCAGAAAAAATGTAAGGTTCCTGTGGGATTCTCAATAAAGTAAAGTTGACGCGGACGAAACCGGGGGCGGCTGCCAGTAATTCATGATAAAGAGATGATACTTACCAAAGAACACAGAAAGTGGTTAAAAAGGTGATAGACTGTTTGTACGGGGGCCGATGTCGCCGGCTACACTTCCATCTAATAGATAATAGCCAATCACGACGCGAGATCCAAAAATCGAACCAATCAGCGCTCACATAAAACTCGAAAAAAGTTTTGCTCAAGGTATGAACATTTGCTCACACATAACTGTGCGCTCGAGGAGCTCGATGGCGCAACTGGTAAGCGCGTTCGGCTGTGATCGTTGAAGTTAAGCTACTTTCGCAGTGGTCGGTCATTGGATGGGTGACCAAAAATTTACTATCTCGAGCTCCTCCGTGCTTCGGAAGGCACGTTAAACCGTTGGTCCCGGTTGCATCTGCAGTCGTTAGCACCCACCAATCCGCACTGGGCCCGCTTGGTGGATCATGGCCCAATCTGCCTATTCCATCCATAGGGAAGGCCTGTGCCCCAGCAGTAGGGACATTAATAGGCTGATGATGATGATGAACTGTGCGCGCCTGCCCCGCTCATAAGGCCCTTATAACCTCTTTCTGTATTCTGTGTTACTTACTACAACCGAATTCGTCCGATTCGTCGGGGCAGTCCGGCTCGCCGTCACATTTGAAGTTATCCAGAATGCAAGAGCCTGATGTACACCTAACAACAACATTTTACTATTTATTCCTAGAAATCAAATATACGCGGGGCTCGATAGCGCAAATGGCTAGTGCATTCGGCTGCGATCGTTGAAGTGAAGCAACTTTCGCATAAATCCTTTATTGGATGGTTGACCGAAAATTTACTATCTCGAGCTCCTCCGAGCTTCAGAAGGCACCCACCCTTCGTTAGCACCCACCAATCCGCAGGGGACCCGCGTGGTGGCTCATGGCCCAATCTCCCTATTCCATCCATAAGGAAGCCCTCTGCCCCAGCAGTGGGGACATTAATAGGCTGATGATGAAAAAAATATACAATCTGTCGAATCTCAAAAGTATTTCATGATATAATTTTGTAATGGCAATTTCTATCACAGCACATCTCACAAATACGAAAGTGTGTCTGTCTGTTAACTCTTCACGCTTAAACTATTGAACCGATTTAGCTGAAATTTGGTAAAGAGAGAGTTTGAGTCTCGAAGAAGGAAATAGAATAATTTTTATTCCAGAAAAAAGGAGGATGGTTTGCATGTTTGTTTGGGAAACCAAAACCACGGAGACGAAGTCGAGGCACAAATTAGTTATAAATAAGCACATATCAAGAAAGCCCGGTTGCCTTCGTTTATAAAGCAGTTAATCATGAGTGCAACGGTGAGGTACTTACTTTTGGACCGCATTCTGTACGGTTTTCATAAAAACAACATCGATCAGTCGTGTGGAGTGTAGTAGAGTGGTATGGTGTGTTGTGATATGGTGTTGTCTTCACATGAACTCCTGTGGTTAGCACGCGAGGGCGTCGCACAGCATGTTTAGTGGGCCTATATCTATATGTGTGGTGTGGAGTGGTGTGGTATCGTATGGAGTGTAGTAGAGGGGTGTGGTGTGTTGTGGTAGGGTGTGTAGGGCCTCGCAGAGGATGCTTAGTGGGCCTATGTCTATGTGTGCGGTGTGGTATTGTGTGGAGTATAGTAAAGTGGTATGGTGTATTGTGATATATTGTTGTTTTCACATGGTCTCGTGTGGTTGGCACATGAGGTCGTCGCACAGGATGCTTAGTAGGCCTATATCTATGTGTGTGGTGTGGCGTGGTATATAGTAGAGTGGTATGGTATGTTGAGATGTGGTGTTGTCCTCACAAGACCTCGTGTGGTTGGCACGTGAGTTCATCGCACAGGATGCTTAGTGGGCCTATATCTATGTGTGTGGTGTGGCGTGGTATATAGTAGAGTGGTATGGTATGTTGAGATGTGGTGTTGTCCTCACAAGACCTCGTGTGGTTGGCACGTGAGTTCATCGCACAGGATGCTTAGTGGGCCTATATCTATGTGTGTGGTGTGGCGTGGTATATAGTAGAGTGGTATGGTATGTTGAGATGTGGTGTTGTCCTCACAAGACCTCGTGTGGTTGGCACGTGAGTTCATCGCACAGGATGCTTAGTGGGCCTATATCTATGTGTGTGGTGTGGCGTGGTATATAGTAGAGTGGTATGGTATGTTGAGATGTGGTGTTGTCCTCACAAGACCTCGTGTGGTTGGCACGTGAGTTCATCGCACAGGATGCTTAGTGGGCCTATATCTATGTGTGTGGTGTGGCGTGGTATATAGTAGAGTGGTATGGTATGTTGAGATGTGGTGTTGTCCTCACAAGACCTCGTGTGGTTGGTACGTCAGGGCGTCGCACAGGAATCTCAGTGGTCCTATATCTGTGTGTGGCTACAAGTGGTGTAGTGTCGTGAACACGAGCTCGTGTGGTTGGCAAGTAAGAGAGTTACACAAGGCAGTAAGTTCGTCCTCCTATCGTTATGTGTGGTATGGTGTGATGTAGTGTGGTAAAGTATAGTGTGGTCTGGTATTATGATGTCCTCACATGAACTCGTGCGGTTGACACGTAAGAGATTCACACAAGGCGGTTAGTTCATCCCCTCCCCCCGGACAATCCTGGCGACCGTCGCACACTTGAGATCGCTCCACGCATAAGGAAGCGTTGGGACACTTATACTGGAACTCCTCGCATTGTTCCGTCAACGAGGTATCTATACGAATGGAGAAAGGTATTAATCATAGCTTATTACCAGTAAATACTGTACGAACCAGACGTGAAACTTATAAGGCAACACCGCTTATTGTATTATTATCACAAAGAAAGTGACAGTATAAACTTAAAACTATTGGACTGAATGGATCGTTTTCTAGTAAATATTCTCTTTAGTTTTAAGAAAATTATAATATATAAGCATTTTATTGTATGAAACAATTTTTAATTTAGTTAATAGACATTTCTGTTTTTTAGTCTCAATACTTGTCATTTATAGCTATTAACGGGATTGTTACCATGTACCTTGTTTTTTATGAGTCTCCTATATTTCGGCACTGTTGCAAGCGCCATGATCAGGGATTATCGGGTTGGTTACTCCGTGATCATGGCTTGCAACCATAGATATCAGAAACAAAAAGTCATTACTTTAACATTTCTGTGCTTGCAACAGTGCCGAAATATCGAAAACTCATAAAAACAGGGTACATGGTAACAATCCCGTTAATAGCTATAATGTTAAAGACCATGAGGCGTCATCCTAATTGGCAAAGATCGCACGATGACAGATGCGTTCTCGTCGTGAGATGATTTTCAAACAAAGATTTCTTCAGAAGTGTTTAGGACACTTACTAGGACACAGCTCGTAAGCCGTCGTACCACCACATGTACATTATTTTCCGTGCCGTCGTACGATCCTTGCCAAGTAAGACGACGCCTGAAAGTTTAAAACTTGTTATTTAATTTTAAAATTGGTTGAACATTTTCTATTAATGTTTTAAACTGAATAGAATCAAGCAAGGTGAAGTTGCACCTACCTGGTTTGGGTGTCGTAGTTGCATCGGTTGTACAAGTGCCCTCTTGAACACAGAATTTATCACACATTACATAGCCGGTGGAACAGCTCTCAGTATCAGCAATAGGCTCCACTGTAATCAAAAAAGGAAAAAACGCCACATCATGAAGCGCCACTCAAAATTAACCTACTTTACTGGGGCGATTCTTTTAAAAGCTAAGATATGTATAAAAGTTTTTTTTTTGGAAATTATCTATAAACCGCCACAAAATAGCTGAAATTGGAATGGTACTTAATGTCGAAATCTCAACTCTTCATATGTATATATCGTGGCCATATCGTAGATTTGCTCACTTCATGAAATGCTCGAGAATTTCATGAAATGGTCGCATTTCATGAAATGTTTCACTGCCTATTGGCCACATCATGATGTGGTTTGGGCAGATCAATGATAAGAAATCGTTTCACGATATGGCCAACTAAACGCGCGGCTACTTCATGAAATGGCAAAAATTATTTGATCATATTATAAAGTAGTTACATTAATTACCGGTAGAGGCGCTGCAAGCGCTTTGTTTATATATGTATATGGCGGTCGCTGCCGACAATGTTGTTTCTCGCAGTGAAAAAGTGCATAATTCGTTATTTAATGAGGAAGAAAGTGTTAACATAAGGGTTTTCGACGAATCAAATTAAGGAGAGTAGGTGACTACGCAAAAGAAATCTATGGACTATTACTGGCTGTCAAAATATGACATTTTGGAAACTGCGGTTGAGGTACAAAGTGCGGATGAGAATTAATGCCGTACAAAGATATACTGTAAAACTGTACTTCCAGGGCCCAAGAGGTGATACTTAAATTTATTTTTTAGAAAAGGTCTCTTTTAATAGAGTTTTTTTTTTCTGGCGCTTCGCCGGCCGCTGCCGCGGCACGCTCGCGCGTTATGGTCACAACACTAATCCCTGTTGTGTTACAACAGGGAATCAAAGTCGTGCGATTTATAAAAAACTGAGAATACCTTTTTATTTATTACTAAAAATAAAATGATGTCTTCTTTCTGTAAAATATCCTATCTTCAATATTTATCTGGAAGGTAGAAGTGCTGTATCAGCTATCTTCGCGTCTGGACTTAACCTTCACTTAACATCAGGTGGGGTGTTGTCATTTGTCTGACCTATCTATAAAAAAAAATGAAAGGAAGATAATAATAAATAATAAATATTTCCAACACTCACACCAATTAGCCTAGCCCAAAGTAAGCACTATAAGGCTTGTGTTATGGGATGCTAGGGTAACGGATAGAATACATACACAGTACATATATAAGTATATTTATATAGAAATACATATTAAACATCCATGACTGGAGTACAAATGCTCGTGTTCATCACACAAACATTTGCCCCCACCGGGATTTGAACCCGGGACCTCTCGAGTCGGCGACACCATGAAACCCGGCGTACAAACCACTCGGCCACGGAGGTCGTCGAGGTCAAAATCAAAAAAAGATCATGAAATTAAAATACTTTTAATGCTACCAACAGCTAATGTTATAATTTCAAAGTATTTACTGATTTAATAATACAGGATTTCTTTACTATAAGTACCTGAAAAAATATTAAAGCGATACTTATACAAACTTAGCACCGTTTCTTTTTTATTGTAGTTTGTGTTCAATTATTAAAAAAAACGTCAATATTCGTGTTTTTTTTTCATTTACAATGCTATGTAAAATAATCCTAATGATTAACCCTTTCGACCGTTATCATAAAATACATATATGGTTTTTCGTTTCAAATTTCACGAGTTTGATTCCCGATTTTAGCAGGCGATTTTTTTTTTAAACGGTGAATGCAGTTGTACTTATTATAAAAAAATAAAATGATGTCTTCTTTCACTAAAATATCCTATATCTTCAATATTTAATATACTTTTCCTTCGTGTGACAAACCCGTGGGACACCCTGTATATACAGGGTGTTACAAAAATACAAATAAAGCTTGAAGGGCGTTGAAGAACATCATATAAGAAGTCTTCTCTAATTTTCTTAAAATATTTGCATGAAGTTTTAACTTTTTTTATAAAAACAGTTATTTTTAATGATCCTCGAATTAGTGACGTGTCTTAAAGTAATCGATAATCTTATGAATCATCAAAAATAACTGTTTTTATAAAAAGTTAAAACTTCATGCACATATTTAAGATTGATTAAGAAAATTAGAGAAGACTCCTTATATGTACTTCAACGCCCTTCAAGCTTTATTTGTATTTTTGTAACACCCTGTATATTCGTGTGACGCTAATAACGCATTTCCGTTTCATCTTTTCCATATGACTTTTTTCATTCACACCCTGTCCGAAGGGTGGAAATGACTTTTTAGGTATGGCAACTTAAAACAACATCAGACTTACCTTCACAATATTCCTCGTCTTCTGCCGCAGGGCATTCCTCCACACCATTGCAAAATTCCCCCTTCACGCACTTGTTACTTTTGTGGCAATATATATCATCTTCCTTGCAATGGGCCAAGGGTGTACACTGGCCATCCATATTGAGTAAGCCAGGGGTGCAAAGGCAGGTGTAAGGCATTGGGGACTCGTTTTTGGCTGAGGATTTGGAGGTATGCGATAAAGGAGTTTGTGGGGATTGGGTGCAAACATCCGAGCAAGGTGGAGGGGTTGATAAGCAAGGGTGCTGGGTTAAAGGGTCTTTAGGGTTAGGAGGTAGGGAAGTGGCTTGGATTATCAGCTGGGTCGCGTTGGGGAATACAGCTGAAAAGTGAAACGAATAGCTGAACGAGCTTGTTATAGCAACGACTTAACGAAGACTGCGCTTGGTTTATAGTTACTCGACGTTTTGTTTCTGTTTAAGTGTCGCCACACACGGACCACCGACCTTAACCACAAAACGCCGCCACCGGCATATTTCTTGTAGTTTTCATACATTGTATATGGACTCGCCACACACGGTACGCCGGTGGCCGCCACACGCTACATATCGTCGTTGCTCGCTTCTTGTGGCCCGCACCCGCCACTTAATGCGCCGATACAAAACGCCGCTACACGTCACTCGCGCGATTCCCCACCCCTCTCTCCCTTAGCTTAGTCGGCCGCTGTCGCGCGCTTCAGCGACTTTAGTAGCAGCTTCTAGGTTCTCGTGGCGGCGTTTGTGGCTGTGGTGTGTGGCCCGTGTGCGGCGACACTTATGAATGCCAAATGTCTTTTGAGTGATATGAACAAGTCACGGCGTTATTAGTCTAAGCTTTGAACCTTGTTTATGAATAAGGGAGTATTTGTATTTTTAATGCTTCTGTGCCTTCAAGTATATGGAATAAGAAATCACTACCTTTTTATTCAAGATGAAAATAGATGAAAATGTATATAATGTGTTTTCTTTTAACTATAAAAGTATATTATAACCATGATTAAATAATGAAATTTTACACGCAAACTATTTAACAGTGTATAAAATCTTTAAAAAATCAGAGCGTTTGTCTGTATATTCTGAAATTGACTTAATTTTCCGTATAATACATTTCATCCAGCTGACTTTCCCTATACGGTAGGTATCGTCACTAGCCTATTAGAGTATCCAATGTTGGGGCACAGGCCTTCCTTATGGATGGAATAGGGAGATTGGGCCAAGACCCACCACGCGGGCCCAGTGCGGATTGGCGGGTGCTAACGACTGCAGATGCAGCTGGGACCGAGACGGCTTAACGTGCCTTCCGAAGCACGGAGGAGCCGAGATAGTAAATTTTTAGTCACCCATCCGAGAACCGACCACTGCGAAATTTGCTTAACTTCAACGATCGCAGCCGAACGCACGGCTCACGGTAGGTATAGTTCTCCTTAAACCTTTCTCAAATTGTTGGCCTATATTAACACGACTATCTTCGCTATCTTCAGGGCTTTAATACTAGGCTATAATAAAATACGTCCTTTAAGAACTTGTAACCTTTCTTTCAATTAAATACTTACACAGGTCTATCTTCCTGATATAATGGGTGGCTTCATGAAGGTTGGTCCAGTATAGTTTGGTCTTCCGATCAGTCCAGAATAGATGCGGTTCGGCCACACTCATGCTAGTCACTGTGGTCACCAGGTGACGGAAGGTCTCTCTACCGGTTCCTGTTGGGGTTTCATACATATATATGTACTTATTTATTTATTCTGATGGACCAGACAGATGTTGTCCTGCCAGATAAAAATATGAAAGAAAAAACTGAAAGCCGACTGTTCGGGTGAAGTTGTTAGTTAAATTTTCATAGCCATTGAATTTACATATTATAGGTAAATGTATTTCGTTCTGTAGTTACCTTCAGGGTGCATGAGATCTATGACACCGTTGCCATCGTCCGCGATGTATACCACGTCAGCGCCCTGATCGTAGCGTAAGCGGATTCTAGGTCCTAGATAAATGAAACAAATACTTAATTTAAACATACATACAATCATAATCATACAAGCCGTGCGTTTTCTTTACGTTTTTTTTTATTTCGATTGAACCTCCTTGGGAGCGCCTTTAATCTATACCTTTGCCTTACTTTAATTTTAAAACGAAAAAGAGGGTTTTTTTGGCGGGATTTCATCGAGTGCAGTTGAATCGGTTAATTACTAAAGGACATTAGTCAAGACTTCATAACTTTTCACAATGAATGAAAAACTGTCTACACTAAAATTATCTTTAACAGATAATTCATATACGGATAACCGTAAATTTGTTTTTTTTTTTTTTTTGGAAATACTGAAGGTTTTATTTTTCGTTTTTTCCTAAAAAAATCGAAAGTGTGATCTTATTTTTATCATAACTATCTCAATTTTAATGCTATTAACTTTTTACAGTGCTCATTAGAAAGGTATTTCCGAGGACCTTAAAAATGTTCAGAAAGTATATGTCATAAAATGCATCGGCTCCCCGTTATTTAGGTTTGAATTTTTAGATTTAAGTACTCGCCGAAAAAAATATACATGCAATTTCCTATAGCTCACTTTGAATTAATATTAGAAGGTTTTTCAAAGTAGGGGTTTGTTTGTTTTTTTATTAGCTTTAATTTTGGTAATAATACATTTATCGTAAAAACTCATAATTTTTGAGTTATTTATAAAAACCGCTCTAAAACATGTATTTTTATGATGAAAAATCACAATCTTTGGTCTTTAATAACTCAGAAAGTATTGATTAATTCCAAAATCTTTATATAAGAAATTTTGCTTAGAATTTATTTTTCTATCGATTTCTCGAGTTATTTTATTAAAATAATTTTCACCCCCCGGGAAGAGGTGGCATCTACCCCCAGGGCAAAAGCGCAAGTTGGCATTAGGTCATCATTTTTGTTTCTTAAAGTATCCGCCACCTACTCACCAATTTTCATGAAAATCGATGGAGGTTCAACGAAATCGGAGGTTATAGCTGATTTTTGTCTTCATTGACTGGACTATATAGGCAAATAATACCTATCTCATTGTTTCAAAACTTTTTTCACCGTACCAAAGGAGAAATAGATGCATAATTATATACCGTTTGTTCGCCAGCTCCTCAATGTTATAACTGATTATCCTACCTTTTAAGTCAGTGCTGATGAGCCGTTTTCTATCATTGCCGTCCAGGCCTATGCTATCGATGAACACTTCGTTGCCTTGATCGGTGTCCACTAGCGCCACCAACATCCTCCTGTGAATCATACGTATCTTAATAGTCTAAGATCCGAGCCTACATCGACCTTCATCATCATCATCAGCCTATTAATGTCCCCACTGCTGGAGCACAGGCCTTCCTTATGGATGGAATAGGGTGATTGGGCCATGACCCACCACGCGGGCCCAGTGCGGATGGGCGGGTGCTAACGACTGCAGATACAGCCGGGACCAACGGCTTAGCGTGCCTTCCTAAGCACGGAGGAACTCGAGATAGAAGATTTTTGGTCACCCATCTAATGACCGACCACTGCGAAAGATGCTTAACTTCAACGATCGCAGCCGAACGCGCTAACCACCTGCGCCATCGAGCTCCTCGACCTTCACCGAGCTGATAATAGAATGAAACATATTTTATCATGAATTTAGTATATTAGAAAGTATATTAAAAATTGTTTGCCTAAAAAAATCCTGTATACTAATTTTAATGAATTTAAAATATATATATATATGTATTTTTAATTTAATGTTGCAACATCAAGATAAAAAGAAAATGTTGTCCTGACTTACAGTATAAAACTTATAAAATGTGCAGCCGCTGGGGTTTCTATAATTTACCTGGGAGAACTACTGGGGCTCTACTCTCTTTCTCCGAAACGAACTTTGGATAACGAAGTTCAAACGAAATTTAATTTCGTCAATTTACAGTTACACTTCATTTGCACGATAAACTATCAAATTGAAGCTTTCTTTGAGTAGGCTCAGAAAATCTACACCTTAAGTTATAATATTCCGACGACGAATATTGTTATAATTAAAAATGAACCAGAAACATAGAATAGCGCGCAGTTTCGATCGAAATTTCGTTTTTCGTTAAATCAGAGTAGGCCTCCGGGGTTGCCAGGTATAAACAGCTATGTCGATGCCAGTTACGTTACCCAACGGCTGCACTCTTAAAGTTTTATACTTTAAAATCAGGACAACATTTTCTTATTATATTGATGTGCAACATTTTTTTTAAATATATTTTTTTTAAATTGGGTTTTTAAAAAAAAACATTATTCCGACGACGCATTCCTGCAAAGGATGTGAAACGTCAATAAATAAATAAAATCAGTGCATATAACCCGTTGAAACTTGTTTTATTTAATGAGTGATGTGTGTAAAAACCTAAGAAACAATTCAATTATTCACCCATATTCCGGCATCACGCAGAAGCTGACTGGAACCTCCTGACTCTTCAGCCGGATAACCAGCGCTCTCTTCAGGGTCCTTAGAGAGACCACTTCAATGAAACTTCGGCCCGCGTCCAATATGTACAGAGAATCCGTCGCGTAATCTGAATTATGAAAAAAAAAATATAAGTCTTACGAGACTTTGTTATAAGCTGCTTGTAGAGACTTTAACGAAATTTTAAGTTTAAATTAAGTTAATAAAGATTAAGATAGCAAGCTCATCGCAAATTATTCTGAGTTTTTCATAAAATTTTGATTATCTATCATAAATATCTATTATGAAAATTTATTTTTCGTCATTTAATAAGAAGGAGCTGTATCACAGTTTTATTGTAATAGTAGGGGAGCCCAAGCGGGGATTTTTGGATTTACTCGAGCGCGGCAGAATAACATATGGGGAGCAACCTTGCACCTAGTTAAGTACTCCCACCATACCTGAGCCCTCTATGTAGGGCCGAACGTCTAGGGCAGCAAAAACAAATTTTAAACGAATGGTCACGTCCAAATCGTCAGTCTTTTGAATACAAGCTACAAGAGGGTTCATGTTCATCAGAAATTGAGAAGGGATGTTACGTGAACCCTCCAGTAGCTCCTATTCAAAAGACTGACGATTTGGACCCGACCAAAAGTCATGGCCGTTTGTTGAAATTTTGTTTTTAGTACAGTCAATCTGTAGGTTGAGTGGTGAAAAAAAAACCTAAAGGGTAAGTCTTGTTTTTTCTGTTGCCAAATGACGTCAGTAAGCCACCTTGGCGATGGGCATGTTCAACTCGTAGGCGTTTTTTAAAAAACTCAAAAAAACCGCCAAAAATTTTTTGAAACGCATTTTTCTTGTTTTGTATGCATTTTAGAAACTTTTTTTTCGACCATAATTGTAGAGGGCGTTGAGTGCTACAATTTATGTCATTGTTGCAATCTCGTACAACAAAAAATGCGCATTGTAGGTGGCGCTAAAGTCTCAAAAAAGTGTTTTTTTCACTTTTTCACCTTGAAAATATCATTTTAATGAAAAACTAAATGGCAAAGTTGTTTCATACATAATTACCAACAACTTTTGTATAAACATTTTTTTTGTATTACCCACCGTTTTCAAGTTATAAATTGCGCAGGTATGAAAAATCCAATAGAGCGGTTTTGGGCAGTTCAAGTACACATTTGCAGTGCACATTTCAATGTACGTTTTTACTATTTTTTTTTCAATCATGAAAAAAATAAAAATAAAACTTTTTTTTTATTTATTTATTTTATTTATTTTTTTGTTTTTCAATCATGAAAAAAAATAAAAAATAGTAAAACGTACATTGAAATGTGCACTGCAAATGTGTACTTGAACTGCCCAAAACCGCTCTATTGGATTTTTCATACCAGCGCAATGTATAACTTGAAAACGGTAAGTAATACAAAAAAAATGTTTATACAAAAGTTGTTGGTAATTATGTATGAAACAACTTTGCCATTTAAAGTTTTTCATTAAAATGATATTTTCAAGGTGAAAAAGTGAAAAAACACTTTTTTGAGACTTTAGCGCCACCTACAATGCACATTTTTTGTTGCACGAGATTTCAACAATGACATAAATTGTAGCACTCAACGCCCTCTACAATTATGGTTGAAAAAAAAAGTTTCTAAAATGCATACAAAACAAGAAAAATAAGTTTCAAAAAATTTTTGACGGTTTTTTTGAGTTTTTCAAAAAACGCCTACGAGTTGAACATGCCCATCGCCAAGGTGGCTTACTGACGTCATTTGGCAACAGAAAAAACAAGACTTACCCTTTAGGTTTTTTTTCCACTGAAACGATATTTTTTTCGACAGATTGACTGTACTATTTTGCTGCCCTAGACGTTCGGCCCTACATAGATGGCTCAGGTATAGTGGGAGTACATAACTACGTGCAAGGTTGCTCCCTATATGTGATTCTGCCGCGCTCGAGTAAATCCAAAAATCCCAGCTTTGGCTTCCCTACTATAAGGATTAGATACTGCGAGTAGCCCATTTTTTTTCCTCCTAGGTTTTATATACGTTTATAAACATAAAAAATCATCAAAATTTCTTTCCGCGCTATCACTTTGCCTCGTTGTAACTTTTTAAATATTTGTAGAAATGACATATGTGTAGGCAAAGTTTATCCTTTAAATATCAAAAGCGATAAAAGTATTTGTTTTGATAAATGTGCATTTTGGGAATGAATATAATAATAATATTTTATTTTTGATTCACTATTTTAGCGATAATGGCTTACACATTAAATATAGGTATATGGTGTCGCGGACTTTTTAAGAGATACATTTCCACTATTATATTCAAGTAACTTTTATTGTTTTTGCAATGCAGGCCAAAATGGCTAGCAGATGGAAGATTTTTTCCTTCTTATGTGACAGTTATTGTTATATTTTGGCCAATTCACTCAATAACTACATAATCTATATGTTATTACTAGGGGCCCGCCCTCGCTTCGCTTCGGTGTAGAGCTGTAGTGTAAACTATAGTTTTGTTCTCGGGCTTGTGTTATAAACAATGACTTTATTTATATAATTTCACGTGTTATTGTAAGTCAACCATAAAAGATAGACATATGCTGTTGCGGGATATTTTTTTGACAATTTTATGTAGAATATTTCCGTCATACATGATTTCTATGTAACTTTAACCATTAAGGCTGCACACGCGACGGAAGCTTAAAAAATGGAGTAACTTCTCCCGTTTTCCCAACATTTCCCTTCACTACTCTGCTCCTATTGATTGTAGCGTGATGAAAAGTATACTATAACCTGCCCAGGAGTATGAAGAATAATTGTACCAAGTTTCGTTAAAATCCGTCGAGTAGTTTTTGTTTCTATAAGGAACATACACACAGACAGACAGACAGACAGACAGACAAAAATTTTACTGATTGCATTTTTGGCATCAGGTTCGATCACTTATCACCCCCTGATAGTTATTTTGAAAATATATTTCATGTACAGAATTGACCTCTCTACAGATTTATTATAAGTATAGATTATATGTATATGAACTATAGCCATTTAGTATATTTTGGGAAAAGAGTAACGAAGATCCATACAAACGTAAGGTTGGAATCAAAAGCGCGTGGTTGATATACAACTTTAAATCGTTGTCGATCCTAAACAGTCATATAAAATGAAAAATGGTGTAAGAAACCCATGATTTTCGATTATCTAGACAATGATACGTGAGTACCCGACTCGACATATTTCGTCAACATATTTTTTTTACTTTGTCACAATATGGCGCCTAATGGTCCCCATATTTAATTTTGATTACTATCATATCTTTAGTAGCACTCCCATGATTAAGACGAATCGATTGATGTATGAATTATCAAAATCGGTGCACGCTTTTGGTCTCTAGTATGCAACAAAGGAACATACATATCGGATAAAAAGGGAAGTAATGGTCCGTGGAGAGAAATTGAAATTGTGAATGAAATGGTTCCTCGTCACTTAAAGATTAAGAACCACTGCTCTACATCATTCCTTATTTCAACTCCATATTTTTTCTCTCCCTCCCCAGTCATCACCATACGTAATATTGGTAGCTCACCATAGTCCATGTCGACGACATCGTCTAGCCCCCGGTACGCCATCAGATGCGTCACTCCCGTCTTGAAATCCGTCATATTGATGTAGTTTATCACCCTGCGTTGGCCGTCGTACACGTACAAAGTGTCTGAGAAAACACGGGAAAAATTAAAATAACTTTTTCAACACATTCGCTCAATAAATGCATTTATGTAGGTTGTATACAGTCTTTTTTAAAGTAAATATATTATACAAAGGTGTCCGTTGAAATCTAATGACTGTAAATTAAATTATAAATTACGCCAAGAATTACCGTGCATGTCAATATTTTTTGTGCATTTAGGCCAATTTGAGCAATCTCCTTTTACAGGTATGGTCTATAAGAAAAAAATTATGGTCATGATGTGGAAAATACGTGGCCCTCGACTTCGTTAAAGGTTTTTTTACACCCTGTATGTATACATTCCACTTACCCCTGGTATTATCGAAAGCCATGGCCTGCACGCGTCCAATATCAAAGTGAGTAGCGTGAGCCTCAGGGTTACCCAGCACGTCGAACTCCACGCGAGTGAAGTAAGAACCACCGCCCAGTATCAAATACACGGGACGGTAGTGTTCCATATCTGTACCGTGAATGACAATGAATTCATTAATAATACTGGCTTTTCGTGGCAGCTGACACGTTATGGGCAGAATGGTTATGCGCACAACCCTAGTAGACCTGTGGCTACTAAGAACTAAGATCAATAGATCTAACCTAGTATTAAGATCAGTGCCGTCTTTGACCTATTGGAGGCCCTGGGCATATTAGGATAATGGGGCCCCTATGACGGGTCTGATTAAGATCAATAGGCAGATGATGTATCCAATGCTACAATAAAATGAAACAATGAATCGTACGAGAACGTTTCAGGGGAAATTTATCAAAATCGGTTTGGTACTTTAGGATCTAAATGTGACAGTCTCTGCTTGAGCGTTGCGGTCAACGATATTAAATACCCTAGATACACCACGTGCGCTCAAAATGTGTCCCTATCAAGAAGTGCTTGAACATGACACAAGCACTTCTTGGTTCACAGTCACGCGAGGACCATTGAAAACCGCTAAGCTCCGTGAAAAAATGCGTAATAAATAGGTACCAACAGTATGTAAAATGTCGTTTTTTCGACAGGTGTCTTATCAATGTTTGTTAATTGAACGCATTTGAAGCAAATTTTATACTTACTATAAACTGATTTAATAGAAAATATTTGTGATATTCAAATCCATGGTCGGTAATATAGCCGTCTCTTTTCCTCGCGGTCCGTACCTGCTATATTGCTAACAGCGCATTCAGAATTGCGCGTAGAGTCAAAGAAATAAGGTCTGTATTCTTCGATTTGGAACTCACGTTGACAGTTGGTACCGTTCTTCAGCTCCATTCCATCGGGGCAGGCGCACACCCCCGTAGCATTGGTGGAAGTGAGGCACATGTGCGAACATGTGTGGTTCTCGCACGGATTGTGGATCGGGTTATATATAACAGGGTGGTAGATGTGCATTCCTGAAATCGTTACACGGATTTATTTGCTGAAACAGAAACTACGCTTAGACCGTAGACTTAGCTAATTGAATCAGTGAGTCGCAACTCCCTAGAGAAAGAGAAAGCGATGGTGCAGCCAATACCTAAACGACTTGGCCGCGGAAGCTTCGCCTCTCTTATACCTCTAAGTCCGGTTTTACTTTATCGGTAGGGAATGCTTAATCCTTTCTCTATGTCTATAGCTTAGACGGATACTTAAAGAGATGTTTTGTATGATATAGATGAACAGGACATGTTGTTGAACGGCTTTGCCCGGTGGAACAACATACAAATAGTGGAACAACTGTACTCTGTGGAACAACTTTACCCAGTGGGACAATTCGAAACTGTGGAAGAAAAGTGAATATAAGTTCAGATTTTTACTGACCCTGGGGCTCCGGTGCCCACCATCTTTTCAAAGAAATCGCCAAAAGATTGTTGGATACCACTGGAGAACGCAGAGCTGGCGGCTATTTCGCCCAGCGCATAAGCCTCGCCATTCAGCGGGGAAATGCCGCCAGCGTCCTGGGAACCTCTGCCGACGGGGAAGACTTAGGGCGGCTATTTTTTTAATATTTTTAATTTTTGTCTAGTTTAAGTGTAGTTTTAGTTTAATATTTGCCATGTCGCTTTTGATTTTATAGTAAATGTGAATTATGGAAATGTATTACTGGCTATTTAGCAATATAGGTTTAACCAAGGACATTAAACACGTTCCTCTTGCGTGAAGTCCGCCGTCTGTATAGTATTGGACGTCCAGTCACTCAAGAAGATTGTGCTCTCGAAACCGCTATGGAGTACAGGTGTTAGAACATTTTATCCTGTAGATCAATTTACTATGCGGAACAATATAACCCGTGGAACAATAGAACCCTGCGGTACCACTTTACTCTATGGAACAATTTTGACTTAAAGAACAACTAGGTAATAGGGTATTTGACAGTGTTAAAAATGAAGTGCCAATTATTGGCATCTGTGTTTAGAATGAATATTAGCGGGGGTTTTTACTATTTTTACAAAAAAAAATGTTTATAATTTTACTAAAACCTAACGAAAAAGATAACAGTTTTCTTATCTATTGTCACGTAATTCAAAACGCTTGGGATTGGCGGAGACTAAAATGACGCAAGTAAACTTCCGGTTACAGTGACATTACATTGTATCGTTTGACGTTTTAATTACAGTCGTGTGACGTCACACACTAGTAAGACGCCATATTGCCCAGAGAAACGTTTTCGCGGCAACTTGAAAATGGAGTTTTCTATTTGGTTATTTTTACTGAAAAACACAACAGAATGATGAATATCCATTTTCACGGACTCCATAAACATTAACCAATAACGTGAGATCGTTTTCTAAGACTTGTCAAATACCCTATTATGAAAGTAAATTATTAACCGAATATAGGTTTATCCAAGGATACGAGTACGTTCCTCTTCTGGCCAGTGCCGTGGAGTTTATCCGCCGTCTGTATGGTGTTGGACGTCCAGTCACTCCAGAATATAGTGTTCTCGAATACCGCTATGGAGTACAGGTGTTACAATGTTTTACACTGTAGAACAATTTACTGCGCGGAACAATGTTTCCCGTAGAACACTATAACTCTGTGGAGTAACTTTACCCTGTGAAACAATTTTGCCTTAAGGAACAACTTGGTAATTGTGAAAGTAAATTACTGACCGAATATAGGTTTATTCAAGGATACGAGCACGTTCCTCTTCTGCCCAGTGCCGTGGAGTTTATCCGCCGTTTGTATGGTGTTGGACGTCCAGTCACTCCAGAAAATGGTGTTCTCGAATATAGCTATGGAGTACGGGTGGTGGAACGGCTCCTCGAATAGTGACTGTGACAAGTATACTAATATTAGGTATAAATACGAGTGTGTCTGTCTATTACCTCTTCAAGCTTAAACGGCTGAACCGATTTAGATGAAATTTTTTATAGAGATATTTTAAGTCCTGAGAAAGGACATAGGATATTTTTACTTTCAGGGGGGGGGGGGGGGTGAAAAGGGGACGGAAGATTGCTTGGAAACTAATTAAACGACCATAGCAGACGAAGTCGTGGACAGTCATAAGTAAACATGTTCAAACACAGGTTGCCATGTGTTTTGGAATCTGCATGTGCATTGACAGACTTTTTATCAAAGGTTAAGGAAGCTGTTCAGTCTTTTTATTCACCGGGATAAAAGGACGATCTTCTCTTATATAATAAACTCGATGTGGCCTGCGGTTCCACTCATAATTTTTTTAGGAAAAAGGCAATACAGTTTACCCCTAAAAGATAGATATGCTATCGCGGACTTTTTATAGAACTTTAAAACGGGCAATAATCCCGTTTTATATTTTTTTTGTGTGTAACTTTTACCGTTTACGCAGAGTACGCAAAGAAAGCTCTTAAATGGAGTATTTTTTTCCACTTTTACAACATTTTTCTTTGGTTCTTTCTTTCGTAGCGCTATGTTAAATAGCCTTTCTCTGTATATGTACTAACCAACACAAAAGGAATTATTCAAATCGGACCAGTAATTTCCGAGATTAGCGCGTTCAACCAAATAAACAAACTCAGGTTTATATTATTAGTATAGATACCTCAATAATGCTAAATACGCACCAATTAGTGCTAAAATTGTGTCACGCAAATGTTCAAATTCAAATTCAAATTCAAACTCATTTATTCAGTCTAGGCTGTTACAAGCTCTTGTGAAAGTCAAACGCTACGCCATCGGTTCGTAAATCTACGGCGGGAGACCTTGTACTGAGAAGAACCGGCAAGAAACTCAGCAAGGGCTATTTTTTTCTCCCTGTTTTGTTTCACACAGTGTCGTCAATTGAAAGATGACATCAAAAATTGAATACATGTGTTGATGTCAACTTCCATCACATTAATATTATTAATTAACAAAAGTTAAGTATAACTAGGTACTATTTTTAAATTTAGAAGTGGCGATTAAACAATTTTCAACCAAATTAGCAAAGTAAAAAGACAGTCTATTATGTTAAGCCCAAGGTGACTTATCATTTATGAAATCTTTTACAGTATAGTAACCTTTCTTAAGGAGACATGTTTTTATACACACTTTAAACTTATTAAAAGGTAAATTAATTATTTCTTTTGGTATTTTATTATAGTAACATATACCTTGACCCACAAATGAACCAAGAACCTTTTGGAGTCTCAATGGTGGCAATTTGAGTTTATCTTTATTTCTGGTATTGAAATTATGTACATCATCGCGCCTCGTATATAAATTTATGTTCTGACGCACAAACAATATACAATTGTAAATGTATTGAGAGGCAACAGTCATTATACCTATTTCTTTAAATTTATCCCTAAGAGAAGTTCGAGATCCCAAGCGGTAAATAGCTCTTATAGCTCGTTTTTGAAGAATAAAAACTGTTTCAATGTCTGCGGCCGTGCCCCATAATAGAATGCCATACGACATAATGCTGTGAAAGTAGCTGAAGTATATTGTCCTAGCAGTGTCGACATCTGTAAGCCGTCTTATTTTATAAATTGCATAAGCAGCAGAACTTAGTTTACCGGCTAGTGTTGTAATGTGAGGGTTCCATTGAAGTTTGTGGTCTAGTGTTACGCCTAAGAAAACGGTTGTATCGACTAAAATTAGTTTTTCACCATTTAGAATTATATCCCCCATTTCAACATGCTTTACATTCGGCAAAGTAAATTTCACACATTTAGTTTTGCTCGCATTCAGTTTAAGATTATTAGAAGAGAACCAGTGAAGTACCTTGGAAAGTGCATTGTTTACATCGTCATAATTTGTTTTACACCTGTCAACGTTAAAAATTAGCGAGGTGTCATCTGCAAACAAAACAATTTCACAAAAATTTTCTACAAAGAAAGGTAAATCATTAATGTAAATTAAAAAAAGAAATGGACCTAAAATTGAACCCTGAGGAACGCCTATTTTCACATGAGATCCGGCTGATTTTGTACCGTTAATATCAACTATTTGTGTCCTTTCTGTTAAATATGATTGCACTAATTTTTGTGCGGAATCTTTTATGCCGTAATGATTTAATTTCCGTAACAAAGTTTGATGATTAACGCAATCAAACGCTTTAGATAAATCGCAGAAAACCCCAAGAGCATTCTGCGACTTTTCCCAAGCATTAAATATATATTTTAGCATAGTGGCCCCAGCATCAGTCGTGGAACGGTTTTTAGTGAAACCGTACTGCGCTCTGTGTAAAAGTTTATTAATGTTAAAATGAGTCAACAATTGTTCTAACATTATTTTTTCAAAGATTTTACTCAATGCTGGTAATATAGATATTGGCCTATAGTTGCTAGGATCTTTACAATTTCCAGACTTAAATAAAGGTATGATTTTACTGAATTTCATAAGATCAGGGAATACTCCCTGATCTATACATGAATTAAAAATATCAGCTAGGTAAGGGGCTATAGAATGTATAATATTATTTATGACTTTGACAGATATACCCCATAAATCAGATGCATTTTTCATTTTTAATGAATGGAAAACTTTAATTATTTTAAAAGAACTAACGTGCTTGAAATTAAATAATAAACCACACGGAGGTACATATTTTTGTAACAGAGCTGTAGCAGTATCAGACGATGAGTCCAAGTTGGAAGTAGTTTCTAATGGAATATTCATAAAAAAATTATCGAAAATATCTGCGACTTCATGTTTCGATTTTACGAGATTATTATTGATTTTAAGAACCATGCTATTTTCACGAGGCTTACACTTGCCACTTTCGCGCTTAATGATATCCCAAGTGGTCTTTATTTTATTACTAGATTTTTTAATTTTATCCCTAATAAAATTGGACTTTGCAGTATTACATATGCTTTTAAACAATTTGGAATATTTTCTAACATAGTTAATAAACTCAGGATCCTGGTTATATTCTTTGATTCTATAAAGCTCATACAGCCTTGTTCTACTCTTATATATACCACTTGTCGCCCAGTCACAGAACTGCAACTTCTGTGTACATTTAATGGTTTTCATTCTGAACGTATTTTGAAATTCATTATTTATTAAATTAAAAAGATTTTTGTACAAAATATCCGGATCATCATGCGTCCAAGGCATTAAAGGAAGTTTATCGCTAATGTTATTTTTAAAATTATTAACGCGCTCATTTGTTATAGGTCTACACTCTATTATGTTCGGCTCAGTACTGACATTGAAACTATATGTTGTCTTTAAACCGAGATGATCGGAAGTAATATCACTAAAGACTGACCCCTCAATTGCATCCAATTCAGAAAAAAAGTTGTCTAAACAAGTGGCTGAGTGAGATGTTACTCTGGTTGGTTCAGTAAACTGGAAATTTAAATTAAAACATTTAAACAAAGTAATTAACCGAAGACTCAAAGAGCTATTTTCAAGTAGATTGACATTAAAATCACCACATACTATTACAGATTTATTTTTTAATTTATTGAGAGAGTCCTCCATGACTGATTCAAATGTATCAAAGTTTCCTGAGGGGGGCCGGTATACACATACTATATAAAAATTTACTAACTCTACACACGACAGCTCAACATGGCGTTCCACTGAAAGGCTTACAATGTCCTTTCTTTCCTTACATTTTACATGATGTTTTACAAAAATTAAAGACCCTCCATGAATAGCTGTCCTGCGTACAAATGCACTGGAGAGTTGAAAATTGTTTAAATAAAATGACATTTCATGTTGTTGCAGCCAGTGTTCAGTTATGCACATGATATGAGTTTCATGACTTTTAGCTAATAATTCTAATTCTAAGTCTTTGCCGGCCAAGCCCTGGATATTTTGGTGAATAATATTGACATAATGGGGCTTAGCTTTTGTCATACACTTCAGTTTAAATCTAACAATTTTCGAAAATATATTCAAATCTGATTATATGTACACAGTAAAAAACTGTTTAAGCATAAAATCTCCAAAGGTGATTGAACGAAATCCCAAAACTCTATTCCCCTCGGTCGAGCCATAACATGAAAATGACCATCGATTTCATGCATCTCATTTTTAGATTTTCTAGAAAACGTTGAAGATGGTTCATATAGTATACCGTAGTGCAGTAGTTGTAGACCTCCGTGGCCGAGTGTTTTGTATAGCCAGGTTTCCTGGTGTCGCCGACTCGAGAGGTCCCGGGTTAGAGTCCCGATGGGGATAAGATGTTTGTATGATTAATACGAGCATTAGTACTCCAGCCATGAATGTTTAATATGTATTTCTATATAAATATACTTTTAGTATATGTATTCTTTCCGTTACCCTGTGTCCCCATAACACAAGCCTTACAGTGCTTACTTTGGGGCTAGGCTAATTGGTTTTCAAAAAAAGTAACAAAAATTAGTATAGTTGTCTTAAAAAAAAAATAGTTTTTTATAAATTAAAATTTAAAAAGGTATGTCAACTCACGTAAGTCTGCATGTCGTCTAGCTTGATGACCTTCACAGTCTTGTCGACGAAATACAGTCTCCCATTGGGCTCGTCGAGCGCCAGCCCCGTGGCAAACCCCTGCAGGTTGTCTACCAGCGGGCTGGACCTCGAACCGTCCATATCCGCGCTCATCAGTAACGGTCGATAATGCCAGTCCGCCCACATCATCTTACTGCCGATGCAACAAAAAACGTCTTCACGTCTGGGCTTCACCGTCACTTAAAATCAGGTTGGATGGAATCATTTGTCGGATGTATGTATAAAAAAATACGTGTGGCACTCGGGGACTGCCGCGGTAAAGCTATTGTATAGCATTTTTTATCAACTTATACAATTATAATAGTTTATTTATGCTGTTTTTTTTTCTTTGATATTATTTCAAGTTACACTTTTTGAGCATGGTGACCGATAAGAAATCATTTTTTCTTTTCTTTTATTGAATAAATGAGAAGTTAATATTGTTTTAAATATTTTTATAATCTTACATGCGAGCTTCGTACAGTCGTACCATATACATGCATGTTAAGGTTCTACTAGTCGCGGGCTAACTAGCGGCCAAAAAGCACGCTGTCTTACCTAGCATTGTGTCTTTGTCAAGAGAAAGAATCAGTTATGAGCAGTTAGCAGCTAATCTACACGCATACGTCTACTCGTACGCATATAAACACCGTGCCGAAGTCTGCCAAACTGAAACGACGTAAGACGATGCACGGCTTTCAACGCCGCACCGCTGTGCCGGTCGGAATGGGGGGTATTAAAAGAAAGAAAGAAAAAAAAAGAAAATAACTTTTATAAACCCTTAGAAAATACAACATGTTAAAAGGAACTTATACAGGAAGGGCTAACCAGGATCCTGCCTCAGCGTTAGCTGATACGACATTGTGTCGCGACAGCGCTGATATATTCTGACAGGTCTTGCTTGGAGCTATATAAGCTGGTCGTTGGCGCGCGTGAGGCGCTCGTTGATGTAGACCCGAGCGGCGGTGGCCGGCGGGCCACCCTCATCAGCGGTGTCCGGGGCGCCATCCTCCGATTCCGTGACCCTCCGCAACAGTGACCCTGCGCCACACACCCCGCGAAACCTACGGCCCGCCTGTCGAGAGTCACTCCCAGCCACACGACCAGCATAGTGACGCTCTGCTCCACGCTGACGCCCCTCATTACGGACAACCCGCCGATCTCCAGGTCGGACGCCTTCTAATCGCGATCCGTAACCTCGGCGTGCAGCTCGGATATGGTGCGCTACCAAGTCCATCCTACCAGTTGCATCAGGATCCACTTGACGCTGCTCCAACACCGCAATTCTCTGCTCGAAGGAGTCAAGTCGAGCGGTAAAAGAACTGCGGAAGGCCGCCATCTCCGAGTGGAATTCCCTCTTCTTCTTCATGCAGTCGGCCAGCATACTTTTTATATCACTGATGTGATTATTTCCTTAATTGACCTTATCCTGGACCTCATCTTCCTTTGGAGAGCTACAGGCCAGGTCGACAGGTTCCCGTGCTCCAACCGGTTTTTCGGGCTCGGAAGATTCGCTGATACTCTTAACAGGCGTATGCGTGTTGTCACCCCTGCGTGTGCTCTTCTTGCAGTTCGGGCAAATCCAGTCCTTGCTGACTCGCGACTTTTACGGGATGGCGAGGCAGGCCTTATGATATTTAATTGGGCAAGCACAGCACGTCAGTTGTGCCAACGATTTATTCATATTTAAGTAAATAGTGAGTAAAATGGAATCTGCAAAACGTTGTTTGTGTGATTTGCAAACAAGATATTGATGACAAAACTGTAAAATTTACACAACAAGTACTTTAGACAAAAGCAAATCAATATTAAAAATTAGAAAACAACATAATTTAAAATTTTATCACATTTCTATGCCAGAGGAAGTTCATGATAATACAGGTTATCATGTTAAGTGTTACAAAAAGTTTCTCACTGTAATGAAAAAATATTGCCAGAACAAAATCATTAAATGTACCAGTATCATCGGCAAGTATTCTTTTATGAACTTACATATTCTTTATTGTGTTTCATCTAAGTATCACACTGCACACTACTAAATATATATTAATTAACGGAAATAAATTTCAAATTATGAGCAGTTTTAAGTTATGTAAGTTTTCATACTACGACTCTTACTCGCACTGCCGCAGCATCCCCTCGCCTGGCAAGGACTTGTGCTAGCCAGAACTACCTGGCATTCTACCTACTTATTTTAAATCGCTTAAAAAAACAGGCATATAAATTTCAACTTGACAGAATAAAGTTTATTTTTATGTGTATATTACACACCTTCCGGTTCGCCTGGCAGGTACTTGTGCTCATCGTAAACGCCTGGTATTTTTTTAACTATAAATGAATAAACTAAATTGTATAAAAATTTCAAGCTTTTAATATTTTTTTGACACTCAAAATTATTGGGCTTGATGGCGTGCAGGGCTGAGGAATGCCAGGCGATGCTTACCGTACTAAGAATGCTATGACTCATCACCATGAGAATTTCTAGCCTTACAGACAGGCCGTTACTCGGAGGGTTCAGTTGCTCTTGGTCTATTAAAGTGGTGCACACTGAACCGTCAGCCTTTCACACGGATATTATTCCGCCCTGAACATCATTGAAGTAGATGTGGCCGTTAACATTTTAAATTTACCCATCTTAAGGTTTTATATGTTATTTTATAACTTTTGACAATTAGTGTCAGTTTTGACCTTTTAATAATAAACAGAGCCCATCGGCATGACATAGCTTTTAAAATAGGTGGTAAAATAAGCTTAATTTTTAATTTTAATGCAAATCGATGCAGGACGAGAAAATTGCGACGTCTAGCCATTTTTGAGCTTCATTTCCTGAACAACCGTTCTTTCTTAAAGTCCGAACCGAAGTCTACCCACTTTAATTTTTCCTACGATGTAGGGCACTAGTTTTACCTGCATCACTTACCCGTGTTTATTGGCCAGCGTGACATATCTAGGCCGCTTGGAATTCGTCTTTAGAGTGGTGCACACTGAACCATCAGCCTTGCACGCGGATATTGTTCCGCGCTGAACATCGCTGAAGTAGATGTGGCCGTTCACCCAGTCTACGGCCACGTCGCCGGGGTCTTCGAGACCTAGGCTAACTATTACCTGAGTAAAATTATCAGGAATTTAGTCAAGAATTTATTGCACTAATCGGGATGAAAATAACAGTACAAAATTGAAGCGCTCGATGGCGCAAGTGGTTATTGCGTGCAGCTACTATCGTTAAAGTTAAGCAACTTTCTCAGTCGATCGGTCATTAGATGGGTGACCAAAAATTAACTATCTCGAGACCCTCCGTGATTCGGAAGGCATGTTAAGTCGTCGGTCCCGGCTGCATCTGCAGTCGTAAGCACCCACCAATCCGCAGTGAGCCCGAGTGGTGGGTCATGGCCCAATCTGCCTATTTCATCCATAGGGAAGGCCTGTGCCTCAGCAGTGGGGAGATGAATAGGCTGATGATGAAGCAGCAATGCAGATATGGTTAGGTAGTAGATGAAATATAGGTAAACGTCGAGTCTTAGTTCAATTCAAACACGTCACTTTGAATATTCACTTTATATATGATATGTATGTTATTTATAATTATGTATATTATGTTTATTTATTAGTATATGTGGAAAATAATATAATGTTGCCACACAGACAAACCACGCGTGGACGTGAGAAATAAAGTAATACGAGTAAATAATGATATTACCTGTTTAGTTCCTTCTATATTTGTGAGTTCAGTTCTCATGATGGCCTGATGACCTTGCTCTGTCTCCACCCAGTATAGATGTTTACCATCGTATGACACTCCATGTACCTGGCATAAAGAACATAACATCAGAAAAGTAAATAATAGAAGCAAAGTATATTGATGAATGGCCGAATAAAGCTTTGTCAAGCCAAAAATTTCCTAAAGTCTTGTTTTGTAAGTAAATGAGATTCTGACGTGAATTCCCAGGAGGTGCTGGTTCGAGTCCCAACTGCTGCCTGGTCAGCGTGGATTTATTTATTTTTGGTAAAATTTTCTTTAGATTTAAATATCTAGCAGTTAAATGCTTAAAAATAAAAAATTGAATCCTACCTGTTTCATGTCACTCATTACGACGACATCCTGCTTGCTCTTTACCTTCACGTATCTGATCTCTGTGCTCGTGGTATAGAACAATAAAGCTTCGGGACCTAGTAGAACGTAATTAATATTGCTTAGTTTTTTCTAAAGTATTTTGGTGAAACAACTTAGAAAATATCATGACCTCATAAAAATTACTCTAAAAATCCAACGATATTAAATACCCTAGATACACCAACACGAACAAAATCGTGCCCGAAACCTGTCCAAAAGGTACATGAACTATCCACGGACCTCCTGTAAGATGATCGTTTAGTCAAAATCAATATAAAGCATTATTTAAATATTGAAAGTAAACTTTAATACATACTGTATAAGGTCTTAAATAAAACGCATGCGTCAAGGACTTCTAACAGTTCGAAATGCAAGCTCGTAAAATTTTACGGCTTATTGCTATATGCGGAAGAATTAAGACCTTAGTTCTTTGACTCTGCGCGCAATTCCGAACGCGCTGTTAGCAATATAGCAGACACAGCCGTGAGGAAAAGAGACGGCTATATGGCGACGTATAACCGACCATGCATTTTAATATCACAAATATTTTATATTAAATCAGTTTATAGTAAGTATATTACATCAAAATTTACTTCAAATGCGTTAAATTAACAAACATTGACTAGATACTTGTCGAAAAAACGACACTTTTCGTAGGTACTCTGAGTATTATTTTCGGATTTTTTCGCGGAACTCTGTGGCATCTTGACTTTGTAACGGTCCGCGAGTGACTGTGAACCAAGAAGTGCTTGAATGGAGTTCAAGCACTTCTTCATTGAGACACATTTTGAGCGCTTTAATCTAGGGTATTTAATATCGTTGTAAAAATCCGATACTATTCACGCTAATACAGTTCGGCTATTAAAGGACCAAGGAATCTGCAATCAGACTTAAAAAAAAGAGAAGAAGCAATCATCTCATGCATAGTACATACATTCGCGTTCTGGTCGTAGCGTAATTTAGTAAAGCTAAATAAAACCTTGCTGGACAAGTGTTAAACCCATAAACAAATTGGCTATCTCTTGCAGATCACAAGTTCTGTACACAGTTCTGGTCGTTCCGTTGTCGTAGAAGCATCTTAATTATCTGAAGACATACTCATTTAGCTCTTATTAACAGCCAATTTTACGAACTGTCTACTCGCATGTTGTAGTTTTAGGTGCGCAGCGCAATGCCGATTGCTACATCTGGTGACATAATCTACATATATATATAAAACTGAAAGGTGACTGACTGACATAGTGATCTAACAAAGCACAGCCCAAACCACTGGACGGATCGGGCTGAAATTTGGTATGCAGGTGGATGTTATGACGTAGGCATCCGCTAAGAAAGGATTTTGATCAATTCTATTCCCAAGGGGATAAAATAGGGAATGAAAGTTTGTATGAAACTTTGTCAATTTTAAACCGATCGGGCTGAGACTTTGCATGCATAAGAAGAATCATAGATGAATGTCATTGTGTATAATACAAGCCTGAGAACAAAAACTGTAGTCTACACTTCAGCTCTACACCGAAGCGAAGCGAGGGCGGGCCGCTAGTTACGTTATAAATGTCCTCAAATGTGAAAAAGAAGTAAACACTTGCATAGCAGCATCAGCGTTTTAGATACATTCACATCAAGTTGAGTTCTGATTTAAAAGGCCCAAGCCATTGTTATTTTACAAAATAAGGAATAGAACAGTCACCTTTTGCATAGCACAAGTATCTAAACAGCTCCTGGTCTTACCTGCTGCACCGTTGCGTACTGAAGGTTAAGTGTTAAAATAGGCTTAACTGGAGACTACATCTAGTGAAATGAACACTAAAAATGACCTAGTCAATAACATTCGTTCACCTTTCGCATAGCAGAAGTATACGTACGCGTTCTAGTCGTATCGTTGTACAGCTGGAGACTTAATCTGGTTGAGCGAGGACTAAAGAAGACCTAGAGAATGTCATTCATTCACCATTCGCATCGCACTAATATTGATGTGCGTTCTAGTCGTATCGCCGTATAGCTGGAGTATATATCTGGTAGAATAAAGCTTAAGAAAACCTAGAAAATGTGATTTATTCACCTTTCGCATAGCACAAGTATCGATATGGTGGTGTATCCCTCGTCGCAGAAGCACGGGAAACGACCGTCTTCATTAAAGCAAGAGTGCGAGCACTGTGGCCTGAGCACATTCGTCTATGACTTCGCTATATGTGAATAGCTGGAGATTGCATCTGGTAAAACGATGACTTTAGGAGACCTAGTGTATGTGAATATAGTCACCTCAAGTATAGCACAAGTATCAACATTTTTTTTTTTTTTTTATAGTTAGGTCCGACAAATGACTCCACCCCACCTGATGTTAAGCGAAGGTGAAGTCCAGACGCGAAGATAGCTGATACAGCAGTTCTACCTGCCACACCAGCCATCCTCACCCTGCCGGCCTGCATGTTGCTTCTTCACGTAGCTGGAGTGTGCATTTGGTGGAATGAAGACTAGGAGACTATATCTGGAGGACTGTAGAGATCTAGAGAATCAGATTTATTCACCTTTCGCATAGCACAAGTATCCGTACGTGTCCTGCTCGTATCCCTCGTCGCAGAAGCACCGGAAATGACCGTCCTCGTTTTTGCAAGAGTGCGAGCACTGTGGCAAAGCCAGAGCACATTCGTTTATGTCTTCGCACCGCTGCGTGCTGTAGTTGTATTCTCTCGTCAATGGAGATACTTCGCAAACGCAGCTCGCACCGTATCGCTCTGGCATGCATATGGTTTCGTTGTCTTTGCATGGATTGTTCACTTCGGAGCACATAGTGTGCCCTGCAAAATTAATAAAAGCTTATGCTAAGGCTATATTTTAGATTAGAACAAATAGTAAGAAGTGCAAATGCAAGTGATGGCCAAATTTTCTTTTTAGATGCGCTAGGAGGAACCTGCCAAACCTACCTATTAAATTAAAAAAAAGGGTCACACGTGACATTACACTAGCTGTGGCTTCTTCGGGAATTGACGCAACAACGCGAGGCAGTCGAACCACTCACTCTGTCTTAAAGTTGCCACTGAACCTAACAAATGTGGAAACTCCATTATTGTATATTTCAAACAGAGCAAATTTGCAGAAGTATTGTGGCAAACTAAAATTATTGCCTGGGATGAAAGTACTATGGGCCATAAAAAGGTATAGAAGCTTTGATTAGGATAAATCTCTGCAAGACATACGCAGCAACAAAAGTTTGATGGGTGGTTTGACTGTATTGCTGACAGAAGACTTTTGTCAAACTCTACCAGTAGTTTCAAGGGAAACGCGTGCCCGTGCACGTGAAATCTATCACATCATTAAGTAATCTTTTCCATCCTAGACAATCATTTAGGTTTTTCAAAATACTTTTGTAAGTTTCCTGTTCTGCTCTGAAACCGATCTCAGCCACGTCAGGATTTATGTACATTTTTACAATATAACTGGTATTGCACTAATTGTATTGCTCAGGGAATGCCCGTTTTTTAAATTTAAAATTACCCTAATTTGACCCGTTATTAATATTTTCAAATTTAAAACCACTACCTTTATATTTTTTGAATTAGTAAACAAATTGATTGAAAATGTCGATTTGGTAAAAAATTGCCACCTTAATCACTAAGTCCACGCGGACGAAGTCGCAGGCAAAAGCTACTTAAGCATAAACATTGAGCTTTTTGGATTGGATTGGCTCCCCGTCTGTTAATAGGCTGATGCCGATCTTAACAAGCAAGGGCGGATCCAACTTTGGCGCCAGGGGGGGGGTCATATAGCCAGCTTTGGCGCCAGGGGTGGGTCATATAGTCGTAGTATATTAAATATTGAAAGTACTTAAATAAAATCCCCCTGGTTTTGGTCCATCTGTACCCAGCCCAACGGGGGGGTCATGACCCCCATGACCCCCCCCCCCCCTGGATCCGCCCTTGTTAACAAGTTACTTACAATTCTCACAGAACCGCCCTTCATCGCTGCCGTCGCGGCAGTCGATTATGCCGTTGCACATCAAGTCTTCAGACAAGCAGAAGGAGGAGTCGATGCAGCGGTAGTAGCGTCGTATCGGAATGTCAAGGCACATTGCCACGTCCTGTATCGGCTGGTTGTACCTGGTCTTACCTGTTGAATTTATTTATTTAGTAATTTAGTACACACACAATAAAACAGATATTGGTGTCGATTCTGGCATGATTCTCTAAACTTAAAACTAAATTTAACATCAGTCTCTCCTTTTCATTCTGTATCGAGAATGACAAGGATATACTGCTGTCAAATTTAAGTTTAGGTTTAGAGAATCATGCTAGAATCGACACCATTGACAAGTTTTAGAAAACGATCTCACGTTATTGACTAATGTATATGGAGTCCGTAAAAAGTGGATATTCATCATTATGTTGTGTATTTCAGTAAAAATAACCATGTCAGAAACTCCATTTTCAAGTTGCCGCGAAAACGTTTCTCTGGACAATATGGCGTCTTACTAGTGTGTGACGTCACACTACTGTTATTAAAACGTCAAACGATACAATGTAATGTCACTTTAACCGGAAGTTTACTTGCGTGTGACGTCATTTTAGGCTCCGCCAATCCCAAGCGTTTTGGGTCACGTGACAATAGATAAGAAAACTATTATCTTTTTCGTGGATTTTTAGTAAAATTATGAATATTTTTTTTGTAAAAATAGCAAAAACCGCTGCTAATATTCATTCTAAACACAGATGCTAACAACTGGCACTTTATTTTTAATACTGTCAAATACCCTATTGGAGCGCTCGTCTGGGGTAATAACCTCCATCTTACAGAAGACTACAGTAAACTACAACTACCATTCGGTGGTGTTGGTGTTTCTGATTTCTGTTGGTAAAGCGAAGCGGAAGGAGCCCACACACAGATACCTTCTTTTTGCTCCCCCGATGGCTAAAGATGGCATGAGAACATTTCCCATAGAAAGACATGGCTCTCAGGGTTTGAAGTCATCTGTGGCTTCATGGTGTCGCCGACTCGAGAGGCATTTGTACTCCAGTCATGGATGTTTAATATGTATTTCTATATAAATTGCTTATATATGTACAGTATATGTATTCTATCCATTACCCTAGTATCCCATAAACAGAAGCCTTACAGTACTTACTTTGGGGCTAGGCGAATTGGTGTGTGTTAAAAAAAAAAGAAAACAAAAGTTAGGGGATTATTTCAGTGTAAAAAACGGTGCGTGTGATATTTTGGTATCGCAATCGTCTCTAAGCTATGGTGGTCGCTTACCATGAGGCTGGCCATACGCTTTGCCACCCATTTAATATAAAAAAATAGAAAATATCGAGTAACGACTTATATAAATACTGACGGCACAATTCCTTTGAGCTCTCGTCGGTCTTGTCGTCGCAATCATAGTAGCCATCGCACACCCACAGGTTCGAAATGCACTTGCTGCCGTCGCACTTGAAACCCTTGCACGTCGCCTGTGAAATGTCACCTTTTATTAGTACAAGCTTTTAAGCTTTTTTATTTAGCTGTTTGTTCTGCCTGTCCCGTGTCCTGTCTTTATGTACGCTTGATTTTTGTATGTCAAAGAAAATGTAACATAACGATTTCGTTGGATTTTTGAAGTGAAACTTCTTTACGCACGCTTAACTTGGGGGGTAAGCTGGCGAATGCGTTACGCGTTACGAAAAGTGTGTTCGGGCAAGGCGAATGGGAGTCGTGGAATACATTTTCGCCAGCAGTGTTTTCGGACCAATACAACCTTAAAGGTGCGAATGACTGCTGATAGCCTGAGCTACTTATTTTTTTCCAGTCAAATGTTCTGTTAAAAACAGAAAAGTCGTTGAACGCAAATTTCTACAGACAGACAGCGGAGTCTTAGTAATAGGGTCCCGTTCTTACCTTTTGGGTACGGAACCCTAAAAAAAGACATTATGCTGTCGTGGACTTTTTTAAACTTTTCAAGGCAAACTATTCCGTCGTATATGATTTATGCGTAACTTAACCTTTTACGCCGCGCACTCAAAGTAAGTTCACAAAAGGGATATTTTCCAGTTTTGGCAACATTTTTCATTGACGCTCCGCTCCTAGGCTGTAGCATCATGTTATATAGCCTTAAGTCTTCCTAGATAAATGGACAAATGAATAGAAAAATAATTTTGCAAATCGGACCAGTATTTTCTGAGATAAGCGCGTTCAACCAAACCTACACACACAAAAAACCTAGCGCTAGAGCTCTGTGACGTTACAGCCACAGCGCTGGCCTTGGTTATAATTTCGCCAATATTTGTCGTAGAACAAAAATTCAAACACTATATTTAATGGAATCCTTAGCTCTATAAATCTGCATTATCAGCTAAAATCGTTACGGATACTCATTCTGAAGTTGTTTAGATGATTTTTATTTTGTTTGACAAGTCATGCACCACACGTGCCATATTATTTTTATTTACGTATGTTGGCGGCCGATGCGGGCATCGAAAAAGATAAAACAGCCAATACATAGACGAACATTTTTTTTTTTCAAATTGTGACTCATTTATTTATTTATTTATTCAGTTTAACATGCTGGTTTACAGAGCTAGTCCAACACACCAATAAGTCAATGCAATGCAAAACAAAAACATTCATTATATAGAAATAGTCATGAGTGGAATCACAATTAAAAAGTCAAAATTAAAAATAAACATACATCAAAGTCAACGAAGTTACAGAATCACTCTTTCATTCTCAAATTATAATTTCAATTTAGATTAATATGAGTACTTAATTGACATTGTTAGAATAATGTTGTTGTTGTTTAATATTCATTTATTTATTTATTTAATGTAATTAATAGTGAACTAAATGAAATAACATTGCATGTCAAACAGACAGAATATGGCTGAACATAATATAATTTGTATACTTGAACACAACACAATAACCTGTATTCGCAATAAAAAATATTTGAATTTGAAAATTTTAATTTGAATTTGAACAAATAGGCCGCTTGATCGCCTGGCCTCTCTCAAACGTTATTTTACTTTAAAGTTAGTTAACGCACAGTCCATCCTATACGTCTACGGGTCTAACCACTCCCAAGGGAGCGCTTAAACGCATACTTTGAGAAAGCTTGTCTTTACTTGCGTTAGTAGTCACAAATGAGAATGACTTGTTGTCTGTACGTACGTTGGTGGCTAGAAATAAGAAAGACTATGTCTTGTCTCTACTTACGTTGGCGGCCGGCACGGGCATCGAACTGCATCCCTCCTCGTCGCCGTCGTCGCAGTCCGTCACATTGTTGCACAGCCTCGCGTTGGTCACGCACTTGTTACCGCCTAATCTGCCTATAGTCTCCCTAAGCTACCTAATTTAATATGACCTATATGTTCTATGTATAATGTTCTCTGTCCCCAAGGAGGCGCTACCGCACACTTTTAAAAGACTGCTCGACGCCGTAAGACGGGATCTCATTAGCGAGCTGTAACCGTAACATGCGTGATACAGTACGCGGCTGTACGCGGTTCTAGTGTGTACGCTTGTAGCTCAGTTGTAAGCGACCGTCGGCTCGCTGCAAACCGCACGCATACCGCTCGTAGCAGGTTAGCGAACCACGCAAGGGCGGATCCAGGGGGGGGGTCATGGGGGTCATGACCCCCCCCTGGGCTGGGTACAGATGGACCAAACCCAGGGGGGTTTTATTTAAGTACTTTCAATATTTAATATACCACGACTATATGACTCTCCCCTGGCGCCAAAGCTGGCTATATGACCCCCCCCTGGCACCAAAGCTGGATCCGCCCTTGGAACCACGTACATGCTATGCTTATTTGTTACAGTGCATGCAACGGTTACAGTTACCGCTCGCTAATGAGTACCCAGCTTTACGCTTTAAGAAATGAGAATGACTAACCTAGGCTCTAAATAAGTAAGTGGTAAGAAAAACAACATTCTCCAGACTCTACGTACGTTGGCGGCTGGCGCGGGCATCGAACTGCATCCCTCCTCGTCGCTGCCGTCGTTGCAGTCCGTCACATTGTTGCACAGCCACGAGTTGGGCACGCACTTGTCGCCGTCCTTACACAGGAAGTGGAATTGCTCGCCGCAGATCTTCGTGGCAGACTTGTGGTTTGCTACAAAATTAAGATACTTTTATTAAAAGAAATAAAAAACAAAATTCATCTGCTTCGAACAACAATATACCTAACTCATGCCTGTATTTAACTTATAAATCATTCAACATAAACAATCAAATTAAAACTAAGGCCGGCTCCACAAGTTGGGCCCAGCATTCGCCCCAACGCCACGCATCCAACGTGTGGATCTACAAAATGGCATTGACCAACGTCGGGGCGGGCGTCGGTAGTTGGCCGGCTCGTGTCGGTTTCATCAAAGGAATCTGCGACAACGCTCGCGATCCTTCCACACGTTGGCGATTTGCTCAGTCCTGTTGCAACACACATCGAGTGCGTGCGTCGAGCAAGAATGATTTCCTCATCCAAAAAATCACCACCGCAGCATTGGCAAATGAAAAAGTTCTATAATAGGTATATAAAACTTACCATGCACCTTCAATAATATGGGACATAATCCGAAATGATCATAAAAATAAAAATTTATTAGCTGATGCTTGGCGCATCATTCAACAGGATGTAATATAATATCCATCATTTTCTTTGACGTAGCTTTTTCTTTCTTCTCAGAAACAAATATAAATGTGCACTTGGTACTGTTAAACCGCATAGAGCAATTACGATTTCGTACGTATCGTACATCTCCACATTGGCCCCGATGGGACAGAACTAGTCTAGTATAATAGCCAACGTGTGTACGCCTCACTAAATTTACATTCCAACGTTGGTACTAGCGTTGGACCCAACGTGTGGAGCCGGCGTAATGATGAGCTGTATGTATTACTAGATACTGTACTTGTTGGACAAAATAAATTTTGTCGCCATTCGAGCCATGCCTTTTTTATAAATTAAAAAATAGGCGGATTAAAGAATCGCACTTACAAAAAGAGGAGCTCGATGGCGCAGGTGGTTAGCGCGTTCGACTGCGATCGTTGAACTTAAGCAACTTTCGCAGTGGTCGGTCATTGGATGGGTGACCAATAATCTTTTATCTCGAATTCCTCCGTGCTTCGTAAGGCACGTTAAGCCTTTGGTCCCGGCTGCATCTGCAGTCGTTAGAACCCACCAATCCGTACTGGGCCCGTGTGGTGGGTCATGGCCTTATCTCCCTATTCCATCCATAGGGAAGGCCTGTGCTCCAGCAGTGGGGACATTAACAGGTTGATGACGATAACTTACAAAAATACTAACTGACAACAATCAACTCCCCTCTTGACAACCGTGTAATCTAAAACATATACTAAAGGTACAATTCCGCAATGGGCTGCAGGCGACAACCGCAGGGGACACTGCGGCTGACCGTGCATTATATGCATTCTCATGTCGCCGCGCTCGGAATCAATTTCACAGAGATTCATAGAAACTAGTAGTGTCGCCTGTAGTCTGCAGCTGCGGCCTGTCGTCTGCGGTTCAGTTCGAACTTGTACCTAGTGTTGAGTAGGACTTACAAGAGGCGGTACATTTGTCCCGGACATGACGCCAAATTGTAAGAGCGGCTCTAAATTTTAAAATGTACTACTTCACATTAAATGTCGCGATAGTCGCGTCTCGTTACTCACTCACTCTTCGTAAGTCTAAGAGAGAGAGCGAGGCATGACATTTCATTTAAGTCCTCTACGCACTATCGATCTGTATCTCTATCTGTTTTACGTGTATAGCGCTGTCCTGCATGCTGGATCCAGCAATATTGATAGTGCGTAGAGGAGGTGCTACTCGTGCACACAAACGTAATGTCGAGCTTCTGTACGCCTCCATGTCATATTTGTACTCGTCACTTCAAATGTATTGCCGAGCTTCAGTACGCCTCGCCTCATTTGAAGTGGGACATTGTACTGGTTCAGTACAAAAAAGAGGCTACTCTTACAAACTCTTTTTCAAGTCGTGTCCTACCCAACACTACTTGTACCTTTATAAACACGAATAATGTAGGTACTACAATAGAAGTTCTTTATCCTTTCTCGTTAGAAGTCGATTAAAGATAGAACTCACTATCACTGCAGAAATTCTCATCGGTTCCGTCGGGACAGTTTATCACCCCGTCGCAGTATTGCGAAATGGGAATGCATCCCCCCTCCATGCAGGGGTAGGCGTCCTCGTTTAAACACTCCCGCTCATACTCGATCATGTCGTCTGTCAGCTCTGCAGAGCATGACAGGATAGCTGACACCACTAGCACCAGTGTAAGCGCCATTCTGAGGACAAATAAAAAAACGAGTGAGCTTATGATATGACCACACGACTGAAGTGAAACTTCTTTAGCTCCATCTGTATATATAGATATATATAATCATAATCAATCATAATCATAATCATTTATTCAGTTTAGGCTGTTACAAGCACTCATGAATGTCTAGAAGCTACGCCATCGGTTCATAAATCTACGACGGGAGACCTTGTACTGAGAAGAACCGGCAAGAAACTCAGCAAGGGCTGTTTTTTCTCCCTGTTTTATTATTTACAGAGTCGTCAAATTGAAAAATGACTTGTTTACCTGCATTTTGATTGCTGTGTCATATATATATATATGTGTGTGTGTGTGTGTGTGTGGCTGTGTGTATGTGTGTGTACAATATATAATACATATTTCATTTACTAGTTATAAGAGAAAGAGAGAAAGAAAATGTGCGAGCGCACTGCTTTCTCTTGCTTATATCCCCCACTCAACTCCCGTTCCCCTCGCCCGAACACACTTTTCGTAATGCGTAACGCATTTGCCAGCTTACCCCCCAAGTCAAGCGTCCGTAAAGAAGTTTCACTTCAAAAATATACAAATCAACTTGTGTATTTTATAAACGAATTATTCATAGATTAACAGCGGCGCCCGCGATTTCGTCCGCGTTAACGTTTTTTTTTTCTTGAAAATTCAATAGGAACCTAAAATTTTTACGTTAGGAAAAGTATCCTGTGTCTCAATCCAGGTCATAAACTATATGCGTACCAAATTTCATCAAAATCCGTTCAGTAGTTATTGCGTGATTTTGTAACAAACATACAAACTTTCATATTTATAACAATAGCATATTTTTTTTAGGGTTCCGTAGCCAAATGGCAAAAGCCCTTATAAATTCGTCATGTCCGTCCATCTGTCCATCCGTATGTCACATCACTTTTTTCCGAAACTATAAGAACTACACTGTTTAAACTTGGTAATAGATGTATTCTGTACACCGCATTAAGATTTCACACATATACATAAAAAAAACAAGAAATTTTGGGGTTCCCCATACTTAGAACAAAAATCATCAAACCCATACGTGTGGGGTATCTATGGATAGGTCTTCAAAAATTATATTGAGGTTGCTAATATCATTTTTTTCTAAACTGAAGTTTGCGCTAGAGACACTTCCAAAGTGGTAAATGTGACCCCTCCCCCTCTGTAACTTCTAAAATAAGAGACTAATAAAACTCAAAAAAATATATGTTGTACATTACTATGCAAACTTCCACCGAAATCGGTTTGAACGAGATCTAGTGCTTCAACACAAATCAATTAAAAAATAAACTATGTATTATTAAAACATCAATCAAAGTTACATGGAACTACAAAAACTTTTATATTATGGTACTTGCTGCTACGGAACCCTTCATTTTTCATATAAATTTCTCCCATGCTAGACATTTACTTTTGCCTTATGCTCAGAGGCGGCGTAACCTATGGTCACGGTAATATTATATATTACCGTGCTATGGTGCAGGTGGATAGTGTCTGTCGTACACGGGCGCAGCGGTCTTAGGGCGCCCGAGCGCAGTGTTGCCAACTCGGATTTTGAAAAAGGCGTAGGCCCGATGAGAAAATTACGTAGAATTGGTAAGTTTTGCATATGAAAAGTACGTAGATCTACGTACTTTTTTCTGAGTGAAATGAAGAAGTTGGGTGAAACCGAATTAAACGAGTAGTTTGTTATACAATTTGTTTAAGAACGGGAGATAGAATAAAGAGTTCTTGGAGAAGTCGCTGCATTGGAAGCATTTACCATGCTGTGGTAGACATTAACCATCAGACACAGACACTGGTAGGTGTCGATGCTAGATGGTTCTCTAAATTTAAAACTAAATTTAACATCAATCTCTCCTTTTCATTCTGTGAAGAGAATGACAAGGATAAACTGTTGTTAAATGGGCTAGTTGACACTTTTTTGAATTATGTTTTAAATTGTTAATAATTGTTCTATCAGACCGAAAAAAAATGTATTTTTTTTACCTAGAAGACATACAAAAACGCTATTTAGTCTATAGACCTATCCATCCTATGACGTCTAAACATTTGTAAACAAACACTCGCAAGCACGTAGGAAATAAACTGTCTAAGTTTATATTATATAACCATGATTTCGAATAGATCACATGAAAAATATAGTAGTTATCATGATACACTTGGTAAAAGACTAGAAAAGTTGTGGTTTAAATTGCCAAGAGAAATAAACATACTTACACATGATCATATGTTTAAAACTTGCTAAATCCTGTAACTTTATCGACTGAAAGTCATTTCTTTTTGCAAAGATCAATTCGATGTGAATAGGTACTCATTGATAATATTTAAAGTTTAAAAATACAATTTTTTAAGGTTATGAATGTACCTACTAAGTCAAAGATTTTTGTCGTTTCTGCTTTCACAAATCCTGTATCCAGCATTAATTTAGTCAACAAAACCAATAACGGGAACCTTTTCTACAAGACTAGATACAAGAGTGTTTAGATACATCTTTATAAGAAATAAACATTGGTATAGTTTTTAAGTAAAGTAACGGAAAATATTCTTCTTTATTCTAGTGAATTAAGTTATTTTACAAATTTGAAAAAAATAAGAAAATACGTAGATTTTGGGACTTAAGTTAGTAGGTTTCCAGAAAAGGCCTAAAATACGTAGATCTACGTAAAAAGACGTAGAGTTGGCAACACTGCCCGAGCGTCCCTCGCCCGTCCATCACCATTACATTTTAACCACCATCTTTAAATTTATTTATACCCGTTTGTGTAATTGGTTTATAAGTTAGGTCATGTTTGAGTGACTACTTTATATTTTTAAATTCTACTTTAATATTTTAGTTTAAACTTAATATTATTTGAAATAAAACTACAGCTTGTTCTTGATGTGTAACATCTTTCCTCTCGTTTTCCTGCAATTTGTGGGAGTGATTTCGTGAAATGGGACGGAAAAGCGTAACAAGAAGTCGCGAAAGCGCGCGTTATTTGATTTGATTTTAGAACATAATGTTCAAATGGCTTATTCCTTTTGTAGTAGGTTTTATTTCTTTTTTTAGTAAGGCTCGCTCGTTTTTTATTAAAGGTAATTTGTTATCAATCTTATGTACGTACCTATTTTTCGAATGATCATTCAGTCAGTTAAATCTGACGGATGGAAACTTGAAATCATGTACTTATGTAATTAATTTATTAGTATGTAATACTAATATGAGATTGTCATTGGTAAAATCAATTGACAAAGCACTTTTTTAACTCTTCCTTATACAATTCTTCCCAATTAATAAATCTACAGTAAAATATAAAACCATTTAATGAAATAAATTAATAATTATTACCAGCTTAAATAAATAAATAAATTAACAAATGAAATAGAAATCCATTTCGAATACGAATATAATATAGTAGAACAAATCGTTATAGGGACCACGTGCTAGGTATTTCATTAAAAGTTAAATATAATAATATATTTTAGCAAAAGGAAAAGAAAAAGATTTTCTGTGACATAAGATGAATTAATACTTACTGAAATAAAATCACTTTTTACTTCATTATTAGGTTAACAAGTTTAGAAAATTATACCACTCTCAGTGACGTCTTCCAGTAAAAAGGTCAAAAAATACCAGAAATTCAAAAAAATATATTAATTCGTATTCTACCCTCCGTTTTCAAACATGTACAAAAACACTGATTTTGGTAACGAAACGCAATCACCGTTATGAGAAGCATTGGTATCGATTCTGGCATGATTCTCTAAACTTTAAAATGAATTTTACATCAGTCTGTGCTTTTCATTCTGTATATAAAATGAGGATTAAACACTGTTGTTAAATTTAACCTTAGGTTTAGAAAATAATGTCAAATTCAACACCATTGATGTACTTTGTAAAGTATGGTCCATGGTGAGAAGCTGTAATATTATTATCGATTCCGTCATCATTGTTTAAACTTAAAAGTTGTATTATTAGGCTCTCCTTTTAATTCTGTATAAAGAATAAATATTTCCAAATAATAAATAAATATTTCCAAAACCGACACTAATTAGACTAGCCCCAAAGTAAGCACTGTAACGCTTGTGCTATGGGATACTAGGGTAACGGGTAGAACACATAAATTGTACATAATATATATAAGTAGCTGTCCCAGCGAACTTCATACCGCCATAAAAAAATAGGGGTTGGTGGTAGAAGGGTGAAATTTTAGGGTTGCATGTATTTTTGTATGATGGTATCATAAAAAAATAAAAACAAAAAAAAATGTCCAATCACAAATAGGTATTTAAGGGTGGACCCACCCTTAACATTTAGGGGGATGAAAAATAATTGTTTTTCGATTCTCAGACCTACTGAATATGCATATAAAATTTCACGAAAATCGGTCTAGCCGTTTCGGAGTAGTTTAATTACGCACACCGTGACACGAGAATTTTATATATTAAATTTATATAGAAATGCAGATAAAACATCCATGACTGGGTTAGATTTAAATAGAAATACAGATTAAACATCCATGACTGGAGTACAAATGCTCGTAATCATCACACAAACATCTGCCCCCCCGGGATTCGAACCGTATAAACCACTCGACCACGGAGGTCGTCAACAGAATGACAATGATACACAGTTGTCGAATTTAAGTTTAGATTTAGAAAATCATACCAGAATCCTCGTCCGAACACACTGTTCGTAACTCGTAACGCATTCGCCAGCTTACCCCCCAAGTCAAGCGTGCCTAAAGGAGTTTCACTTCAAAAACGTCGTGTCGAGTTGCAGTACTATACGAAGCGTGTTCATTTAGGAACGCAGCTAGGCTAGGCCGCATTCGTGGTCGCAGATCTAAATCAATGCTTATAGCAAACTATACGTAAGTTGGCTACAAAGACCAGTCCTGCGTCGGCCCGGTATGCGGCCAGTTGGCCGTTGCGGCAAGTGCACAATGTTCATATAGTTTCTTTAGTTAATCTGCTCATTGTGGCCGCTGGTCGTGAATTTAACCGTCTAGTGCTTAAGATGCCTAAGATGTAAGGAATATTTAAATTGGTGCAATTAAACAATTTTGAAAGATCCTCACTCGTGAAAAGAACTGTGTAAGCACATCTAAAAAAAATTAAGCGACTGATTGATATCACTCGAAAGTTTCTTTAATTTATGTATTAACCTACCTAGGTATATAGGTTTATGTAAAATGGATCGGTTAACAAAATACATTTTTTTTTTAAATATATTTTAAAACGAGATTATTTTGTCCGTGAAAATTTTGAGGATGAAAAATACTCTGTGCAAATACTACGTTTTGTTATTCCTCAAAATATGATTGACTTATTTTTTTCTACAGGCAACTCTAATTAATAAAGTAGCTGTCAGATTAGGTCAGAGTCCAACTTTCGAAGAGTTTATTAGAAGTTTTAATATTATAATATTAGTATTTATTCTATTTAATTGATAGTGTTCGTTGTTACAGGCATCATCCATACAGTAATTAGTGATTGTAAATATATTAATTAAGCGACCATGGCATCTCATGTAGCAAAATCTTTAATAAAAGCTACCCATGTCGGATCGACTGCAAAATTCGGTAACTATACTTTTTAACCTAAAAGTTTTAATTAATTTATATTGTTATAAATGAATAAGTTTATATAATACCCGGAAGTCTATAGTGATAATATTTTTATTGTGATAAAAATAGTTTCATTGCCATATAAAGTATTTTCAGTTTGTTCACAAGTATGCTTGTAGGATAAACTTTGGACCTGTGTTGAGTTGGCATCAGTACAATATATTTCAAATTATTAAATTCACTGGATCCTCTCCAAAACTCTTCAATGCAATAGGAAATTATGTAAATTCTGTAAGCAAAGTTGTTATCAAAAACTAATTGTGTTACTAAGGCATATTTACATTTTAATAACTGAATACAAATTGAATGATAAGTTATAATGCAAAAAGATCTGCAGAATAACATGTCCTGGGATATTAAATAAACCACTGTAAAAATCTTACTACCAAATTATAAACTAGTATCTTTCTCCTAAACAGATGACTACTATTTTATGTATTCTGTTTAAAAAAACACGCTGTAAAGCCTTTTGACGTAAATATACAACGAAATAAAAGAAGAAAAAATGTTGTTCGTTGTAATTTAGTAAACTAAGCTAACTAATTGGAATAAATTATTATAAGGTTAATGGTATATTATTTATTATCAAAAATTTTCAGCTGGGCACAAGTTTTTTATTTAGATTTTAATTATGATACCTACTCAACACAACAGAAATAAACTCATTCTACTTTTACAACAACAAACAAGTACTAGATACCTATTTTGTAGTAGCTTGAGGAGGCCTTGTGTCACTGACACCGTTGCCTACATTACTGAACTATCTTGTTATTTTAGACTCTTTGTTAAAAAAATCAGAAAAAAGGCTTTTCATTATTTTATTTATATTTTATTATTTCTAACAAAATAATGTTAAGCTGCAAGCTTAGCAACTTTGTATCAATCTTACTCTGGAGTGAATCTGAATTCCCAGTTTTAAAAATGTTGAAAATGATTGAATGTTAAGTGGCATACTTCTGAATTTCCATACATTTTATTTTTATTTTGCATAATAATATTTGTTTATTTAAAGTTGATATAAACAATTATACTTTTTACATAAATAAAAGTTAAATAAAAAATAAATTACTTATATCATGTACAAAATATATGTTTTTTAATTCTTTATTCTTTCCTAGATACTGCCCGCCGGGCTCTCAGTGTGGGGGCTGCACTCCAGCAGAAAAAAACTCTCCAAGACCGTACCGGCAAGAATGTAGTTCTCGTAGATGGAGTCAGGACTCCTTTCCTCGTTTCGTTTACTGATTACTCTCGGATGATGCCTCACGAGTTGGCCCGACATGCTCTGCTGTAAGTTGACATCTCCACTTTTTATGCCTTGTCTTTAATTTTTGATTTTAACCATTTAATTAAGAATTTTAATGTTAATGCTGCTTCGCAATTCTTAAATTAGATATTTTCATTGAGTTACTAGTCAAATTAATTAAAAATGTAATAGTATAAAGGTAAATATAGGGTGTAAGGCGGTTAAAATATAAATACTATAGTCCTGTATGCCTATTAGGTACTTACATTGAAATAAACATTTTGTAAATTTTATTACTTAATAAGTCAACAGTCAAGATTATGCATCAACTGAATGGAATCTAGAAGTGCAATTTAGAAGTGATTGTTAATTTTCATTATAATAGTCTATAATAACTAGATGTTTATTTTATGTTTCAAGCATCTTTTGAAAAATGGTACTAGATCCATTTTAATTTAACATTTTCATATTTAGAAATAAGGTTGAAAAATGTGTCAAATTAAAGACTTATCTTTAGGTATTAAAAATATTAAAACTGATTTAAAATAACATAATATTTTTTTTTTCAAGTGTTTCCATACCTCTTCAAAATTACTATGAGTTTGAGAACCCCCTTTTCACTCGCAATTTAACTGTTTTTTTTTTATGAAATTAAATATATAAAACAAAAAATCCAAGATCATGATCCCTTATTCAAGTACACAACAAACAAAAATTAACTAATATTTTCATATATATTATTTATTAACATAATTAAATCCGGGTGTTTTTACACCCATTTATAGTCTTAGCGGCAAACAAATTCATTGTAGCCTTTAAGGGTTAATAAACATTATGTTTGTAATATGAATGTGGTTACATGATAGGAGGGCAGATTTTATATTTTCATAATTATTTTCCCAGTGGTCTCCTTCAAAAGACTGGCATCTCTAAGGACATCATTGACTACATTGTATACGGTACTGTCATCCAAGAAGTGAAGACCTCCAATATTGGTCGCGAGGCGGCGCTAGCGGCCGGGTTCAGTGACCGCACTCCCGCGCACACCGTCACCATGGCCTGTATATCGTCCAACCAGGCGATCACCACTGGTGAGTGATTATGTTAAATTAAGTGAAATTTAAGAACCCATGTATGTACCATCATGAAGTAATAAAGATTATGATTATGTTCCAACTAATGATTGTACTCTGTAGTAGAGAAGTAGAGCATAGCGGATTGTGAGCTCGAATAGGAGCGCCCGTCTGGGGAAGTAACCATATAGAAGATCACAGTAACATAACACTACCTTTTTAACCGACTTCAAAAAAGGAGGAGGTTCTATGATCGACTGTATTGTTTTTCTTTTTTAATGTATGTTCACCGATTTCTCCGTCAATTGTGGACCAATTTCCAAAATTCTTTTTTTATTCGAAAGAGTGCACTTCCGAGGTGGTCCCATTGAATCCAAATCAGGATCTGATGGTGCAATCGGGAGAAATCGAGGGAAACCTTTAAATTTCAAAGGCACGCACGATGTTTTTTATGCATGTTCACCGATTTCTCCGTGTGGCTGATGCTGTGGTTGAACTGCGTCGAAACAACCCGGGCAGTGCCTGTCGCTACTAGTTTTTTCTTTATGCATCTTTTTAATACCAATCAGTCGCGTTGACACGTTGCGGAGTCATAGATTTCTACAGTACAACGTAGTAGCACGAAGCGATGTATCGTGTTTTGTGTTTGGATGTCATGCAAATGTGACATTTTGACAAAAGAAAAACACTTAAGCCCTGATGACACGGGGCGAGTTTACAAGCTACATGCCAGCGAGTTCGCTAGTAGCTTGTAAATTCGCCTAGTATCGTCGAGTCTTAAATAAGGAGTAGTGGCTGTAGTTATTTTTATTTATGACACGATCTAAGATAGTCTCCCATCACAAACAGGTATCGGTATGATAGCAGCCGGCGCATACGAAGTGATAGTGGCCGGTGGCGTAGAATTTATGTCTGATGTCCCCATTCGGCACTCGCGCAAGATGCGCTCACTGCTACTGCGGCTAAACCGCGCCAAGACTCCCGCGCAGAGGCTGTCGCTGATCGCCACTATAAGGCCGGACTTCTTCGCGCCAGAGGTGAGTGTTGCCAGCGCAAAAAATTACGTTCCCGCCATTTTTTTGCTTTTGATGTGTCGAATAATGTGTTTTGTTTTTAGTGAAAGTTTAAATTTAAAACCGTTTTATGATTACTGTCAAAGTCATCTTAGGTGGGAATCGAACCCGAATTTCGAGGTGATCTTATCATTGATGTTAATGATATATTCATAATTTTATTATAAATAATCTAAAAGTATGCCTTAATGTAGTTTAAAAGTAATATAAACAACATAAGTTTGTGAGTAACTGATACCTGAACTAGGTGGAAGGCCTGTATCTCAGAGCACCAGTACTCTCTCTATCTCTCTCTCTCTTATGTAGGATAATGGTGCACTAGTTAAAATAGTAGAAAATGTTAACTTAATTGAAATCTGATTCTAAAATTTTAAAGCTGTTTATAATAAAGATAACAAGGACAGCATTAGGTTTTTCTTAAGTGTCACACTGGATTCTACTTTTGGCTATCCGGGCGGATACACTAACCGCTATACTGACAAGCCAAGCCTGACCTGAAAATATCCATTCGGCCAAGGTGACTGGCTGGTTTTGAACCAGTACCCCTAGCACGAACTAATATCGAATAGTTAAATTGGATTTCAATACGCATCAAAGTTATGGTAATTTGACAGCGCCGCAACGGACGTAACGAGAATAAAAAAAAAGCTACTGTGCTTATGACCTCACGACTGAAGTGAAACTTCTTTAGCTCCAATGATCTGAAAATCATAAACTTAACCTGAAGATTTGTTGATAGAAAAAAACCTCCAATCCGCACTGGTTCCATTATCATCCACCAATCCGCGCTAGTTTCGTTATCACCCAGCAATCCGCGCTGGGTCCGTTATCACCCACCAATCCGAGCTGGGTCCGTTATCACCCACCAAGCACTAGATTCATGTATTTTGTGACGAATATAAATTGTTCATTGTTTACCGATGAGTCACCGTGTAACGCAAAAATCGTCACACATTCGCCAGTTCACCCCCCAATTCATGCGTGCCTAAAGAAGTTTCACTACAAAAATGAAAAAAATAAAGATTTTATATGCTCGATATATTTATTTTAATTTTTATACTTGACAATGGGATCTACTACAGGCTCCATGGCCGCAAGACTGCTTAAAATTTAGATAAATCTCTTAATTCAAATGAGTTTGCATTCTAAAAATTTTCGTTGGATAAATTAATCAGTAACTATTGCCTCTCTTATCCGCCGTGGCTGCGTTCTCGTCGAGCGAGACGGTGGGCTACAGCGCGGACAGACTGGCCGCCGCGATCGGGGCTTATTTCATTATCTGTCGGTCATTAGGTAAATCAATAACTATTGGCTCAGTTACCCGCCGTAGCTGCGTTCTCGTCGGGCGAGACGATGGGCCACAGCGCGGACAGACTGGCCACCGCAATCGGGGCTAATTTTATTATCTGTCGGTCATGAGATAAATCAGTAACTTTTGGCTCAGTTACCCGCCGTAGTTGAGTTCTCGTCGGGCGAGACGATGGGCCACAGCGCGGACAGACTGGCCTCCGCGATCGGGGCTTATTTTATTATCTGTCGGTCGTTAGATAAAACAGTAACTCTTGGCTCAGTTACCCGCCGTGGCTGAGTTCTCGTCGGGCGAGACGATGGGCCACAGCGCGGACAGACTGGCCTCCGCGATCGGGGCTTATTTTATTATCTGTCGGTCGTTAGATAAAACAGTAACTCTTGGCTCAGTTACCCGCCGTGGCTGAGTTCTCGTCGGGCGAGACGATGGGCCACAGCGCGGACAGACTGGCCTCCGCGATCGGGGTTTATTTTATTATCTGTCGGTCGTTAGATAAAACAGTAACTCTTGGCTCAGTTACCCGCCGTGGCTGAGTTCTCGTCGGGCGAGACGATGGGCCACAGCGCGGACAGACTGGCCGCAGCGTTCGGTGCGTCGCGCGCGGAACAAGACGAGTACGCGCTCAGATCGCACATGAACGCTCATAACGCTCAACAGAAGGGGTACTTTACCGACTTGATACCGGTTAAAGGTTAGTACAGCTTTTTTTTGGAACACTGCTGTAACAGCATATGAGGAATCTCAAATAATAACAGTGTTAAAATTACTAAATTTATAAATTTAAAACCTTGCCAAAAGCTCACTGTAGGTATGTCATTCAATTTTATACTACAATTCCTGTAAAATTTTATTTTATGTAAATTACATAAAACGGTATAATTATACCATTTTGTTCGCCAGCTCCTCATACTCATTTGTTTTTTTTATATATAGTCAGGTAGGCAAATGACTCTACCCTTGATGTTAAGTGGTGATAAAGTCCAAACGCGGAGATAGCTGGTACAGCAAATATAAACTGCCACACCAACCATCCTCACCTTGCCGGCCTGCAGAATGCTTCTTCACGCATCTCTTAAAGGACGCCAGATTGTAGAAAGGACACGTGCGTGGCCAAAGAATTCCACTTACGAATAGTACGACAAAGAAATTAGTTTAAATTTTACGATAAGTAATAAAAAAACAAATTTTTACTTCGACTTTTGTGTGTCCAGTGGACGGCAGAGACGGCCTGGTTGACAAGGACAACGGTATCCGCGTCTCCACGCCCGAACAGCTCGCCAAGCTGAAGCCGGCCTTCGTCAAACCACATGGAACTGTCACCGCTGCCAACGCTTCATTCCTGGTAACTATCATCAGTCAACGGCGATATATAAAGACATTGGCATCAAGCTGAAGCCGGCCTTCATCAAACCACATGGAACTGTCACCGCTGCCAACGCTTCATTCCTGGTAACTATCATCATCATCATCAGTCAACGGCGATATATAAAGACATTGGCATCAAGCTGAAGCCGGCCATCGTCAAACCACATGGAACTGTCACCGCTGCCAACGCTTCATTCCTGGTAACTATCATCATCATCATCAGTCAACGGCGATATATAAAGACATTGGCATCAAGCTGAAGCCGGCCTTCATCAAACACACGGAACTGTCACCGCTGCCAACGCTTCATTCTTGGTAACTATAACCATCATCATCAGTCAACGGCGATATATAAAGACATTGGCATCAAGCTGAAGCCGGCCTTCATCAAACCACATGGAACTGTCACCGCTGCCAAGCTTCATTCCTGGTAACTATAATCATCATCATCAGTCAACGGCGATATATAAAGACATTGGCATCAAGCTGAAACCGGCCTTCGTCAAACCACATGGAACTGTCACCGCTGCCAACGCTTCATTCCTGGTAACTATAATCATCATCATCAGTCAACGGCGATATATAAAGACATTGGCATCAAGCTGAAGCCGGCCTTCGTCAAACCACATGGAACTGTCACCGCTGCCAACGCTTCATTCTTGGTAACTATAACCATCATCATCATCATCAGTCAAGGGCGATATATAAAGACATTGGCATCAAGCTGAAGCCGGCCTTCATCAAACCACATGGATCTGTCACCGCTGCCATGCTTCATTCTTGGCAACTATAACCATCCTCATCAGTCAACGGCGATATATAAGGACAATGGCATCAAGTTGAAGCCGGCCTTCATCAAACCACATGGAACTGTCACCGCTGCCAACGCTTCATTCCTGGTAACTATAACCATCATCATCGTCAACGGCGATGTATAAGGACAATGGCATCAAGCTGAAGCTGGCCTTCATCAAACCACATGGAACGGTCACCGCTGCCAATGCTTCATTCCTGGTAACTATAACCATCATCATCAGTCAACGGCGATATATAAGGACAATGGCATCAAGTTGAAGCCGGCCTTCATCAAACCACATGGAACTGTCACCGCTGCCAACGCTTCATTCCTGGTAACTATAACCATCATCATCGTCAACGGCGATGTATAAGGACAATGGCATCAAGCTGAAGCTGGCCTTCATCAAACCACATGGAACGGTCACCGCTGCCAATGCTTCATTCCTGGTAACTATAACCATCATCATCAGTGGACGGCGATATATAAGGACAATGGCATCAAGCTGAAGCAGGCCTTCGTCAAACCACATGGAACTGCCACCGCTGCCAACGCTTTATTCCTCGTAACTATTACCATCCATCATCATCATCATCAGTGGCTGACGGGCTGGTAGATATGGACAACGGCATCCGCGTGTCGACGATCGAGCGTCATTAATAAAGTGCGTCACACAATCAAGAGGGTCGACAAGGTGTGACATTGTGTGACAAGGGGGGAGGGGTCCTAAGTTTCGTGACGTAATACTTCAAAGTCTAAGTTCTTTTGATCTATTCTTAAAAACTTTAAAATATCCAATTATCTGTAAGAGTTTTAATTTGTTTTGTTGATTAATTTTCGGGACTCGTTTCGGAGCTGCTGTTAAATTTTAATCATTTCTAGATCCAAAATATGTGACGTAAATTGACGAGGGGTAAATTTAAAAGTATTTTTATAAATTTTTTGGGTTCCGTACCTCAAAAGGAAAAAACGGAACCCTTATAGGATCACTTTGTTGTCCGTCCGTCGCCTGTCCGTCTGTCAAGACCGTTTTTCTCAGGAACGTGTGGAGGTATGAAACTGAAATTCATATCTAATACTCAGGTCTACTGTCCCTTGTAACTGTGAAAAAAACAAACTTCTAAGCCAAAGCAATCAAAAGATTATACAGCCGTTTATACCGCAAATTTACGAAACTCGCACGGGAATCAAAACCTACAGGATACTTCCCATGAACTTAGAATCTTGAAATTTGGTACGAAGTAACGTCTTATAGTACAGATAAAGGGAAAATTGCGAAAACCGTTAAATTTTAGTAACATCATATAATATACAGGTTTGTACGGAACACTCGGTGCGCGAGTCCGACACGTACTTGACCGGTTTTTTTTATATAATATAACCCTTATTTTATACTCTCGTCGGATAAGACCATAATATGACGTAGTAAGGTATCTAATTAGTTTGTGTTACATACAGACAGACGGGGCGTCTGCTTGCCTAGTGATGTCGGAGGCCAAGGCCAAGGAGCTGGGCCTCAGACCGAAGGCCTATCTGCGGGACTTCCTCTACGTAGCACAGGTAAATGTAGCTTTTAATCTATTGAATAAAATAACACTTGAGGCCACTTGCAGCAAATTTGCTAAATCTCGGTTCAACTAAAACTAGATTGAACCCATAGAAAAAAAACTTCAAAACGTCAATGTCAATTTGTCATTTTTGTATCGGCTAAATCTTGTTTTAGTTAAATTGAATTTGTGGCGGCGACATCTACATGCCCCACATATACATAGAGGAATTAGTCCCTCGCCTCCATAAGAGATGGCGCTAGAGGCGCTGCGTTCACAACGTATGGAAGCCTACATCGCGCAAGAGAAATTCGGAGCCAAACACTCCATATATACGATGCCCGACCAACATCAGTCGGGCCGTGACCCCCTAGCTACCACCACCCAGGTCGGAGGAAGATCTTCTCCTTTGGCCTTCCTACAAATTAAAGCAGAATTGCTGCAAGTGGTCCTAACGCGCACTTTATGAATTACTAGCAGCCCGCCCTCGCTTTGCTTCGGTGTAGAGCTGAAGTGTAGACTACAGTTTTTGTTCTCAGGCTTGTATTATACACAATGACATTCATCTATGATTCTTCTTATACCTGCATGCAAAGTCTCAGCCCGATCGGTTTAAAATTGACAAAGTTTCATACAAACTTTCATTCCCTATTTTATCTCCTTGGGGGTAGAATTGATCAAAATCCTTTCTTAGCGGATGCCTACGTCATAACATCTACCTGCATGCCAAATTTCAGCCCGATCCGTCCAGTGGTTTTAGCTGTGCGTTGATAGATCACTATGTCAGTCAGTCACCTTTGAGTTTTATATATATAGATGCCAAAATCAGATCCAATGTAACAAATGGTAACTTTTTTATTACACGACTGGAGTGTAGTTACTGTTTTATTTTATTTTATTTATTTGGTATTCATAACATATTACAATCAACAAAGTACTGATTTATTAATAATTGACGAATCCATCAAGATTGCAACATACATACACATACAATGTAGTTATATAAAACTGAATTTATTATTTTTTATATTGTAGGATGTTTATTATTTAAGTAATTAATTCTTTTTAAGTTTTTAGACAATTATTAGTTTTAAGCTTTTATAGTTTAAATATTAATATGTAAATATAATAAATAAAAATAATCGATATTAACTGTTACATTGCATTGCATTAAATTAAATTAATTCAAATAAAATCAAATTGATAACTACAAATTCGCTAAAATAACTTACAATTGATATAAAAAATTACATGAATGTTTGAACTCATATTGATGATGAAATTATATTACATCACAAGATTTTATTTATCTATCAGAGTTCATGTAAGCCATTAATGTATTTGTGGCTTTTTCTCTCTTTCTATAGAGTTGTAAATGTTATGCAAGTCTCCAAGTCCATTCTTTGTCTGTAGTGATAAAAACCTTTAATTACCTTTTTTTTCGCCATGTTTGCTTTTTGTTTGAAGGAGTCTCAGTGTCGTGTAAAAAAAACGATGAAAGAATATATTCTTTATTCAGTTTTACTGAAATACAAAAAACAGTAAATGTCAACACAACAGCGACCTTATTGCTAAGGTAGCAATCTCTACCAGGTAACCAACAATTAATAAGAACTATGACAATGGCATATTGCAAGGTATCCTGGTTAACACCCTATCGGAGGAGGCTGGTGTGCTTTGCAATATGGTAGCAAAAAATATATGTAATAATTAAGTGATTTTAAGAAAATTTTATGGTCCAGTTACGATGGGGCTGGTATGGACAATTTGGTCTGATTTTTTTCAAATTCAAATGCTTTATTGTGAAATTTAGGTTAGTACAGCAAATTGGTGTTAAGTAAAAAGTTTATTGTCACCACATTTCGCCTTATTACAAGGTATACAATATTTTTTATGAAATAATCAGGCTTACAATTATAAAAATAAGAATTATTATATTACAATTAGGTAGAAAGTCCCTTAAAAAAACTATGACAATATAGGAGGAGCTCGATGGCGCAAGTGGTTAGCGCGTTCGGCTGTGATCGTTGAAGTTAAGCAACTTTCGCAGTGGTCGGTCATTGGATGGGTGACCAAAAGTTTAATATCTCGAGCTCCTCCGAGCTTCGAAAGACACGTTCAGCCGTCGGTCCCGGCTGCATCTGCAGTCGTTAGCACCCACCAATCCGCAATCTCCCTATTCCATCCGTAGGGAAAGCCTGTGCCCCAGCAGTAGGGACATTAATAGGCTGATGACGAAGATGTTGACAATATTTTTCGCCATTATCTATGGATAATGATTACTTATGTTGCCAGGACCCCGTAGACCAACTTCTCCTGGGGCCGGCTTACGGCATCCCCAAGCTGCTGGACCGCGCCGGCCTCAAGATGAACGACATCGACTCCTGGGAGATCCATGAAGCCTTCGCTGTAAGCCTCTCATTGCATCACAATAATATTATTAAGTTAGCCCACCTGAGGCCTCTAAATGATTAAACATAACGACTCTGACAGCAGGGTAAATTGTACCCTATTGATGCTACATATACATAAGTGTTTTTTTGCTTGAACCCGGTTCGAACGCTATATGTGCCTGTGGCATAACTGCACACATTTTTATAATATTCTTAATTATTTGACTTAGGTTGAGGAAGAATGTAAATAATTAAAAACATTAAATATGTACCTATTGGCAATGAAATCGAAGAGCATTCTCTTTGGTTTAACTTAAAAGTTGTTAATTGTTTCTTGATTGAGTAAAAACTACCCATGTTAACACCACACTAATATTATAAAGGCGAAAGTTTGTGAGTGTGTGACTTTGTTGCTTCTTCACGTCGGAGTTGGTATGGAGTTAACTTACACCCTGGATGTTAATCCAGATGCCTATGCGTAGCCTATGTGTTAACATAGGCTACGTTTTACTGCGGGAACAATATCCCTAATAAACCGCGAGTAACACCGCGGGGCACAGCTGGTAATATATAAAGAAGAATGCCAGGTAATTATAGGTGTAGGTGGATAAGTTGTAATACCCTTTGAAGGAGCGGGTCCTCTCCTACAGGTATTATTTTACTTAATAGAGGACGTACATATAAAACTGTAATTTCTACATTGTTAAAGATTCATTTTTTTTCAGTTTTTGTCAAAACAGTAACTAATTAATGCTTATTTTTCAGGGTCAAATTCTAGCTAATTTGAAGGCGCTGGACTCTGATTGGTTCAGCCAGACCTACCTGGGACGCCAGTCGAAGGTATGTTTATTGTATAATGATAAAGGAAATTAAATCTTTTGCTTTCATTAGATCGATCGTCGAACTAGTGTTTTTTTTTTCATTTATTCTACCGTCAAACTACTGAGATTTGTCCATTTTCATTACCAGAAATTCTTAAATCTAAAGAAAAAGATAACTAGGAAAAAATCCACGTGTACTTTTTTTTAGGGCCGTGGTAGCATAATGGTTACATTACATAACGTAGCATTCGCCCGGATTGCGAAGGGTGCGGGTTCGAGTCCCGTCCGCTGCCTGGTCCGCGTGGCTTTTTTTCTAGTAAACTTTTTCTTTAGATTTAAACATCTAGCAGTTAGTAGAATAAAAACATAACAGAAATTCTTAGTTATGTATGGTCTCCTGGTACTTTTCTCAAAATAATGATTTCACATTATAAAAATCTCAACCCTCTTGTTTACGCGGCAACACCTGAATGACGTTTAGGGTTCACGTTAATTTATGTTGAAATTTTCAAATTTTACGATACTTATTGATGGTATGTGATCCCAGTGTCATTCTTATTTATTGTAATATTATTTCACTGTGTAAACTGGTATTTTTCTTTCGATTATGATCAAATTTTCTATAAAACATTCGGCACGTACACCTCATACACAACTGACAGTATAACTGGCTTGGTAAAGGCTCGGGTACGACTATGGTGTAGTATTTGTTGCCGGATTTGCTTAGATTAAAACAAAAAGGGACGATACGGTACGCTCATATTAGCATCAAATAAAATATGATCCGACTCAACTACATAAGCAACTCTCACACATGCACACGTCTGTAAATAAACATTCAATCGAGCGAGCGAGACAGAACAGTACCCGTAGCACGAACCAATATCGAATTCGTATTGTTTGCGAATCCGAAATGTCATTTGTCAAATATGTACTGATTTTCAGTTATCGTTACGTACATTGTGGATTTTTGGCGCTGCTGTTCAAGTTCCATACAAAATTTGATATTGACATTTCGCACTCGCAAACTATTCCAATTCGATAATGGTTCGTGCTAGAGATACTGTACGCTTCAACGCAGCGCGAACAAAACGGCAAGTCTGTATCCGAGTCCGCCCGACTGAACTGTATTTTTGTCCATAAAAACAAAATGGCGATTACGTAAATAACATTCTTGGCAAAACCGTGATTTTTGAGAAAAAAAAATGTTTTTTACAATTTTACGATTGAAAAGTGTTTTTACAATTTTACGATTGAAAAGTGTTTTATCTTTATAACACAGAATACATTGTTGTATTGAGTGCACATGCAGTGTGTTTGAATGTCCAATTGTGACTAAAGCGAATTGTGGTCATGCACCATAATTTAAGCGGATCACTTTTAAGCCGCGAGTGCCGTATCTTCCCTTTTTGTTTTAATCGAAACGCATTTGGCAAGCACGTCGGCTGTATCTAGTCGAGTGAAGCAAGACCAATCATTTATATATGGGAGTAACTAATCCAGGTTTAATCTTCGTTTATTAATAAGAGGGTGTTTGTATGTAGGTGGGAAACCCAGACATGAAGAAATGGAACGCTTGGGGCGGCTCGCTCTCTATCGGACATCCGTTCGCCGCTACCGGGGTGAGTTTATTCAACAATTAATTCATCAAATATATATATATATATATTAATTCACCAATACAATATTTTAACTTAATTTACAATTAAACAGTGGTTTTCGCACTAAACTTTCAACATTTTTACAAGTTACCCATGTATTTATTAAAAAATCCTCGATTTATAATAACTCTTTGTGTGTATATGTAAGTGTGTCTGTGTGTGCTAGTGTGGATGCGTGTGTGTAGGTGTATGTGTGTGCGCGCATGAGTATGTGTCATTCGGTATCAGTCTCTTAATTACCCCACTGCTGGGGCACAGACCTTCCCTATCGATGGAATAGGGAGGCCATGACCCACCACGCGGACCCAGTGCGGATTGGCGGGTGCTAACGACTGCAGATGCAGCCGGGACCGCCGGCTTCACGTGCCTTCCGAAGCATGAAGGAGCTCGAGATAGTTAATTTTTCGCCCTACCCATCCAATGACCGACCACTGCGAAAGTTGCTTAACTTCAACGAACGCAGCCGAACGCGCTAACCATTTGCGCCAACAAGCTCCTCAATATATTCAAATTCAGCAATACTACTAAATTTATAAATATGAAAGTTTGTATGTTGTTACTTAATCGCACAAAAACGGCTGAACGGATTTGGAAATGTAGTTTCTGTGGAATTGTTAAAATATAATTGGCGAGCAACGGATGGAGATGTAGACGCTGCCTAAGCATACGAGTGAAATCTTGTCAAAGAGAACATCATACTCAGTTGGACGTCGTGAAATGAAAAGGATCCAACCCACAACCTTATCGAAAATTAATTTAGTATACCAAAGTACTCCTTAAGGTCAATGCTATTAAATCACGACATAGATCCAAGTAAAATTCAAGTGTCATATGATTTTTTATTTCTATTTTGTAAAAAGATAAAGTTGAAAATCTAAGAAGAAATACAGCCTGAAATTAAAAAATCTTGGAAATTTGGAGTTGGCTCCTTTTCATTTAACAACGTCCAGTTATGAACGTCAGTCGTTAGCACCCGCCAATCGGCACTGGGCTCGCGTGGTGAGTCATGGCCCCATCTCCCTATTCCATCCATAGGAAAGATCTGTGCCTCAATAGTGGGGACATTAATAGGCTCATTATGATGATGATGAAAATGAGTCTTTCCGCAATAGTATGGGGCTTAGATTCCTTCGCGACTCGCATTCCTGCTTAGTAGGATGCATGAAGTGCTGCAGTCTCATTACGGCTGGATTTATGAAGTGAAAACTTCTTTAGCACCGTTGTTGCTGGCTCATGAAGCTGATGATGATGATGATATTGACGACCTCCGTAGCCGAGTGGTTTGTACGCCGGGTTTCATGGCGTCGCCGACTCGAGAGGTCCCGGGTTCGAATCCCGGTGGGGGCAGATGTTTGTGTGATGAACACGAGCATTTGTACTCCAGTCATGGATGTTTAATATGTATTTCTATATAAATATACTTATATATGTAAAGTATATGTATTCTATCCGTTACCCTAGTATCCCATAACACAAGCCTTATAGTGCTAACTTTGGGGCTGGGCTAATTGGTGTGAGTGTTGGAAATATTTTTTTTATTTAATATTTCTCTAAGGTCCGCCTCGCGATGCACACGTCCAACCGTCTCGTCCGCGAAGACGGACAGTTAGGCGTGATCTCTGCTTGTGCGGCTGGAGGGCAGGGAGTCGCCATGATCCTCGAGAGGCATCCCGACGCCACCGCTGATTAGAGGACAACTTCACGACGATACTGTAGCTGACAACTTCACACCATACCGTAGTCTGAGGCGGGGGAAAGTGAGCCTTATGGCGTGATTACATTTGGTCGAAGACATTACTCGAATTTGGCCACCCGAAGCAATATTTATATTGGAATAAGGGCTGGAAGACGGTGTTGGGTAAACGAAAGGATATTACCTGAATAGGGACGTATTAGACACCGTTTGTTAGTAAACTTAGTCGTTTACCCGAATTCCATTGGCAGTCGTATTCGGGCTAACGGCCGAATGTAATCGCGCCATTATAACAGAGGCCTAAACACCAACTTTGACAAATCACAGGCCAAAGCAAGAGTTTTTGACAGCTCCGTAAAGTATCATAATCTTCTAATTTTATACGGAAAAGCTGGTTTGTTCTTACTTCCGATAGGGGCGCTGCTTCGTTTTCATGAAAAATTTGACGATGCGATACGTTACGGAGCTATCAAAAACTCTGTTTTGCGCCTCTGTAATAATTTCGCGTCAAAGTTTCTATGTAAACTAAGAAGCGCCATTACCGGACGTAAGAAGAAACTGACCCCTTCCATACAAAACTTGACGATACGATTACGGAACTGTCAAAGTTCGTGCTTCGGCCTCAGACGTAGTTAACGAATTTACACTTGGGGTTGGCAGAATCAAATCTGGAACCTTTGTATCATTGGCACTGCTCAACTTGAGTAATAATTAGTGTTTAATTATAGTTTTCAAATTCTACAATAACTGGCTTGCCTCATACAATGCCAACTCCAACTTCACCCCTCTATTTATTCAAAACAAAGAAACTATTGAATCATCTGTATATTTATTAGTAAACTGAATCGTTGCACGTAAGGTAGTATGTAAGTCAAATATTTATAAATTGGTAATCTTTTAATTTGTAAACACTGTTTTAGTGTAAGGTTTGCTACCTATATTTTAAAAAGACTTAAGAAAAATAAAAAAAGAACTAAAATATTGGGTTTTCATTTTTTTTCTCGTGAATAAAACAAGGTTAATTTGGGCAACCGTTTATTTATTAGTCGCCTACGCTTACTAGCAAAATTGTCTTTAATCTATGTTGTAATTAATTACTCTAATATAATAAGACCGACCCCGACATGCGTGGGCGCCAAATATATATTCTATCCACAATTTTTACATAAAAGTAACGCGAAAGCGAGGGCGGTCCAGCAGAAACAAAACCGCTACAATACAAGAGAAATGAAAGAGATTATAAACAATATCAAATATAACATCTAAATTATAATTAAAAGCTACGCTTTCATTTGTAAGTCATGGTATTTATTGAAACTGACATTAATATAATTTATAAATGTGATACACCTTTCAGTACCACGCATTGTATTTGTAATGATTTGTTGTAAGCACGAAAGCAATCGATGTTGTATTGTAAGCACAAGAAATCCTTCACAGACCCAAGCTTAATCATGCCATATTTCTTATAGGCACATTCATGTTGAAAAATATTTACTGAGATCTTGATTATGTTCAATTAAGAAATTATTATAAAATAAAAAATTACATCAACCATAATATAGATCTGTGTGTAGTTTGATAGAAGCCTCTTATAAGACAATCTTTAAGTCTGTAATTTGCAGACGTACACGCACACGAATAATAATAAAATATAGTATATTTTCTATCATTGCCACATAATTTCTAACAACTACATAATAAAGAAAATATCAGTCCCTACATACCAATGTTATATTATATAATTATATATACTTATGCCGTGCTTTTTATTTACAAAAGCACTTTTAAAATACCTACTGTCCAAAAACAGCCACATTATTTCGTTTAAGTATAAAGGGATCATCAAATCTTAGTTTTTAAGCATTTTTTCATAGGTGTACGCATTTTTTTTTACAAATCATTTATTACTTTTGGTGTTTCAAGTTAGCCTCAAAATCACATTCGGTACTCAAAAGACGCACTCATTAAGTTAGAAAAAACACATCAGTTGTAATTCAAAGTCCTTTTATACGAAATCGACTCCTTCTTACGGACGAAATACTCATTTTTTTGGCAAGTATATAAAATATGTCACATTTAAAGAAATAACAATACACAAACAATTTAATATTTTAGTCTCTCAACTCTAGACCTGAAACCAATAGATACATAGGCACTGATTACTAAAACTACGTTGTTTAAAAAATATTTACAATACATATGTATTTACTTAAAATAATTACTATTTAAAACTAGTGTTGCAGAAAACTTGATGTTTTATATATTTCATTGGTAAAATCTATGTATTATTTTCACACTGCGCTTTCGTGAATAATGTGCACTTTACACGCTACAATAAATTTAGCTCATTTAATGAAAAAAATACCGAAGTAAGTGTCACAAAGGCAAGCATGTTTCACTAATAAAATCCATACTGATATTATAAATACGACAGTGTGTCTGTCTGTTACCTCTGTTCGTTTAAACCGCTGAACCGATTTACATGAAATTTGGCATAGCTATATACACTCGACTGCAAATTAACCAGCCGCTAGTACCTTGGAACTCTAATTTAATTTATTCAAAAAAATTAAAGCTATATCTACAGAAAGTGAAAATTATTCTAAACTACTGTCAACTTACTTTGTGATCGAGCAAGAACAGCTATGCTATTTTTTTAATAAAGTCGCGATTATCGTTCTTTTTTTATAAAATGAAGATAACCTGATACTTCTTATCATTTAGTTTTCTCAGGACGTGAGTATTTTTGCTTCGTTCGTTACTTCCGAACACCACAATTGGAAAACGATTCTTCCTTCGCTTTTTTTAAATAAAAAATTAATTAATTGATTAATCTCAATAAATTCTAGTTCATTTTATTCACCACGAAACGCATTTTCTGTAGTTATAATTTTGATAGTTGTATGTTTTATATTTTTGAGAAAATCAAATCAGAGTTCCGTGGTAGCAAGTAGTCCATTTTATTTGCTGCCGAGTGTAGTTTGAGTCCCGGTAAAAGATATAGAATAGTTTTTATCCCAGATATCAGTTTGTATTTTTTGGAAAATAATTAGACTACCCAGACGAAGTCAATGATTAATTTTGTTTTAACATAAATAAAAATACTAACTATAGAATTATCAGAGAAATACTCAATTTGAAAAATCACGTTGTTAGAAACAACTAAACATAGCTTCTTGGATATTGACATCAATCATTTCCACACCACTATTAAAAATTAATGGGTTTGCTCTAAAGCCGGGGCTCCTGCGCCGTGTGTCGTGTTTGCTAACACGATAACATTGTTTCCTAAGTCGCCACACACGGGCCACACGCCACAGTACAAACGCCGCCACGAGAAGCTAGAAGCGGCTACTAAAGTGGCCGAAGCGCGCGACAGCGGCCGACTAAGGGAGAGAGGGGTGAGGAATCGCGGTTGGCGGCGTTTTGTATCCGCGCATTAAGTGGCCGGTGCGGGCCACAAGAAGCGAGCAACGACGATTTGTAGCGTGTGGCGGCCACCGGCGTACCGTGTGTGGCAAGTCCATACATTTTTTTTTAAAACTACTAGAAATATGCCGGTGGCGGCGTTTTGTGGTTGTGGTCGGTGGCTCGTGTGCGGCGACACTAACCGATTGGGGGCGTGGCCTAACAGTTTTGCTAGCCAAAACAATAACATGTGTCCTGCGACGAATGGATAACATCCCCCACGTTCACCTGCGGGGAGGGGAATTACCGCATTTTTCAGCGCTCTCTAGATTAAGGCGTAAGTATCATTTGAAATTTGTGAAAATTCTCTTGATTTGTTTTGTGATGGAGTGGAATTAGTGCAATAAATATAATATTTCGTCTTTTGCATCTTCTTCGTCAAAGCTTTTTTTATTGCACAATATCACTTTTAAAACAGGCGCAACGGGCAATGGCTTTAGGGGAGTGGCCTTTTTCATTATGTCCACGACAATATCCAACGCCGCGTTGGTTTGCTGTTAACAAACCCTCGCGACGGAGGTAATTGCGTAGTGCATTCGGCAAGCAGCCAGCCAGACCGAGGAGAGTAGCCTAATAGTTTTGTTAGCAAAAAACAGGCGCAGCAGACTGGCTATTTTGCTCACTTGTTTTGACGACATGTTTTGTTAGAAAATTTGCACAGGAGCCCTGGCTTCAAAAATCAAAACATCAAGCTTAAGAAAATGCCATTCAAATAATGCATCAAAGTAAAACGTTTGTTGTACACATCAAGTACCTACAATATATCAAATCTTCTTAACCGATTGTCAATCTTAATATAAGCAAAATAAATCTCAAACCTAATTGATGAAACTTTACAGGTTCGATAACTTTACCTGTGGCTGTGTGTACAACCGAAAATGTCATCAGTAAGTTCTGGTGACTAACTTATCAATAAAACAACAGACCGGAGTGTAGTTAAAAACAAGTTTAAAACCCTCTAGTTTATACAAATCTGTAAATATAATTTGCTATTTATTGACTGACATCAAACGTCTGAAACTATTTAAACTACTAATTATGATAAATGATACGATATAGAAGGACTTTGGTAAAGAAATACTTGAAACTTAGTCTATAAGTACGGTCGCCGGGCAGAAAGAATTTCGTACAATGACCCCACCTTACCCGGTCGCGCGCAGTTATGTTGCTGTCACGCTTGCACACAGTATTACACACGGTACGTGTGCGAGCGAGACAGCGACGTAATTGCACGCGAGCGATAAGGATGGGTAGCTTGGGGTCATTGTACGACATTCTTTCTGCCCGGCGACCGTACCTTAGTACAAAGACCTAAACACGAATTTTGACAGTTCCGTAATCAAATTTTGTATGGAAGGAGCCAGTTTGTTCTTACGTCCGGTAGGTGCGCTGCTAAGTTTTCATAGAAACTTTGTCCATGCAATACGATCACGGAACTGTCAAAATTCGTGATTTAACCTCAGTATTGTACTGCATTATATGTGATTCTGAATTGTACAAAGTTAGATTGAACTTTTTTGTGAGGTTTCGAATCTTATAAAGGTTCCATGTTCACAAGATCTATTCTGAAGATACAAAGCTAAAAAAGCGAGACGTCGTTCTACCGTGTGCATAATGATATGTCGCTCTAATTACAATAAAAAATTGCCTGCCGTTAATACTTCAAAGAACGGCATCTGATGTGACTTTAAAAAAAACTTTAAAGTGATTGCTGTTTGTGAAGAACAATATCAGTTCAATCACCTATGTATGTCCATTAACGATAATAAGTACTATTCGGACTCGCGCACGAAGGGTTCCGTGAAAAAACCCCGGAAGGAAAAATAAATTGTTGAATTTTTATTTTTTAAGCATGTAACTGTTCAATGTTCAAATCTAAAGAAAATATAACTAAAACTCCACGCGGACCAGGCAGCAGACGGGACTCGAACCCTTACCCTTCGCTATCCTGGCGAATACACTGATCATTATGCTACCGCGACACCGATGGCCGTGTCGAATTCTTTCTTGAAAAAAGAATTTCTAGAAAGAATTTGTTTGTTCCCGCCACAACTTACAAAGCTCATTATGAATCGACGTTTTCAGTATTTTTTTATTTAAATAGAGCATATGGGACCTCATATACCAAAAATTCAGATATCTAACTAAGAAATAAACTATCTAGATAAGTTTAGATTTAGAGATAGACCCCGTAACAAAAATGGTCTAAAAATCACAACTTTCAAGGCTTTACTCTTTGTTATTGTTAATAATAAAAACTATATTTATATCCTACTCAACAAGTTCTCAACAATCATGAGTCACATGTAGGGGTAAAAAAAAAGATCCGTCTCTTTTTCATGAATTCCGACCCCCCATGAAAAATAATTCAATTGAATTTTTAAACTAAATATTCGGCTTTGGGCAAGCATTCCATATACAAAATTTCAGATCTGTATCTCATTCCTTTAACGATCTAGAGACCCGTGACATACGGACAGACAGACGACAGAGTGACAGCAATAGGGTTCCATTTTTACCCTTTGGGTACGGAACCCTATGAAGACTACTTGTATAATCCAGATCTTAATGCTACAGAAGATAAGGATTTTCTATTACAAGCGAGACTCATCTTCCGTAATAGGTCAACAGCAATTATGAGGTTAGTTTTTCATGGGCAGTACTGATGGGAGCATCTTGCTATCTTCCTTGCACTTGTTGCGACTGTAATATTTATAGTAAATCTGTCCCTCTTGTGTTATTAACTGTTTTTCGCTTTCAACAGATAAAGTAACTTAATGACGATCGGCAACATAGTTATGAGCAAGCAATGTGTTTTTGATTTAGTCAAAACGATGCATTCGGAACGAAGCTCAAGTGGACTTATTATTATTCTTCCAAAATCAAGAACTTATATCATTTCAAACGGTCAAAACAGCACACCGATGAATTTACAACGACATTTGATAACGGCACACGAAAACTATACAATACGACTGCTGCATCCACAAACTGATTGTAATTAAAAATAAATATTGAAAACAATATTCATTACATTCCCATTGTCCCCACACTTTAGATAAACTAAAAATACTTGCCATCATCAGCATTGCTATTAACTTTATATTAAAATGTATATTTCTTCGGGTACATTCCCTATATCCCTTTATAATTATAGTGGGGACAATGGGAACAGCCATTCTACGTACCGTAACCTAACACTTCCACGGATTGACTTTCTAAATCTAGAAAATTATGTTTAAATCTTTCTGTACAATAGACATTCAGTAAGAGTGTAGGTTGCGGTGCGAATAGACCGCCCTCTTACGAATTATTGCGCAAACACACCACTAATTGACACTGGATCTGAAAAATCTATAGCAAAATCGATAATAATAGAAATAATAAAGATTTCATATTCAACAAGTAAACTTTATAAAAAATTAAAATTATTGGATAACTGAAATTATTCTAGAAACTTCTAGTGATATTTTCAACAGGGACAGATTAGTTGATAGAAAAGGTTGTTATGACATTTGAACAAAGAAATATGGTAGCGTTAATATAGTCAGTAATTTATTTACCAAAACAAAGTTCTTATAAATAAATGCATGATGCTTAGTAACTACTGAGATGTAGTTGGCGTGACCCTCCTGCGGCATACATTTAATCCATTTATTTATTTACATAAAACCAAATATAAGTTATGATATAAAACGAGGCTGCAGGCATCTAAACGAATAGTATGTATTATAATATAATTTGGTATAACTATGTCTACATATTTAATTCCAGTAATTTGAAGAAATATTACAAAAAAAAAAACAAAAGTCGTCTGTGCGTTTACAAACAGAAAATAAGTCTTGAGTTTTTCTAATCAATGAACATCATACTATAACTCTAACTAAATATTATTTTTATTAAATACATATTATCGCTTACTATTGAAAAGTAAAATTGGTGTAATATATTATATATTCAAGACACTTGAATTATCACGATTTTCCTATATTGAACGGGCATTTTTTAACAGAGATATACGAGTATTGTTTGTGTCAGTCATTTTCACATAGCATGGTTACTATGACAATTAAGAGTGATGGTAAAACCCTATGTCTATAGAACGTATGCCATAAGCATTTGGATCATGATGATATGTTTAAAAAAGTTGTGCTATTTAGCTATGCCAAAGGACGATAATGAAAGTAAATACTATGCTGCCAGCTTTTGGCTAAATACTGTTATAATACGAATATACGAAACAAACATGAAACTTATATAACAAAAAATATTTAAAATATTCCCATGCTTTGTGAAAAAGACTGTATTAATATAGTCAAATAGAAGAAACAAGTGTACACAATTCTTGAGCCCATACAAAAATGTCAAAATTCTCCAACCGATTTCCATCCTTATTGCCGAGATTACTAAAGTTCGCTTTAAAGCGATACAGGGCTTGATTCTGGCACGATTCCCTTAAAATAAATTTGACAATAGTTTATTCTTATCATGTTCTTTAGAGAACGAAAAGGATGGACTGCTATCAAATTGAGATTTTAGTTTAGATAACCATGACAGAATCAGGCACAATGTCACTTTCTTTGCTATAATGACAGTCAATTATTGAAGCTTAACTTGCCGTTATGCCAACGCTTCGCTTGGCTATTCGTGTTAGCTATTTGTAAACTTGATAACAGTCTTTTCTTTTCATGATCTAAAAGCGAAAAAAGGACAGTCGGGTGTCAAGTTTAATAGCAAACCAGAATAGCTATTAGGGTATAAAATCGTTTGCAGAATTTTGTAATTTCACGGGTAGCCAAACGTGCATGATATAAATCCAGTGTCATGTAGGTGTTTTGTGTATGTTACGCCATTTATTGGCGTTTTGTAAGGTTGGTGTTAGTTTGTGTATTGGTTACTGAAAGTCTGCGAGGGACTGCCGCCAGGTGGCGTGGAAGGGGATGCGTAGCAACTTCAGTTTGGTGTGCGGCAACTGAGCGGTCAGAAGTCTCTGCAGTGTCGGCAACGGTAGAATCTCCACCTATCCAGAGAGATGAGTTGGTCACATATGGGTATATAGAGTGGGGAAGGCGGCTCTAAAAGTGTCCGTCTAGTAGAAAGAGAAAGAAGATGAGAGACCGCTAGCTATCTCTCTCTCTTGTTACGCATTATACATTGTTAATAAAATTATTAATAAAAGTGACCATTGCGCATGCGCGATTAGAGAGAAAAAGCTAGCGGTCCCTCATCTTCTTTCTCTTTCTATTCCACTTGTAGTAGTCTATATATCCCCCACTCTATTCTTATACCTCTATGGTTGGTCAAATGTCATCATTATTCTCTGCTGAGATTGGATCTGAGTTGGTTTGGTATACATAATATTCATTGAAATGCTCTTTACTCAAAAATATAGTATCTATCGATATCTAGTATCCGGTACGCAAATTTTAAAAAATTGCTGTGATATGTCTAATATACGTTGATTTTAAAAAACTTGTGAAATACACTATTGTAGAAAAGATTTCCATTTAAAAAAAAGAACGTGATAAGATCCTAGTTGCAAAGAAAGTTGGTGTAACAATGTTTTACTACTACAGTATCCATTCTCACTTTGTCGGCCTGTAGAAATCGTGAAGCATTATTCTGAAGGATCCTAAGTTCTAGGAAGGATTGAATACGAACTTTAATGAGTGAAAGATTAGTTCGTTGTTTATGTTACGGGTTCGATACTATGAAAGATTAGTTAGTTGTTTATGTTACTAGGCTCCTGCTGCATTCGGGGCAAGGTACGTGAAGCCATTGGTCACAGCTGCATCAACCGTCGTTAGCATCCATTAATCCGCACTAGGCCCGCGTGGTAAGTCATGGCCCAATCTCCCTATTCCATCCATAGGACCTGTGCCTCAGCAGTGAAGACGATAATAAGCAGTGTACGATATCGCGGCGTTTGTCTATGGATTGCTACATATATCTACCTACAGAACGACATTATTAATAATTTTTAGCTCGGTTTAACGCGCTAATTTCAGGAGTTACTGTAATCAGATTTGTAAAATTGTTTTGCATCCGATAGTCAATTTATCGAGGAAGACTATTGCTATAATTATAGCATCACGCTACACCTATTTGTAGTAACAAATAGGAACAGAGCATCAATGAAAAATATTGCTAAAACGGGAAAAAATATTTCATTTCAGAGCTTCCCATATTAAAGTCGCTTTTCAACTTAAATGTTCTGCATCTATAAATATAAGAAGAAAAAAGGCTTTTCTGACTTTTTTATCGGCTTTTTCTCAGTGCAAGATCTCGTCTCGTCGTCGTAGATTTGCGACTATGGCGTTGTATCTAAAAATTCAGTAACATCCTAATCTGAAAGAAGTGCTATTGAAAACTGTAAATTTCAAGAATTTTTCTTTACCTGCGGCGGTCCCTGCACGTGTCTATGGTCGGGCAGCCTGCACCCGGGCACGGGTTTGAGCACCGGGATGCACTCCCCGATATCGCGGCGCTTGTCTATGGACTGCTCGCACTGGTCTATGAACAGTTCTGTGACGCGCAACAGCTCGATAGTGACGCCCCACATCAGGTGCGTCAGCGTGTCCTTTAAGCGGAGGACGCCGCTCAGCACCTGGTATCAAAACCCCATGAAAGTTTAAAATGTTCGTATAGGAGATTTATTTGATTATTTACTCTTTACATAGAGCCTGGCAGCGCAGACGACGTTGAAAAAAATATGAGCCCAATGCTGGACTCTAAGTCGTTTTCCGTCACTTAGTGTTCAATGTAATGCTAAGCGATACGCACGTCAATTACAGATCTTCGTGTTAAAGTTATTGCTTCGAATTTCGATAAAAGTTTGCCGAAATTATAAAGGACGCATAAAAACAATTATTCACCTTAAAAAATATATATGAAACTACTAGGTTTATTTAAAACCCATTTTAAAGATAACTACATAAATCCTAAGTGACTATATTCAATAGCATTAAAATATATTTCACCCATGCAAAGCCGGGGGGCATTCGCCTAACGGGCTAGCTATGGCTATCGCTACCACTTACAATTTCATTTTCGTTATTATTATTAATTTGTTACTTTTGACCGCCGAAGGTTTTCAAATGTCTAAAGCTAATTTTCTTTAATATTCTTAATACCAATGCAAAAGACAAAAATAGTGCGCGAGACATTTGAAATCCTTGGGCGGACAGAAATAACAGAATGAAATCATAAGCGATAGCGATAGCTTTAGAAGTTTCGTTAGGTTATTGCCCCCAGGGCGGATTACTAATGTGGAAATATAGGGGACTTTTGAGAACATATACACAATATGTCACAAAATAACACTTAAAAATCGTGAAACATGGTGTGGCGGCGACATCTACATGCCCCACATATAACCAACGGATGGAGGAAATAATCACTCGCCATCTTCAAGAGATGGCGCTACGGAAGCGATGGAAGCCTAAATCGCGCAAGATAAATTCGGAGGCAAACAATATATACAATGCCCGACCAACATCAGTCGGGCTGCGGCCCCCAAGCTACCATCATCCAGCTCGGAGGAAGATCTTCCCCTTTGGCCTTCCCGCAATGGGATTACAGTTGGTAAAATATTGTACAAGTGTCTTATATTAGTAACTCACCTGCTTGTTGGTCGTCGCGGACTGCGACACGTACGTGGGTATGATCAGCAATCGCTGGATGTTCTTGCACTCGGCCAGTGCGTCGTCGAAACCGACCTGAAATGTGCAAGCTATGATGAATGTGTCTTTGGTGTCCGAGTAGCAAGGAATTAGAAATAATTATGGAATAAAAACTGCGCTAAAAAGTGGTTCAACGCAAACTGCGACCAAGTGGGCGGGGCGAAAAAAAATGCGGTCATACCGCGACCGTGGGATTGGTTGGGATTTCCCTTTAATATTTTCTTCCCCAATGAATAGATAGCCGTCATAATTTGTAGATATTTGATTTGTCAAATTATTTAGTTTTGTCTGTGTGCGTGTCGCGTTATTATTTACCCAAATCTAGTTGTATGAGTTTGGAACATTAAAATGGGATGCTTTGCTCTGCTCCTACAGCCCGGGGGTGTTTGGAGGAGACGTGAAGAAACAACTTGCAGGCTGGCAAGGCAAAGTGAGGATATCTTCGCATCTACACACACGCACACTTACATATACATATATATGTACACATGTATATAACCCAGACTTACTATATACTACTTATATTAATCTACAAGCAAAGGGCTATTCCATTTTTGTTAGACAGAAGTTTATACTATTTAGTAGCGAGCTAGTAGTATTTTACTAGCTCGAGCCGAGTGAGGACTTGAGGAACGGCAGTTGCGCCAGGGCCCGCGGTATAGCGGGCGTTCCAAGCGCCGCGTTCCGACCGCCCGATACCTTGACGTCCACGTTGACTAGCTCGAGCTGGGTGAGGAGCGACAGTTGCGCCAGGGCCCGCAGTATGGGGGGCGTTTCAACCGCCGCGTTCCGACCGCCCGTTACCTTGACGTCCACGTTGACTAGCTCGAGCCGGGTGACGAGCGGCAGTTGCGCTAGGGCCCGTAGTATGGTGGGCGTTCCAACCGCCGCGTTCCGACCGCCCGTTACCTTGACGTCCACGTTGACTAGCTCGAGCCGGGTGAGGAGCGGCAGTTGCGCTAGGGCCCCTAGTATGGTGGGCGTTCCAACCGCCGCGTTCCGACCGCCCGTTACCTTGACGTCCACGTTGTCTAGCTCGAGCCGAGTGAGGAGCGGCAGTAGCACCAGAGCTCGCAGTATGGCGGGCGTTCCAACCGCCGCGTTCCGACCGCCCGTTACCTTCACGTCCACGTTGACTAGCTCGAGCCGGGTGAGGAGCGGCAGTTGCGCCAGGGTCCGCAGTATGGCGGGCATTTCAACCGCCGCGTTCCGACCGCCCGTTACCTTGACGTCCACGTTGACCAGCTCGAGCCGGGTGAGGAGCGGCAGTTGCGCTAGGGCCCGTAGTATGGTGGGCGTTCCAACCGCCGCGTTCCGACCGCCCGTTACCTTCACGTCCACGTTGTCTAGCTCGAGCCGAGTGAGGAGCGGCAGTAGCACCAGAGCTCGCAGTATGGCGGGCGTTCCAACCGCCGCGTTCCGACCGCCCGTTACCTTCACGTCCACGTTGACTAGCTCGAGCCGGGTGAGGAGCGGCAGTTGCGCCAGGGTCCGCAGTATGGCGGGCGTTCCAACCGCCGCGTTCCGACCGCCCGATACCTTCACGTCCACGTTGACTAGCTCGAGCCGGGTGAGGAGCGGCAGTTGCGCCAGGGTCCGCAGTATGGCGGGCGTTCCAACCGCCGCGTTCCGACCGCCCGATACCTTCACGTCCACGTTGACTAGCTCGAGCCGGGTGAGGAGCGGCAGTTGCGCCAGGGTCCGCAGTATGGCGGGCGTTCCAACCGCCGCGTTCCGACCGCCCGATACCTTCACGTCCACGTTGACTAGCTCGAGCCGGGTGAGGAGCGGCAGTTGCGCCAGGGTCCGCAGTATGTATGTATGTATGTAATATATTTATTCATAAAAAGTTACACTTTCATTTAAATCATGCCCCGCAAAACTGCTTACGCAGTTTGACTGCAGGTAACTCGCTTTATATAAACATAGCTTATAAATTATTAAATTAGGTGATATTAATACAATTAATTTACGTAATAAGTTACAACGTATTTAACAAGTGTTTTTTTAATAAACTTTTAAATTTAGTAAGTTTAGGCTCACGTCTTATGTCCTCGGGTAAACTATTGAGTAAGTATGGAACTCGTTTTTTTAACGTTCTATCTCCATAGTAATTTTGTACCATAGGTATTTCAAATTTACCTTTGGACATTGACCTTGTGCCAGTTTTATGTTGCACCAAATTAGTGAAACGATCCTGTTTACTATGATTGTTTACAAGTAGAAGGTATTTATGTTTCAGGCTAGCCGGTAAAATTTTACATATTTTATATAGTTTAGAGTAATCTCCTTTACATTGATTCTTTGTCTTTTTATTTACGAGTAATTTTAAAAATCTTGTTTGCAATGATTCTATTTTATTTATGTATGTTTTAAATGTTAATCCATAGCAATCAAGAGCGTAACCAATTATGGAATCCACTAGTGCAAAATATAAACATTTTAGTATTGGCAATGGAACTTTAAAACTTAAATGATGAAACTTTTCCAGTAATACTCTTAATTTTTTACATACGTATTCTATGTGAGAATCCCAGGAAAAGGAGGTATCTATTTTTACTCCTAGGTAATTTACACAATTAACTTTTTCGATAGGATTACACTTGCAGTTAATTTTATTATTATGGAAGCAATCAAAGTCGTGTGCAATCAGAGGAGGCGGATTATCAATAGAACGTAAATACGGGGAGTGAATAATTAGCATTTTTGTTTTGTCTGCGTTTAATATATATGGCGGGCATTTCAACCGCCGCGTTCCGACCGCCCGTTACCTTGACGTCCACGTTGACTAGCTCGAGCCGGGTGAGGAGCGGCAGTTGCGCCAGGGTCCGCAGTATGGCGGGCGTTCCAACCGCCGCGTTCCGACCGCCCGATACCTTCACGTCCACGTTGACTAGCTCGAGCCGGGTGAGGAGCGGCAGTTGCGCCAGGGTCCGCAGTATGGCGGGCATTTCAACCGCCGCGTTCCGACCGCCCGTTACCTTGACGTCCACGTTGACTAGCTCGAGCCGGGTGAGGAGCGGCAGTTGCGCCAGGGTCCGCAGTATGGCGGGCATTTCAACCGCCGCGTTCCGACCGCCCGTTACCTTGACGTCCACGTTGACTAGCTCGAGCCGGGTGAGGAGCGGCAGTTGCGCCAGGGTCCGCAGTATGGCGGGCATTTCAACCGCCGCGTTCCGACCGCCCGTTACCTTGACGTCCACGTTGACTAGCTCGAGCCGGGTGAGGAGCGGCAGTTGCGCCAGGGTCCGCAGTATGGCGGGCATTTCAACCGCCGCGTTCCGACCGCCCGTTACCTTGACGTCCACGTTGACTAGCTCGAGCCGGGTGAGGAGCGGCAGTTGCGCCAGGGCCCGCAGTATGGCGGGCGCGGCACAATGCGCGGTGCCGCGTTCCAACCGCAGCCGCCTCAAGCGAGTGAGTTGCGCCAAAACGCCAGCAAATTCGGCCCGGAAAGTGCACTCGCCCAACTCTAGGGATTCCAAGTTGGATAGTTGGCCGATCACGTCGCACGCGCACCAACCCAACTCCTGTGCGGGAAGGAAATATTTTGAAACTCACACTCGAAACAAAATATCTAAAGTTTAATTAAGCAATGTTTCTACTCAAATTTAATTTCAATGATATGAAATTAACATATTTAAGGTGAAATATATTAATATTTAACTTTTTTTTACTTTACCCTGGGTTCCGATTTTAGTGCACACCTTTAAAACATTATTTAACAAGTATTTTTTTAAAAGTAAATAAAATACGTCCAGTTTTTCATTGTCATAAATTAAAATGGACTAAGAAAAAATTTACTCCTTTAAAAATCAAACAATGAGGATCCGTAACGATTTTAGTTCAGAATGCAGATTTATAAAGCTAAGGATTCCATAACAAATTCTACGACAAATATTGACATGTTATGACCAAATTACTAAACGAATTTTCGGCTGGCCGCGTGGTAACTGTGACGTCATAGAGCTCTAGTGCTCGGGCACGAGCGTGCGTAGAGACGCTACTAAAGTTTGACCAGAGTGAACCACGATCGAGCTCTGTGACGTCACACGTTTCCGCCGCCGGTGAATATTGGCTACAATAAAATTAGGCATAAAATCGCAAAGAATGAACCGATTTCGATGATTTAAAAAATATATCAATTGAAAAGCTCATTATATCATAATACTAATTTATAATTTTGAGTTGATTGGCTGACCTAGTAACGATCCTCATTGAAGAGTCGCATCTCCATGAAATATCAGTGATGTAGGCAGTATGTGAATGTAAAACTTGCTTTTGTTATCGAGATTTTATATTGTAAATAAATAAAAGCGTTCGTGGAATCTATTGATCGAACACAATTCAATCTGCCTAATATTTCAGATTAGATCTAGTTCCTTTACTGCGAAAATAATGTATCAATAACAAGCAACAAGAATCTTTGCAACAAGAAAATCAATATAAATACCTTAATCGAGGTGAGGGATAGATGCGTGAGTGCAGTTAAAGTAGCCAAGGGACGCAGATCTCGAGCCAGAGCCAACCCGGCCATGCTCTTGAGCCGTAGCTCGGTGAGCCGCGTGAGTCGAGCCAGCGGGCCGGGGTCTAGAGCCGCGTCTCTTATCGCCAGAGCCGATAAGGCTACCAAGTTGGGCATGCAGCAGATAGCTTCGACGGCACGCGCCGGACAACGGCATAGCTCTATCCTGGGTGGTGAAACGTAGTGACTTTTATTTAAGATTTACAATTCACCCGTTATATACTCCCGGACACATCTATCGGTCCACCAAGCATTTTAAGTTTTTACCTATATGGTTTTGGCGGTACTTAACTAAATAAAAAAAAGTTACATTGAACATTTTTTACGCAGTTTTAAAGCTTATTTTTTAACCATCTTGTGGTGTGTTTTTAAAAAAATGTTATTTTGCTCAATCTTATTCAATCGTATTTTTGCTATAGATCGTTGAAACTTATAACACTAAGTGGGCCGATAGATGTGTCTGGAAGTGTATAAATGTAATATAATTTAAGTGTTTTTTTTGTACAATCATTATTATACTGAAAATTTACGGACCTTTCCAGTGTGTCCACAGAGGGTATGTGTTGAGCGAATTGCTCCCAGAATACGGTGTCGTTCTGAGGAAGCAGCATCTTCCGCAGATCCAGCCACTTGGTGCCGTGACTCTTGAGGGCGGAACATAACCCACCCCAATCACTGACCTAAAACAATAAAACAAAACATTATCAGCCTATTAATGTCCCCACTGCTGGGGGACAGGCCTTTCCTATGGGTGGAATAGGGAAATTGGGCCAAGACCCACCACGCGGGCCCAGTGCAGATTGGCGGGTGCTAACGACTGTAGATGCAGCCGGGCCCAACGGTTTATCGTGCCTTCCGAATAAGGAGAAACTCGAGATAGAAGATTTTTGGTCACCTATCCAATGACCGACCATTGCTAAAGTTGTTTAACTTCAACGATGGCAGACGAACACGATAGCCACCTGCGCCATCGAGCTCATCATAAGCTCCTCGGTGTTACCCACAGTTTATTAGGGATATTTTTCCGCAGTAAAACGTAGCCTATTAGGTAATCCAGAGTGACAGCGAACTCCATACCAAATTTTATTAAAATCGCTCCAGTCGTTTAGACGTGAAGTAGTAACAAACATACATACTCATAAACTTTAGCCTTTATAATATTAGTGTCATAAACATTATTTAAAGCAAATAATGATCTTCTATAGTTTTGACATAGATACCCGATTAGACAAGAAAGTTACTACAATCGTGTAACTGCATAGATTCGACAGAAAATAATCTCCAAACAAAATTCAGTATTCAGAAAAAGATTCAGATACAGTTACAATTTGCCTGCTTACATTATAATATCGGTTATGAGCACACTGCCTAAAATGTAAGATGCCACTACTGCAAAAATGCCTAAAACATCTATAGACTAAGAAGCAGATTGCCTACCCATGAAGCCTACACATTGTAATTGCCTAAATGATATTTCGTCTACAAATCGAAATGCCTAAAATGCACTGTCTTTTTAATGCAAGTTTGTTCGGAAACTCTTGTTGTAAAGGGTTGTTGTAATTCGATACTAGCACTTGAAAATCATAAAACAGTGTATTTTTTATTAAAAAAAAATGTATATTTAAGGAATGTTTATTTATTTTTAAGGAATAGAAGATTTAAGATTTTTAGATTTAGTTTTAAGATTTTCTTTTTATGTTTTATCAAAAAATCTTTAAATAAAGATTTCAAATTGAAGTTCGACAACAAATATTATAGTCACATCAAGATACATTGTCGGCAATCTACTTCTTAGTGTCGCAGCACACGGGCCACCGACCACAACCACATAACGCCGCCACCGGCATATTTCTTGTAGTTTTCATATATTATATCCAGCCTCGCCACACCTCTCTCCCTTACCTTAGTCGGCCGCTGTCGCGCGCTTCAGCCACTTTAGTAGCCGCTTCTAGCTTCTAGTGGCGGCGTTTGTGGCTGTGGCGTGTGGCCCGTGTGCGGCGACACTTAGTCAATAGCGTTTTAGGTATTATTGGAGTAGTGACATCTGTCATTCTAGGCTGTCTGATTTTAAGTCAAAATGCCGTCTCATAACCGAAAATGAATATCACTTTTACCCACTTCTTTTATAATCAATGTTACTCTGAAACTTTCAATTTGGAGTACATCATCAATCAAATTTATTTAACGAAAATTTCCTTAAAAAATAGTACATTTGAATACTTACATGTGAATTTTTCATCCGCACATGTCGCCATAGCGCTGGCGTCGAAGCCATCTGCTTCCATAACTTGCATACTCGCGCGCAGTGCGCCAAGTCACGCATGCCCAAGTATTGGAATATCTGTCGATAAGATAGTCGCATCAGAATCGTGAAGAACTTTTTGAAAAACCTAGAAAACCCTTTTTTTAAACAATAATACATGCAATTTTACTAGTATTTTATTTGTTATTTGCGAAATAGAAACATTGAAAAGGCCGGTTGTTATTTTTTTTCCGCCTTCTGTAAGTCATTTAATATCTGGTGGATATGTTGGACGATACATGGTGTGCTACCCCTCAGGTTCGAGTGGTCTGGAGGCTCCAGACGGAGTGGAGACTCCCCCCGTGGGGAGACGCCATCCGCCTGGAATACATCCAGAGGCACTCGCCAATTCTCGGCTTGAGGTCCCCTTAGGATCTCGCCGTCCCCAAACCCGGTGACGCTGTAAAGGTCATCTGCGACCAACAGCATACACACTCAAAAAAAATGGTGTGCTATACTGGCTGGATACAGTTTATAGTAATCTTTCACACTATAGGCTTGACACATTGTAAATATGTATATACTTATTTGTTCAGCAAAATATACCAAAAATAGCAGTAAGTGTGTGTTTCATTCAAAGGTCTTCCCCTGTGTATTTATCTGCTAACACCATAGTTTTCCATCACAATATTAGACACATTTCTTGTCACATTATATTTTTGGACACATTTTCATATTTGAGCGTTACTTAGCAGAAAGCTACCAGCGGGCATTTTTGTTTGAATCAAGCGAAAATTAGTACTATGAACCCATATTAAAGATTAATTGTGTTTAATCCCATATTTCTAAATTCACAATCATACTTTAACTTTAGACCGCAGAAGTAATTTTTGCTACTTTCGAAAATGCCTGATCTTAGCTTTCTGCTTAACACCGTTAATTTTTCATCCGATTCAGATAGGAACGAAATGAAGACAATTTTATGTTTGTCACATATTCTCTGTAAATAAGAGCTCACGTACCTGTACGACGACATTGTAGTTCTTCTCCTTAGCGCGTTCGTAGAAGCCGGTGAAGTGGTCAGTTTCGTCAAGTTTCGGGCGTCCCCTACGTCGGGGAGACGTCCCCGCGGGAGGGGACGCCGCGCCGTTTGCTATCCGTCCGCCGCGGCGCTTGTCCTCGCTACACACAGAAACTTATGTTAAACAGCAACGGAGATTTTACAAATAATATCCGTCCGTAGCTTTGTACTGTCGCAAACGCTCTCGAAACAAAATCACAAAATCGCTGTTGAAACTCAACTGTCCACTGCGCGGCGCCCAGAGCGTTTATATACGCCGATCGACGCAATCCAGAAAAGTGCAGTTTCATTAAGAGTTAACTAGCACCTGCGAGTGCGTAGTACCTACTTATACGTAGGTAACGCGCATGAGTTGTAATCAAGTGCAGATGTCATTGTACTATCTCCCTTACGCCGCACTACATAAAGCTCATATTGAAATGAACCGCACCACTCGACTTTTATCGAGATTATTCACGTCGCGACCTGTCAAAGGCGCTTTGGTCAAATCTGTTTCCTGTAATTTCGCGGTGTTGGCTCGAGAGCGTTTGTGACAATATTATCTGTCCAGTCATCTCATAGTCTTACTTCAACTCCTATCAATATGCCCTTCAATTTCATGGCAAATTTTAATTGAGTAAAAAGTTTCAGAATATCATTTAAATTACAAAACTTTAAACAGAAAAAAAATACAAACTACATTTGAGCTTGTGAATTTCTTTCAAGGGTTAAGCTTAATTGAAAGGTGTAGTGATAGTTGTTGAAACAAGACAACTCTCCTTCTGATCATTAAATAAGTTTACTGCGACTTATCGAACAAAACTGATAAATTCTATTGTAAATAACCATAAATTTAACCGATTTACAAGACACGATTTAAAAAAAATACTATATAAAACCTACTGAACTTGTTTCGTGTTGCGTTTCCTTTCGTGACAGCAATAACAAAACTTAATTATCACCTTGCATGACGATATTAAATGAACTCCACAACTGAAGAAATAAATTGTTATTTGAAAAACTTACCAGTTACCAATAAAGACTTAAAAAAACTCCTTTTCCTACACGTTTTGTCCGTGATCATTAAATTGTCCACTTACCCTATCATCCAGTACGGGGGGGAATGTGACAGATGCTAAACGTAACAGGAATAAACACAGTTTTATTGTAACATGCCTCTTGTTGATACAATCATATTTTTATAAAACACATGATTATGTACATGAGTGAATAAAATATAAGCAACTTAATAATAATTAACTTTAAAACCTTACGTGTTTCACTATTAATTAATTATACAATGCATTTAATAAATTTACAAATAAGATAAAAATTCTATGACAAAATCTAAGGAACATGGAGATATGGTTTTAAAAATGTGAAAAACCATAAGCACAGTCTATACATGAATAGTCATAAAACATGGGTTGACAACAAAGAATAAAACATCACATGAAACTATTTATTTGTATAGTAATTAATCAATCATGCAGAGTAGTCTTACGCCTTTGATCTAGTGACAAAAGCCGTCAGCATCTCGTGCACTATTCTGTGCATAATCCCATGCAGTTATCCCCGTGACTATGGCCATTAAGGAAAACCAAAACCACAACACGATTTCTTTCTTGAATCTGTACGAAAGAATCATCATTAATGCTGTTAAATATAGAAAAACTTGCGACTCTTTTGGAACGAAGTTCCTTACGGCAGGCTTGGAGGGGATAGGGATTTTGCTGCGCGACCAAACTGAAAATAAATGTGATAGTAAAACCGTAAGAATAAAAATCCGTGGAAAAAAGTGCGTGGAATAAAACCGTTAAATGAGACGTGCGCAGGCGCGACGAAGTTCCTTACGGCAGGAGAGAGATCGACGAGGGTGCATCACTGAAATATTGTGATATTACACCAACACTGAATATGTGTGAAGTTATAGGGAGTGGTAGAGCGACGAGGGTGCATCACTGAAATATTGTGATACTACACCAACAGTGAATATGTGTGAAGTTATAGGGGGTGGTAGAGCGACAAGGGTGCATCACTGAAATATTGTGATATTACACCAACACTGAATATGTGTGAAGTTATAGGGGGTGGTAGAGCGACAAGGGTGCATCACTGAAATATTGTGATATTACACCAACACTGAATATGTGTGAAGTTATAAGGGGTGGTAGAGCGACGAGGGTGCATCACTGAAATATTGTTATATTACACCAACAGTGAATATGTGTGAAGTTATAGGGGGTGGTAGAGCGACAAGGGTGCATCACTGAAATATTGTGATATTACACCAACACTGAATATGTGTGAAGTTATAGGGGGTGGTAGAGCGACAAGGGTGCATCACTGAAATATTGTGATATTACACCAACACTGAATATGTGTGAAGTTATAAGGGGTGGTAGAGCGACGAGGGTGCATCACTGAAATATTGTTATATTACACCAACACTGAATATGTGTGAAGTTATAGGGGGTGGTAGAGCGACGAGGGTGCATCACTGAAATATTGTGATACTACACCAACAGTGAATATGTGTGAAGTTATAGGGGGTGGTAGAGCGACAAGGGTGCGTCACTGAAATATTGTGATATTACACCAACACTGAATATGTGTGAAGTTATAGGGGGTGGTAGAGCGACGAGGGTGCATCACTGAAATATTGTGATATTACACCAACACTGGATATTTGTGAAGTTATATCAAGCTGTGGACCAGTAACGCCTGTGAGACATGATTATGATTACAAGGTGAGTACTTATCAGGAGGTGGCAGAGCCACGGCGGTGCATCACTGGATTATTGTGACATTGTAGTTTATTCTAAACTGTGGGCCAGTCCTGCCTAGCATCCTTTACGAACGCTAGCGGGACATGATAATAAGGTGCGTATGTAGGGGGTGGCACAGCTACGAGGGTGCAGCACTGGAATATTGGGACATTACACGAAATCTGGATATTTGTGACGTTATACCCAGCTGTGGACCAGGAACGCCTGTCATCTGCTGTAAACTTAAGCTAGACATGATAACAAGGTCAGTACTTAACAGGGGTTGACAGAGCGACGGGGGTGCAACCCCAAATTATTGTAGCATTATACCAACACTGGATTATTGTCGTATATTATACTAAACTGTGGTTAAGTCCAGGGGGGTGGCAGAGCGACGGGGCTGCATTACTGGATTATTGTGACATTGTAGTTTATTATAAACTGTGGGCCAGTCCAGCCTAGCAATCTTTACGAACACTAGCTGACCGAACTGAAAAAAAAGTGATAGTAAAACCGTAAGAAAAAATCCGTGGAAAAAAGTGCATGGAATAAAACCGTTAAATGAGACGTAAGCAGGCGCGACGAAGTTCCTTACGGCAGGCTTGGAGGGGATAGGGATTTTGCTGCGCGACCGAACTGAAAAAAATGTGATAGTAAAACCGTAAGAAAAAATCCGTGAAAAAAAGTGCGTGGAATAAAACCGTTAAATGAGACGTGCGCAGGCGCGACAGTCGCATACACAAGCGAGTTTGCAATTTGTGTCGATTCTACATTAGCCGAAGGAACTTCGTTCCTACCTGGTGTCCCACGACACCACATCATTTTTTTTTATAAATAGGTCCGACAAATGACTCCGCCCCACCTGATGTTAAGTGACGATGAAGTCCAGACGTGAAGATTCTTGTATATCTAACACTTTATCTTGCTTTTTTGATTAGTTATTTGTCACGACCTCAACCGGATCCTACCAGAATACCAGCGCTGATACAATGAGAAAGTACTTTCACACTGTGTCAGCATAAGCTGAAGCAGTTCCTAATTGGCCGTCTTAATTATCATATTCTTTTTTTGTTCTCTAGGTTAAGTTATTGAAGTGAAAACTTCTTTAGCGGCGTTGTATTTTCTTTTTGTAATGGGAAAAAAATGTTAAATTCGCGTCAAGACACGTGGCCTAATCGAAAATTCGTAAGATGAAAACAATAAAATTGGAAAGGTTGTTGATTTTCAATATATTGGACGTAGGACGTCCAGGTGGCAGCTTTGCTAAGAAAATGCATTTTTTTACAATAGATATCACTAGGTGCGCTTAAATGTGATTCATGTAAGTTGATTTTTCTGAGAGATAAACTTTTTAATGTTATATAAGTTGTCATGTTTGTGTACGATAGCGCAATAATGAAAAATTGTATTCTACCACATAAATGATAGTACTTTTATACTGATAATTAAAGCAATTCGTGCAAAATTATTCCCTAACCATTCCAAAATATTAAAAAATACACAACGTTAATATTCAAGTTTTCACTTCTGCCGGCACTCCCAGAGTGCAACCCATTTTTTTTATTTATAACTTTTTATTTTGTTAAGATGGCCAATAATAAAGGCTTAATTTCATTTCATTTTATTCCTATACAAACTTTCACCTCCTTTCACTACCTTACAAATTCAAATTATCTCTCTATACCAATTCAGCGGTTTCAGCGTGAGGAGGTAATAGACAGACAGAGAAACAGTTTCCCATTTACAACACAAGTATGGATTCGTAATCTTGGAAAACTTTTTATTTAAATCTAATAATTATGTTAATTATAGTAGAAGTGGTTTTTTTTTGTTGTCAACCCGTCTTAGTTTCACTTGGTCCAAGTACTTCTTCATTACTTTTACAAAAACTGAATGAAAGATATCATTCATCGTAACTATAGTTACTACTTGAATCTGCTGAAATTTGGTATATGATTCGATCTTGTGTGGGTAAACGCTTTTTACAATGTATGAAAGTAGTACGCTTCATATTTCAACAGATATCGCTGTTCAAATTCAGCAGACAAAAACTCAGTTTTATTTCAATAAAATATTGCACAATCAAATCTATCAAAAACAGCATGAATTTTGTTCAGGAACCACATTGTTCACCTACGCTTACTTAAATATAAACAGTACACAAAAAAGGTAAAATATTTAATAATAAAGCTAATTAATTTTAACAATAAAACGATGCTTAACCAATATTTCGCAGCAGTTGTGATATGCATCATTACTCGTGTTATTAAAGAAAGGAATCGCAAACGCGTCGTAAGACATTCTGTCCCTCTCGCACATGCTATTCTAATGCCGGTCAGTCACACGTGTGCAAA